GATACTCATTATAACTTGCTAATCGAAGTTAAATAATAATGTATATTGATAAGAAGAATCAGTAAACAAGTGGTTGCCCAGTGGTTAAAAGACCCGCCTCTCAGGCAAGGGCGCGAGTCGATCCTGGGCCCAGCAAGTACCAATGTGATTTTTCCGAGTCATATGTACTTTCTAAGAGTATTTAGACATCACTGATAAATTCTTCCCAAAGAGGGTCGATGTCAAGAAGGCGGCCGGTCGTAAAAACAATTAGCCAAAACTATTCACACCATGTAAGGCAGACCCTGGTTATAGCTGGGAAATTGCCAGGTAGAAGAAGATTGAGAAGAATAATCAAGATTAAGATGAGATAATATGTTTCACATCTCACAAGAGTTAAAAGATAAAAGTATTAAGATAAAATCTTGGATAGATCATACAGAACGACGTATCTCTATGCTTCTATGGAAGTTATTAATAATTTCTTATTTAAATCTGTTTACAAGTAAGTTAAAATTTGACGTCGTCAGCTTTGACTTAACGTTACTTAAATGTACTTCGAAAAATATTTTAGATTTTTTCTTAAAAGAAATATCTTCAAATGTCATCTTACTTATGGTTTCCATAAAATATATAATTCGTTTGATTTATCAATAATTTTGTAATATATCATATATTTTTTTATTTCCATTATTTTATCTAAATATGTTTTGGAATAAAACATTTAAATATCACCTCTAAGTAATAGTAAATATATTTAATTATATTCCACGTTCTAGAAAAGGAATCCTGTTAATTATATATCTCAAACTTGATTACCTATTTGAATTAGATATTATTATTTGAAAAATCAAAATGATATCTATACAAAAAAAAAAACAATCTATGCTTCATATTTATTCTTGAAGCTTATTATTAATAGATATTACTTCGTTAGCTTATAAATAAATACAATTGAAGCTGTTTGCAAAAATATTTCCATTGAAACGTTATGTTTGTCAGTTTGCTTCTTGCTGGGACCCGCCCGGAGTATGTAGGCCATTGGTGACGTCACTCGCTGACCCAGATCCGACGCCATTGAGATACGCACGTCAATGGTAGATTCCCCACACCATGGCTAACATGGATTATAGGAAACGCTCGCAAATACACCATAGAATAGGCTGGAATCTCATGGAAAACATAAGCTAGGTACAGCCAAAGAAATTTCATTCCAAATAAAACTCAGAAGTTTTGTTTAAAATATCTACGTAAAAATTCGATATATATAGCACATAAGCTGGTTACAGCCAAAGAAATTTGATTCCAAATGAGACTAAGATATTTTGTTAAGAATTAACATAAAATTCGATATACAGGGTGACTGGTGAATTACTATCGATACTTGAGGACGTGATATTTGACACACTTGGAACACTTGGAGCGTGTCCACACTTTATTTATTTATACGGAAATTTGGTCAAAAATTAAGTACCTATTTTTTTTTACATAATTCGAATGAGAATCATGTACCGAGTATTCTCCTTAAATATTGATAGTAATTCACCAGTCACCATGTATATATAGCAATTTTAGTCCACGTAATAAATTCTATAGAGTCTTTGCAATGGATATTTGTTTCCGTAATGCCTCTTACACGTTTGAATCTGCAACAGCGTGAGTTTAACAGTAGTGTAGTGCAAGTTTCTTTTGTCTAAGCATTCAATGCACAGCCACTAGTGTCTAACAATGAAAGCATTCATAAAACTACAAAGACTAACTTGAATTACGAATGTCTCAGATAATGATGACACGGCAAATACGACCTCGTTTTAACTCACCTCAACAACTCCCAGTGACAATGGAAACAGATTAAATATTCCATTCATTACTATGAAAGAAGTTATAATTATGTATATTCTTATATATAAAATTGTATGTCGCGGTGTTATAGAGATAACTCCGAAATGGCTTGAAAGATTTTGATGAAATTTCGTGAGCATATTGAGTAGGTCTGAGAATCCGCCAAGTCATAAGGCGTTAATTTATCCTTAATTTTTTATTTCGGACTAAATTTTTTGATTTTTTCTTAATGCAGCATTAAAAAATACATACGACCCAAAATTATTTACTATTTTATCACCAACCCCTATTTTTATGGCAGAACACCGTATACCACGTCATCTAGTAAATTATAAAATTGTATTCCAAACTATATATCCGTCTATATAGGTCAAAACTCACAATGCATCTATTTATAACGTGTAAAGCTAAAATAACATCTTGTATTTCTGTACGCACGTACGGAAATAGATTACGCGTGTCCAGCATTGGTTATTGCTTATATTTTACACAAGATTATAAGATTTTATTACAATCAAGATTGACATTTGACACATTTGACAGATCTGACAGATGTCACTTGACATGACTATTGGCGGGAGTATTTTTTTTAATTAATCTCGTTTTGGAGTCTTAAAAATTAGGACGTTTGTAAAGCAAGATAAATATGTTAGTTATATTAAAATTAATATGTTTCATTATAATATTTTATCACAATCCATACTATTAAATTCTGTTGAAGTTATTTAGAATAATTCATGTTCTCTGTCAACTATTTGTGAAAACAATATCGCAAATTTCTTGGACATCGGTTTCAAATACTCTCCCCTGCAATGTTCAATTCTTTTTTATTATTTATATACCAGTACTAAAATTTATATTTTCAATTTTTTCTAACAAAATCATTTTCTATCAAAATCATAACAAAACTTTCTTTGTATGAAATATCATGTTTCTATCGTAGCACCGTAGCGAGGTCCTCGTAGAGATTATGTAGACCTCAGAATCTTAAAAACTATCAATAATAACTGTCATTATAGTTATCAATTCAAATTTATATCTCTCTCTCCCTCTCTTTTTCTCTTACCCTCTCTTTCTCTCTCTATATATATTATATATATTAAATGTATATAATTTTGTTGATTGAATTCATCGTATCTGGTTGCGCAACCGGTAACTGTGTCACCCGTGACGTCAGCAGCTGGATTTCAGTTAACGGGATTACAAGCTTTAACTAAAATATAAGCTATTTAAAAAGCTGTATATATTATAATATATTGGTTTTAGTAGTACAATATATAGTCGTAGTAATGTGATATAATTACCTCACAATGTAATTAATATTCTTTAAAATCTTTATTTTTTTATGCGATTTTTCATATTAAATAATACTAGTAATTTGGAGATTTTTTGTCCATTATACATAGATCTATGTGCTTTCCAAAATACCTTGCTTTGATTCAACTATCATAATATTGTTCAATCTCATTACCAGGTAAAGACAAAGTTTTAAACTGAGCTCTAAGCTAGTTACTGCATTAATGGTTAACTTGCTCTTAATTTATAGTTTCTACTATTATTATTACATTAATATTGATAGGAACAATCGTATAACGATAAAAGTACTAGGCATTCTCATATGAACGCCTCTGCAATAGCCGTAAGTCTTTTATTTTGTTTATAATCAATTCCTACACTAAGTTATTTAATATATTATAAGCATGCTACTTAAGAGATCCTCATTCTAAGCGACATTTCTGTGTTTTACTAGAAACAGTGCTCTTGACGTTTAAAACAATCAAAATCCAACTCGGAAGTGCATAATGTATCGGTTTCCTAAAGCTTCCATGGCATTTACTGAATTTGCGTCCATGAGGTTGAAAATTAACTTTTCTTTGAGATTAGGCAAATCAATTTATTTGTAGAGAATAATTGTACTATATGTTATCATGTCAGGATTAGTTCAATCAGTACTTAAAGCCGATTTTTTAAAGAGACTTTGGTTCTATTGTAACACGAAATCATTTTGGAACAAGTATATGCCTTTTTTCTACAGATTTCAATTCGACTTCTTCTCATCTTTCTATAAATATATCTCTTTTTTTACATGAGCCACAATATGTAATTAGAATATTATAGTTACTTATTACAGACTATAACTCAAATAAACCTGAGAAAAAAATTCTTTCTTACGTCGTCACCACATCTTTATATATATATAAAATTCTTCTGTGAGTGTGTACGTCACTGTACTTCTCTCAAACAACTGGACCGATTTTGATGAAATTTTTTGTGTGTGTTCAAGGGAATCTGGGAATGGTTTAGATTCACAATTTTGTCCCCTGGACAATGATTTTTTAATTAATTATTAATTTATTAGTAGTTGTTGATACAAATGTTTTTTTTGACATTAGATTTGACAACTAACTAATATGTCAATCATCCTGTCACACTTCAAAACACGGAGATTCAAAAAAACGTAACAGATATTTCTTGATAATAGAGCGATACAAAGTTCGCCGGGTCTTCTAGTAATATATAAAATTTGGAGTATTTTTGAAAACTAGTATTACAAATGAAGATTAAAAAACTCATAAAAAAGACACATACTTATCAATTTCAACCAATAATTGTTTATGTCTTATATAAATTAGAAAAATACTCTCTTCATTTTTGTTTTGGTCTAAATATAGTCTGTTGAATTTAACTGAATAAAAAGACAAGAAATACTTTCATATTTAATTATCTGTGGTTTCGTTTAGAACTCTTTCTAATGAATTAATGACATGTCAGTTTGACATAAATTGATATTGACAAATCAAAAAAAAATATACTAAAAAAAAAATAACATATCTAGAATCTTCTCGCAATTCCTTTACAAATTATCAATGCGTTGTTCCTAATAAAAAAAAATGATTATCCTAAAATCACGCCTTACGAAATTATTGGATATGTAAAGACATAGATAATAGTAAACTGTATTTACTCTAAAATAATAATAAAAACATGAAGGAATTGGTTGCTGTAAAATAACATGACGTATAAGAACACAGTAAAAATATTTGTACTTAAAATAAAAAACTCCACAAACGAAAGACGATAAGACTTCGTACTTGGAATTATGTCTCAATCAACGTAATACATTAATAAATAAAAACAATAAACGATAATAATATATTCATAATATAACTATTAATTAGCATGGCGTGTAAAGTTGAGCAAAGCTCCCAAATGGGGAAAGAGCATCTCGTGGTTAAGTCAAACTCCGCGCCGCCATTGGTCGGGCCCGGTGACGTCAATGCCGGCCTCCCGCCGCCGCCCGGGCCCCGCAGGCCCCCCGCGAGCCCCGCAGGCCCCCCGCCAGCGCCCGGAGACCTCTGAAGGCCGCACGCCACTGAAAAATATACGCGCCTCTCGGACGAGACTAGTTTTTGTAAGAATAAAGGCTCTTTAACACTGTTTATATTGTATAACAATATCTCTACAACAACACACTACTACTAATGAAATAACTACATTTAATGTATAATTAAAACCATTTAACTATTTTAAAAATGAAACAAGATTTAAAAATAGAACATGCATATATAATAGATTTAGACTATACACTCGTTATATACGGTTTAGGAATTAATTAAGAATTATAAAAATTAAAAACTAGAAACGTTCAGAAACAGGCTGCAGTTAAATCCCAACGCACTCGACGTTAACATAATGACGTATTAAATTAATTAAAAAACCGTTCCTACATAAAACGAGGTCGAGTTTTTAAAAAACCCGAGTTTGGATACTTTAGTGAAACTACGTTATTTTTATTCTTACGCTTCGTTAATTCCGTAAGATGAATGATGATAGATCATTGCCTTATTAAAAGTTTATAAAATTATCTTAATTTTGTAGGCTGTGGCATTCGTGTACAAGATGGACGACTATTTGTCAAACTGTGTCTTGAAAATTGTCAGCACATATTTGTTTTAAATTAATATAACTATTTGTCTTCCATTTAATTTAATAGTACGTACACAGCTAAACAGATCATAATATAATAATAGCATGTGTAGGTGTGGTATACATATTTTTTTTATTTATTATTTCTGTTCTTCAATAATAAACCTCCTTGGTTGTTTCTTGATAGTTTAATATATGAAGACTTTGTAATACAGTTGTGATTCGTGATCTGAAATATATATTATTAAGTTAATTGATGTAAAATATTTTAAATCAGCCATTTGGGGCGAGACAAAACAAAACTGTTTGTTCACAACATTCAAAGATCTATTTGAAACATAAATCATTACTTTTAAAATGTATAATATTGTTGTTTACGATTGTTGTTGGTACATGCTCCAGATGATTTCTCATATGAAATTCAATTTTATTCTTAATTTCTCTACATTTTAGTATGTTAAACTATCTAAACGTTTCTGAGATTCAATCGAAACAAAACCAACAATACAATTTGTTAACAATTTTTACAAATTAAGACGATTTTGAGTGCATATATTATTATATATTTTTTGACAGTTATATTCGTTAAAATAATTCAAACGGTTCAGACCACGCATAGTACGCTATGCGTATTAACGGTACAGCGGGCTCGTTCCCGTGCGAGTCGGGAGCGCGACTCCTGCGCAGGTGTCCCCCCTCCCTCCCGCCGGGGCCACTCACCCCCCACCCCTCACGCTGCAGTTACACAGCGTGTTTTGTTTTGAGTGCACGCGCGCGAAACTCGACCGCCGCGCCGGTAAAATCTCAAAACAAATAACTAACCGTCGAAAGCATCGCAATCAACATTGAACTTCGGCAATAGGTCAACGACCTAACTATTCCTAATTGTTGACTTTGGCTCATATACCGCTATAAAACCTTCTGAGGAAGACGAGTGTAGGCCGTAGGGAACAGTCGTGTGGACGCGGGAGGTGGTGCCGCGCGGGCTGCGAGTTCTATTCCCGCTCGGCCCCGCCCCGAGGTTATTTAAATATAACCTGACGTGTTATAATCAGAACACTAATACGTTTCCTCGACCGGCGCCCTTCCGACGCGGACTATTGACAGCGGGAAATCACCTCTGGAAGTAGAAAACATATTGGGACATGTTGAGGAGACACTGCTTCGTGAACGACTGAACATGTGTGATGATATAGTTCATCACATGACCAGTATACTGAGCACGGCCCTGAGGAAGGGCGGCAGTATACTCAGTTACCCTCAAAGGAGTGAGTTGTATTACGACAATAAGCTTAGCATAACATTCCAGTGACACAGCTTGAAAAAGGAACAAAATATCGTAAAATTTCTTCTAAATTTAATTTAATACAAAAACAAGACGATTTTGGTAATTAAACTAAAATATTTTTAGCAGTATTTGCGTGAATATGCAACACAGAATATTTCACAACGGCAAAACAAAATTCACAATTAATGTCAGTATTCTAGACAATATTATACGAAATTTGATGAAGAAAGTTCTTACGAAAGAAAGAAAACATCACTATGTTATATTACAACAATATTACAAGCTTTTAAACATTTACTTAACACTTTAAAAGGTTTAATAGCTATATTAAAAAAATAACAAAAGTGTTGAGTCCAAAGCTTATAAACTTATTATTAGTTATTCTAATCTGTGCATACAAATGACGTCGTGCTTGTCATTATAAATACGTTATATTTTTTACGTACGGATACTTCAATATTTTATTATACCAAAGTTGCTTTCATTTAGTTTAATTTTATTTATTTATTTATGTACAAAAAATAAAAAATAGTTACAATTAAAGTATTATAAAAGAAATGTGATTTACTTGAAACGATAATTTATTTAAAATTTCACTAACAACTAAATGTACTTACATAAACAAAACGCGGAATAGTCAAATTAAATCAATATTAAAACAATTTAAACTATTAGTAATATAGGAAATATAATTTTAATTCGTAATTCAGTTTATATTAAGCTTTAAATGATAACAACTCTGTTCTAAATGAAGGTTGCAATAAAAAAAAGAAACTCATTTTAAAATTAATATTAAGAGTACAGAAAATATAGAAATAGGATATCTGTCAAAATATTTAAAAAAATAAGTCATATTGTAAACTAAAAAAGAATATCGAAAGAATACGCATAACACTTTGTTGTAATTATATTTAAAAATATATTACAATAAGTATTAGTGACCATTATTATTTCTTAATTGCTAATTTTTTAATTCACATATTTATTTCATTTTCTTGGTTTTCTTAAATATAGACATAAATATGATTTGTTCGCGCTTATTCAAATAAATATATGACTGAACACACAATGTAAAGATTTTAAAAAAATGTAACCGTTTATATCTTGTATTTATCCCATTTTTGAATTTTATTTTTTCTTTATATTGCCTTTTAATTAAATTAAATGGTGACCTTTTTGATATTTGTTATCGAAAACCACCCATTATTATGGTTGATCTAACAACAAACAAATTATATACTTCTAGCGTTATACATTCTAATACATGTTAAAAATTAACCGCAACTTATTGCTAAATAGTTAAGTAAATGCTAAAATACAATATCTTTATCGTAAAGAAAACATATACATATAATTCAAGCTAAAAAAAATATCTACTTCTAGTTCAGTGAGGGTTTAAATTTATGTAAAATAATCGACAACGATAGTTAAAGTTACTCTAAAGTCTAAAGCTATAGTAAAATCTAGAATCCTTGAATTTCTAGTTAGAATGAAATACGTTACTAGTACATGACCATACATCGGCTAGCTAGGATGAGAGCATGCGCGGAGATATCGACCGACGGGATGCCGGCTCCGTGCACCATCATTGAAAAACGAAGATGTTTGTTTCTTTATATTATTTATAAACCAATCTCTTATAAAACTACATTAAACATGACTTAAACATGACATTTCAAATGTAATTAATAAAAATATTGATTAAGATAAAAGATTTAAATTGTTATTCAAAATTATATAGAAAATTAATTGTATTTTGACAAATACTTGTATGTATTTGTTCTATACTTTTGGTATCAGTACATTCTGACGTCACCAGTGAACTTGAATGTCGCGTGCTTCGTAATGATCGCCCTTAGTACACTCAGCGTAAATTGTCGTACAATATGTAACAGGGCCCCGGCAATATCAACAGGTCGCTTGAAAAATTAATTACTTAACCTATTGTTGTACAAGGCGTGCCTTTTAACTCGCGAATATATTGATAAGTGATTTTATCTTTATATTTAAAGATAGACATCGGAATTAACGAATAATATGTTTATTATTTTATAAAATATTTACAATCACCTCATTCCCAGCAATCAAAGCCGAATTTTTCCTCAAAACACCAAAAATTCTGGAATGTCTTCGTGGAAGTGTTACATTCTGTTTTATGGACTGTGAAAAACATCGCATTCTAATGATATGACCAATACGTGAAAAACATTCATACGAAATAGATCTACAATTATTTTATAGTAGTTTTCTTCCCGCAGCTTCGCCCGGGTGGAGTTCAGTTATATCGCGTTTCTAAGAGAACCTTTCAAAATTCTGGATAAAAACTATCCTATGTTCTTTCTCAAGGTTAACTCTTTCTCTGTACCAAATTTCATTAAAATCAGTTCAGTGGTTGAGGCGTGAAAGCGTAACAGACAGACAGACAGACAGAGTTACTTTCGCATTTATAATATTAGTAGGGATTACATTTTAACAAACCTTATGGAGTTTTTTATTCCGATTTAAAAAAAATGTCTACAATACTTGTCTCTTTATGATTTTGATGTTAGTTTTAATAGGTTTTAATTAAATGATAATGTTTGATATATTCCAGTGTGCAACTTCATTGTGCACGAACGATGCGTGGGGCAGGTGGTGACGCCGTGCTGCGGGGTGGCGCCGAGCCTTATCAAGGTAACTATTACTAAAATTGGAAGATTCTAGAAGTACTAGCAATAATAACAACTGGTAAGAATCCATAGAAAGTGTTTTTAAGTCTTGATCAAGCTATAAGAATGTTTCAATTTATTTAGATCACGAGTATTTTAGTTCTTAAGTTGTTGTTTGGAGCCCAATAACAATATCTTTTATCGCCATGTCTTTTTTTCGCGTATTTGAATCCAAATGAGCAGACGCACCTCTTGATAAGAAGTGATCACCGTTCATTGAATTCTCTAACTCAGGAGTGATGGAATAAGCTACCAGGCTTTTCTGTGCAATTGCTTTTCAATTTTAAGACTTAAAATTGTTACCTAAGAGGAATTCTAGAAAGAATAGTTTATTCCACCCTTTGTACGTGTACGATAAAATCAAAGAATCCCTAGAAATTTTCTCATTTTAATATGATAGAACATGCAAAGAAATTCCCATATCGCTTCTGAGATATAAGGATTACGTGGAAACATCAACCTCGTCAACCTTCCATTAAGGAATCCAATGTTGAAAGCTGTAACTGCGGACCATCGGATCATAGTTGAAAATACCTGTTCCATGTGACGAACCTACATATTGTCTAGTTTAAAATATTGTCTAAATCTATTTGGCCCCCAAGGTTTTCGACTCAAAATTTGACTATGATTTCTTATCACCGAATTTGGACGTAGTTCCCTTTATCGATCTTAAAAATGACAATGCAGTTGTAATTAATAATATTAACTCCGATATTCTGTAGTAAAAGACCTACATCAGATAGATAATTTATTTTAATGGTAACCGTACAAGTTAAAGCAAAAGAACAACAACACAACAAGAGTTCGTGTTCAGAAAGCAATTTTAAGATGCTACGGCTCTTTTAATCCTTAGCCAATGTACCAAAAAAATTTTTATTTGCTTTAAATTTCAAATTGTATTTTTCTTTTTCAAAAGTTCTTGTAATTGAACTCAATACGACACCTAAATTATAAATGGTCAAATATTATTCTACAGAAAGGTTTCATTCCTAATATTATACATATGAATAATACGTAATATATTTGTATTTTCGGCACAGAATCCCGTGGCTCATTGTTGGTCGGAACCAACTCACCACAAACGGAAGTTCTGCACGGTGTGCAGAAAACGGCTTGACGAACTACCAGCTTTACATTGTATGAGTGAGTATCGCATATTAATATGTTCTACTTTTAGTAATAATGAATTATTTTTGAATAATTTAAATATGATGCCACAGGTTCAAGAGAAGCTGGGAAGAAAATTACGTACGCACGTATTCTAAAATGTATTTTATTGTAGGCTATTGTCCAGGTAGAATAATGGTCCTCTGTAAACTACACCAAAAACAATAAACTCGAGAAAAAGACGTTCTGTTTAAAAGTTCAACTAAAAAAACATCTGTATATTTATTGCTAGTTTTCTTAGGCTAGTTTGAATCAGAAACTACATGTATGTATATATTCTTGTTACAATTTTTGTTAATGTATACAGTATGCGAGTACTACGTCCACGGCGAGTGCGTGGACTTCGCGGCGGCGGACTGCAAGGAGAACGCGACCTACTGCGCCGGCAGCGAGCCGCGGCACGTACATCACTGGCGGGAGGGAAACCTGCCCGCCAACAGCAAGTGTGCCGCGTGCCGCCGCGCCTGCTGGTCCACGGAATGCCTTACAGGCTACCGCTGCGAGTGGTGCGGCAGCACGGTTTGTGATACTTTTGACATGAACTCACTGATAGGTTTGGGTTTTTCGTCTTACAAGAGCATTTAAAGTTGCCAAAAAATATCAATCTAATGCTACTGTGCCACCCAACACCACGTTCATAGTAAATCAGTTTAAGTGAAGCGGTTCTCTGGTCGCCAGTGCCACGCCGGGTGCCGCGCCCTGATCCCGGAGGAGTGTAACTTCGGCGCGCTGCAGCCCATCTTCCTGCCGCCGTCCGCGGTGTCCATTCCTCGCACGGAGGTCCCGATGGAAGCCATCATCGGCGTACACGTGCGGCCGCCTCCATCGCAGCGCGACTTCGGATGCCGTAAGTACCTCCACAGCGGGTCGGCGCCGCACGTGTGCCGCGGCCGTGTCGCACGCTCGCTCGCGGCACACGTGCGGGCCCCGGGGCGGCTCGAGCCGGTGTGAGCGGTGTCTTTGGGCAGCGCGGCGGCGCGGCGGCTGGGCGCCGGCGAGGCTCGTGACGCTGGCTCGCCGCCTGCTACCGGCCGCCTGCAGCCCGCATGGCGGCGCTTCGCCCCCCTACTCCAGAGGTACCGCTATGGACGAGCTTCCTTCCAACAAAATACGCCTCTTATACGTTTCAGAACAGTTTATGTTCCATAACCACAGCAATGATTGCGATGGCCCTGTACGAGGTGTATTTTGGATGAAAGAAATGTATTAGTTTAGCAGCTTTCTTCATGCTATGACTTCCTTTGACAGAAATCTACTTCTGTACACATTTTTGATTTGAACAATTTTTAGAGGCTACACAATGGAACAGAAAACTGAGTCAGTTCGGTCAAAAAATCAATTACATTCCAAGTGTAGTCTCTAAATGATCGCATGCACTTTACGATTTAATAACTGCTTCCCGACTCACACACTCACATCACATACGAGCACATCTCTGAAAGTCCTCGGCGAGCAACTTTAACCAACAATAGTTTGTCTGGTAACCTTCACATTACGACTTTCTTTAAACGCTTTCAAATAACTCGATCACATATCTTGGGACACTCAGAACAGCTATCCACGATCGTCTGTTCCTCCTATATATTTCAATAAACCACATCATTCGTTTCCTTATTTCCGGAGTCACAGCTATTCACCTTCAGTCTTTGGTAGACTATATCTTGAGCTAGTATCATTTCTCGGGCGCCTCCAGGATACTCGTGGTGCAGTATTCCACCGGTACAGGTAACATGCACATGACACAGTGTTGCTATATATGTAAATAGTCTATATATGCTCGTTTTAATAAGTTTCTACACGATTAAAAGTATCTGAACCACGCCTCATGTGGAAAGAATGATGAGAGATACTGTGGTAGCATATTTAGACTAGACTACAGTTACCCCGAACTTGAATTGTGGATGTTTTGGGTAGATGACATACGTGTGTAGAGGTCAATGTTAAATTGTATGACTTAGAAGTGTGCTTCATTAAAATTGAATTAATAAATATTACGCCATACTAAAAACGTATTTTAATAACTATAATATAATAATAAATAACTCAATAAAACTTTAAATATGCCTATACGAGCAGTTTGGTTTTTAAATTCATTAATGCAACTCACAAGCGATATACCCTCGTTATGAATTGTTTCGATGACGTTGTTGTATATCCAGTCGCATTGATGAACACTGTGTGTTTGTTTGGTATTTGTTAAGACGAAAAATTTAGACAACAATCTAATATATAGAAGCTGTGATAATAATCTATCACAAGATTATATATATAAAAATACTGTTTTAAATTCCTCAATACTTAATTGGTATCTAAAGCTGAACTTATAAAATCGTATGAACGTTAAAGTAAGCGGTAGGGTATGTGTGCGACTCGGCTGTTCTGATGCAGCTCGCAGTGTCAGCGAGGAGTTCAGCTCGGGCTGCGAGGGCCGCTCGGGCTCCGGTGGCGGCTCCACGGGCGCTCCGGCCGACCAGGACCACCGGCCGGACCATAAACAACATCGAGACCGCACACCCGACGACAGGGATGAAGGTATTTTGTCTATGGTCGACTATCTATGAGCATAGATTCACACACTAAGTATAGGCGTATGGTATCAATCTAAACCGAGTGTCTAAGATGAGACGAGCAAGCAATTGATTGGCAAAATAATTTCTATGTAATATGTGGGAACATGTGATACAGTCCACTTAACGTGTAAATTATTTAATATTTTAGTAACAAATTCACCATTACGTATATTTCTGCACATTCTAAATTGAGCCTTATCACCTTGAACAATAAGAACACATTTTGATACTCGACATATGTCTCCCATCAGAGGTAGTGAAGGTGTACGACGGCGAGGCTGCGTGGTCTCGCAGGTTGTACCGGCCGGTGGTGGTGGGGAGGAACTTCAGCGAACGCGAGCTGGTGGCGGCCGCCCTGCGCGCCTTCCACGTGGCTCGCGACCCCGAGCAGTTCGAACTGACGGACGCACTCGCGGGGGACGAGCCGCCGCTGAAGGACCCCACCCCACTGGCCAGGGTCACACGCCTGCCCAACAAAAGACCAGCTCTCTTCCTACGATTCAAGTGAGCTAATATCTTCTTTGAAGATACGGTTGTACAGATTCGACATGCACTATCTTCACCTTCACGCTTTTGGAACATATGACCAATTTTTTTTTTTTTATGTTAAGACCCAGTTTCACCAATCATTGTTAAATAAGTGAGACCTTGTTAAGGCGTTTGATGCTCTGTTAGATGCATCGAGCGTCCCACCACGCACAAATGTCCGTTTAAATGTCTTAACAAGCCACTAATATTAATTCCTGCTTTGGAGCTCCGTCTAATGGCTAACAGAATGTTAATATAATGTCAAAACTCAATTGTCCAATCACAGCCCTGATTTCTTGTAACCAATATCTCGACTGTGAAGTAAACTTCACGGTATCTATGTTTATAAACTTCACGGTATCCGTGTTCTCGTGTCAGGGAGGGTGAGTCCGGTGGAGGCACGGTGCGTGTGTACCCGGGGCGTGTGGCGGGCGCGGGGGACGCGTTCGTGACGGTCCCGTGTAACGGAGAGGACGCGGTGGCCGACCTCATGGCCGCGGCCTTGGAGCGCTTCGGATTAGATCCCGGGAACGCCACCAATGATTACCGCTGTTCGGAGATACTGTTAGATCGAGGAGGTTAGTATGAACAAACGAAATACTACATTGATATCACCTATACTTCTTATCCATACCCATATATTTATTTATTCATGTACCAAAAACAAGATAAAAAAAAAGAATAACAAACAAACAAAGTGGTACATAGGAAAGCTTATCTCTATGAGAGATCTCTTCCAGCCACCCTGGAGTGTGAGTAATATTATGTTAAATTGCAGGTAAGGTAGGTACATCTTTAATTTTGGTGACAAAGGGAATAATTAAATTGCGTTCTATTTATTAACTAGTAAACCTGGCGAACTCCGTTTCGCCACCAGAAGGCTTTTATGTAACATTTCGTTTAGTGATTAAAAGATGAAGAATTTTTTTTGTTTTATATTTGAAAAGGAAAATTTTTATTTCATTTCACAACGGTAATGAATTCATTTCGATTAGAAAAATCAAGTGTTATTTAGTTGAACTTCCCTAAGTAAATGAAAGTGTATCCAAAGTAGATACCGAATCGAAGCGTTATAGGTGTCCGAAAATTATCCGTTTCATTGAAGTGGTCCTTTGTGAACCACGTTTTTTTGTTTTTTGGTCTAATTTTAACACAATTAAAGCGGATGGTTTCCAAACTCGTGAACACGCAAAATATAACGCCCATGTGAAAAACAATGATTTTCTAAAGTTATAGCGTCAGGATGGAAAACCGCACTTATTTTTATATAGTAGATCTCTTACAAATATCAAATTGTCATCCATACGTCATTACATATCTACCATTACACGTCAATTGCATAGCTATCTACCATTATACGTCAATTGCATAGGAATGCTGTCGAACGGGATAAAAAGTATCCTATTGCAATTTCCTGGCTCTACAACTACCTCCCTGCCAATTTTCAACTAAATCAGTTCAGCTATTCTTGAGTTATAAGTGGAGTAACTAACACGACTTTCTTTTATATATTTAAATTTACATAAATACAAATAATATATACATACATATTATATATATACATACATTCCTTAATTAATCTCCCAAAATCGTAAACCTAAGTTTCTCCATGGTATGCTTCCCATATCCAGTATCGGAGCGTGTGTTGGAGGAATCTGAGCGTCCGTGGCGTATCGTGGTCCGGTTGGCGCGCGAGTCAGTCCGTCGTATGGAGCTGGCTCGGTTCTACCTCCAGCCCCGCGCGGACCCTCACGGGCCGACGCTCGCGCTGTTCGTAGCCTCGCTACCACCGGGACTGTCTGAGAGGAACTATGAGAACATCTTGGTGGAGTTCCTCGGAGCCGGTGAGTTAATGGAAACTTCATTTTTTATGTCCACAGGCAAAAAGCAGACAGACTAGCTAATGGTAATTGGTAGGTACCTTCGTTCTTGGACATCTGAAATATCAAGGTTTTTATGAATTGCTGACCCTGTTTGAAGAGGAGCTGTCAAAAAACGTGAAATTAGTATGAGTGGCGTAAATGTTTTTTTAGTTTATTATATTAATAACCAAAATTAAAACCTCTTTATGTTTTTTTTTAATTTTTATACTTTGGTCCACTGAAATATCAAAAAGTTTACGATATTCAAAGTTACGGATACTGGATGTCTGAATCAATTTCTTCCCATAATACCTTTAACAGAGAACAAGTTCACATCGATCGGTCCCATCTACTACGAGTACGGGTCTATGGTGATCACGTACGAGGACGCGAGCAAGGCCGTGCGCGCCTTGTACGCTCTGAGAGAGGCGCGCTATGAAGATAAGCATTTATTAGGTACGGCTGATACATACAAATATTTAGTTATATCCAACAAAATAAACTTATTCTTAGAATCGACTTACAAAAAATATAAACTCGACTCGACTGGTTATATATTTCATTATGACAAAATTTTGGCTGTTTTAAAAATTATATAAACTAATTTTTTTTGAGAAGCTACGAGCTTACGAAGCTACGAAGCTTTCTTGTTGACTTAAATGACATCTAAAGTCTTAAAAAATCATTGCACGAAAATTTTCTCGTGTTAAATTCATGTTGACGTGACACAGACAATTTTCAATTGGCCGCCAAATCGTAAAACAAATGACAAATATATGAAATATATACTCAGTAATATTGGCAAAGAGTTCTGTTCTCAAATTTTAGAATTATTTTTTATTATATTGTTTATAAGTGGCCAGTTCTAAGAACTTTCAGTTTGACCCTCGTACTAAATCATATTTTTGTTTAGTTATGTTATTACCGAGCATCGAGCCATCCATGGTCCCGGCGGGCGTGAAGCCGCTGTTAGTGTTCGTGAACGTCAAGTCGGGAGGCTGTCAGGGCCTCGAGCTTATATCCTCGTTCCGCAAGCTCCTCAACCCTTACCAGGTGTTTGATCTGGAGAACGGCGGCCCTTTACCTGGGTGAGTATAAAACTTACCTTCTATGTGTACGATAAATTGATAATACTCATTAAATTGATTGATTTGATATTATATAATGAGATGAGAACGCCCGGTATGCTTAGTGAATGCAAACTGAACTAAATTATAAGTTAATATGATTTGCAATGAAACAAAATGATGCGTGCATTTACATTATTCTGTAATTACGTCGATCACAAATCGTACAGTATGAATTGTTTTACATAATTGAACCACATGAAGTTAGTAACTGTAGTGTATGTATCTATACAATAAATACAATACACTGTCTCACGTACCCCACTGGAGGGGGTGGCATGCGCTCGGTAGTGTAATGACTAGCGCAGAATGGAACGGGGACGTGTGCCTTCGCTCTAGGCGGGGTAGTAGTGAGCCAGTGGGTAGTAGTGAGCCAGTGACTAGTTATACTTACATATAGGACCAGGGATCCTAGAGTAACAATCGATATAATATATGTTCCCGGCCAGGTTGTACGTGTTCCGTCACATCCCCAACTACAAGATCCTGGTGTGTGGAGGGGACGGCACCATCGGCTGGGTGCTGCAGTGTCTGGACAATGTAGGCCAAGACTCGCAGTGCTCCAACCCGCCGTGTGCCATCGTACCGTTAGGAACAGGTTAGTGGTCTTCACTTTAATTTGCTTTAAATCCGACAGAATCAAATGTAATTCTATACAAAACAGATTACGTAAAAATATTTCGCATATATACTAACAAATAACGCCATAACGATTCTTATCCCTACTAATATTATAAATGAGAAAGTAACTCTATCTGTCTGTTTATTTGTTACGCTTTCACGCCTAAACCACTGAACTGATTTTAATGAAATTTGGTACAGATATAGAGTTGACCTTGAGAAAGAACATAGGATAGTTTTTATTCCAGACTTTTAAAAGATTCTCTTGGAAAGGCGATATAACCGAACTCGACGCGGACAAAGCTGCGGGCGGATAGCTAGTTCTGTATAAGCTTCATTTTACAGTTTATGTTCTCTAAAACGTACATGATATCGTAAATTTAACCTATAGTAGCCATGATAACTAATACCTTTCAAAATCCTGCTGTCATGTTAAAGTATATCATATTCTGTCAGGTAACGACCTAGCTCGTGTGCTCCGCTGGGGCTCAGGTTACGCTGGTTGCGAGGATCCTCAGTCTCTGTTGCGTGACGTCATCGATGCAGAAGAAATCCGCCTCGACCGATGGACCGTGGTGTTTCACCCCGAGGACAAGCAGGACGAACCCAAAGAACTCTCCAAACAACTGCCTGGTATACAATAACTACATTTACATATACAAATATTTTTGCATGGTCTCGAGTTAAATAGCTCTATGGTATATCTAATTTTTTCTCACGTCAGGCTCGCAGAGCGAAGACAACTCTCAGATCCTCGTAATGAACAACTACTTCGGTATCGGCATAGATGCGGACCTTTGTTTAGATTTCCATAACGCACGCGAAGAGAATCCTAATAAATTCAACAGCAGGTATTGTGTATTATCGACTTTTATACCATATCATTTATTATATAAACTTTTCTAAGTATTTGTGATGTATAATTGTTACATAATTCAATGTCCAGGCTCCGTAACAAAGGCGTGTACGTTAAGATGGGTCTCCGTAAGATGGTCGGTCGTAAGATGTGCAAGGACCTGCACAAGGCCGTCAAGCTCGAGGTGGACGGCAAGCCGGTCGACCTGCCCGCTGTAGAGGGCATTATAATTTTAAATATACTTAGGTCATTATTATCACAATTATAGTGCGTTTGATTTAAGCTGAGCTTTGCATTTGTGTGAGTGTAGGATACTGTAGGTTTGATGTCAAATTTTTGAATGCCACGTTCTTTTCTAGTTTTTAACCGGTTTGTACTGCTTTTACTCCGCCTCGCACCTTCCTCACTTCACCTTTTTGTACTGATAGCAAAATCAAATGTTCAAACGCAATGTCAAGTGAATAAGAATTTGTATTGTTTTTTCAAAATTTTTATTAATCAATATTTTTTTTCCATTATATTCATAATTTTTCCATCTGGTCTTTTACAAGTTTTGCTTATTTTATAGCACTTATGTTATGTATCTATTTAAGATATAATAAAATTAAATTCTAAAAGTTTTTGTCCAACTCTACTTTTACTTTCACTCACACGAATGCAAAGCTTAAGTCTAACGGACTATACAACATTAGCTACTTTTATTTATCCAACTTGTCGTGATATTGACTGTATTCTGTCGGTGTAAAGTTGGGGTTCAGGCGCTAACCCGTGGGGTCCGGAGAAGGACGATCAGTTCAACAAGCCCAACCACTGGGACGGGATGCTGGAGGTGGTGGGCGTCACCGGGGTCGTGCACCTCGGACAGATACAGTCCGGACTGCGGGGCGCCATGAGAATAGCACAGGTCACTATATACAGAGCTTTACCAACATCTATATATGTAAAAATGGATTGCTGTTCTTTAGTCTCACTAAAACTCGAGAACGGCTGAACGGATTTATCTTATCATAGTCTTGAAATGTTCGTGGAGGTTCGGGGAAAGTATAAAAGCTGAAAAAATTGAATTATTTCCGAGAGAATCCTGTAAACAGCTCTTTTCTATTTCCCATACAAACGTTTTTTTTTTTTGACAATAGATTTGACAACTAACTAATATGTGAATCATTCTGTCGCACTTCAAAACACTGAGATTTATGGCTTAAAGGTAAACTCCAAAAATATAAATAAAAAAACGTAACAGATATTTCTTGATTATAGAGCGATACGAAGTTCGCCGGGTCTTCTAGTTTGTCTATATGAATGAATCTAAAACACTTGTTAAAATAGTAATCATTAAAAAAACTAATAATATATGTGTTTGTCTCAGGGGGGTCATATTAAGATTAATCTAAAAAGCGAGATTCCGGTACAAGTAGACGGCGAGCCGTGGGTCGCGGCCCCCAGCGAGGTGGTCGTGCTCAAGTCAGCGCTCAAGGTAAGTGACGCTACGGGGTCGATGGGGGGCCTGATACTACCCGGGGGCCTTTACATCACGCATAGACTAGGCTACCAGAAGCGGGGGCTTCACGCTCCCGTTAAGTGTTTTGATAGTTGTGGTGTGTAAATGTGTACGTATTTGTTGCACCATCTGATATTTTTCTATAAAAAGCATGCAATACAGCTCCTCTGCTTGGTTCGCGTGTTCCGGATGATGCAACATCTATTTATATATCATACCCAGACATAGAGCATGAATCCAAATTTCACAAAAGTCACACGCTTATAACAAACTCGTTAGATATCCGATGATTGTATCTGTATGACCAGAAGCTGGGAATAACCGTCCTCGTTGATAGTTGTGATCATTTTATTTCCTTTATCGCTGTTGTTGGCTACTTTCTTTTCGTTGCTTCGCTGATGCACGCCACGCTCGCGTCTTCACCGCCCGAGACAGCGCCGGACCTCTGACAAGATCACCCTGTTATTTCCATTTCAATCCAATGTTACTGAACTGATATTCCACAGCGAGCACCTCTCGTATGCCAGAAGTTTGTTGACAGACCCATGTGGCTGTCTGTTCCGAGTGGATCAGTTTCAGTAACATTGACAAATGAATACATTAGCACACCACGGCGCAACACGCGGCCCTACACCTGATGTCTCGGCCTGGTCTCCGACCGCCGGGTCCCCGCCTCCCCGTAGTCGTGAGTCGTGTGTCTGTTCTACTCGCTCGTCTACTCGGTCCAGCCGGTCACAGCCCCGGCGCTGCTCGGTCTTTTCGCTTTGTTCGTGCGTCCGTGTACTGAATTCAAAAAGCGGTGTGTGCCCGATTACTGTCAATGTCACTGGCACAGTCGATGTTCTTTAAAACAAAAACTAAAAAAATGGGTTACACTATACACCGAAGCGCGGGATTTTACATTTTCCTTCGAAATCGACTAATTATGATTTGTATGAACGATATCACATATCGTTGTGAAGCTGGTGGGAGTACATAGAGATACGTTAAACCGGAGTAAAGGGTTCGATTAGGGAGCATTGTCAGTGTAAGGACTATGTAAGATCCCGGTGCGTGAAGCGGGCGACTGTGAGCGGGTGTTTGTGACCGGCAGGCGACCATGCTGAAGAAAACCAAGCGCGGGTCGGGCGCGGGCCCCGCCGCGGGCCCGTGATGCCGGCCCGGCTCAGTGGCGCGCTGCCCGCAGGCCACCATGCTGAAGAAACGCGGTAAGGTGAGGCGCCGCAGCACGGAGCCCTCGCTGGCGGCCCCCGGAGCCCCGGCGACTCCTCTGCCGGCCCCCGCGCCGCCGCCCGCTCCCCCAGACTCCTGAATCTGGCTCAGCGAGCGCCTCATCTGACGCCTCGGGCTCAAGGTCGTGCAGCGGGCGCTCGCCGGGACTAGATTCCCGAAAAGTAGACGTAGATCGTTTTCAAATTGTACCGTGAGTATGTAAATACACTAATGACAGAAAATAATTATATAAATAATATTTAAAAAAAAATAAATTTATAGTCCCTAGTCGTTGTTTCATTTCTAGTCAAGTATTCGTTTCAAATATGATGTATAAAATAAAAGTAAATTGTGACTGTATGTTTTTCATTTTATTGTTGTTTTTATTTATAACTAAGTGACTATTGCGAGTAGATACTATTGAAACTTATTATTAAACGTTATAATGGTATCGGTTGTTTAAATTTCAAATACTCTAGTATAGTTGTAGTTTAGTTACTCATAAATCCCTCACGCCACCTTTCACCCAGTCTGAATGTTTCACTGAGTCATTTAAAACGTAAGTTATTAAAAAACTATGAAAAAAAAATCTAAGAAATTATTTTTTCACAAGTGTGTTGTGTAAAATTTTTCAAAATACTTTGTTGCACAGCTGAAGAACATTTCATTAAAACTTTGATAATAAGTAAAGAAAATAAAAGTAGAGAGGAAATATTGATTGAGAAATGACAAAAAAAGCTTAAAAATGGATGTAATAAAACTTTACAATAATATTAAATTATTGTGTGCCATCAATATGGCCAGCTGTGGTTTCATTAAAGCCTCACAATTGAATAATAATTAATTGCATACTAATATTTCAAACACTACAGTCAGAGCAAAGCCATTAAAATTATAATTACAGCATTCATTATTAAACTTCATCTATATTCTAATAAAGTAAATATTTGCATCAATCATGTTACTCAAATATAGTATTATATAATATAATAATTCAGTTAAATTACTCAAAAAAAGTCTATTTGACATGCAGTCTGATAAAAAATGGCCTATTTTATACATTGAAACAAATATAAATTTAAAGTTCTTTATTTAAATCTCAATTTCTTAAAATATGGACATTACAACCCGAAGGAACGAAGACACCATTTTATAAAGAACAAAGTAAATAAAAAAGGCTAAATAATAACCGCTTATATACAATAAGTTGATACATATTTTTTTACAATATAGTTCTGCCAAGCACTGTACAAAATGAAATAAAAGATAAAATATCACAAAACATCATTTAATATGTACAGATATATATAAGAAAAGCATTTTTTTTATTCATAAATATTTCATAAACATCTTTGCATATATTAAAACACTAAAAGCGAATCTGAAACTTACATTTTGTACTTTGTCATTTATCAGCTAAGTATGAAAACAATAGGTCTCAGAAAAATTGGAAATCAAATTTCACCTTTTTTGCTTCAAGGCAGAAGTCACATACAAGATATAAAATTAACAACCTCATTTGAGTACCTCGAAACTATTTCCCTTTGCTTAAGAATTAATATTTATTTTTTTAAAGGCATTTATAGTACATGCAACAACTCTTAATTATACATTAATGTTAATCCAAAAATGTTATCAAGCATCATTTGAGACCGTCATCGGAATCTGGAAATAAAAATGATGGTTAGAATACACCTTAAGTAAAATATAATAATACATAATAAACTCTCTGATGACATATACATATACGTGTGTGTGTTAGAGTGTGCCTTGTTTGTGTGTATAGATATACCCAGAAAAATTTATGTGTGTGTGAGGAAGTTTTTGATACCTATTGTGTATTGTTGGTGAATGTAGATACACACAGCAACGTGTACGTGTGTGAGTGTTTTTGATGCCTAGTGTGCATTGCTGTGTGTAGATATACACCAAGGTGTACGTGTGTGCGCTTCTGTATAGTCCCTAGCGTGTATTATGTTTTTCATGAGAATCAATTACATCGAAATCAATATGAACATTTAAGCGACGTTGTTTGTTCATACAGCTATGTATGTATGTACATGTTTGTTTCTGGTGCGTATCTCACCTAAGTGGTCCCCATAAGCGGCGCGGCGGTGTCAGCAGTAAAAGCCCTCACTCTACTGAACGTGAAGGGCGGGAACTTGTTGGGGAGCAGGTCGAAGGAGGTCCAGTGGTCGCGACCGGTCGTCACCAAGTACCGGCGCCACACGAGCTTACTGTTACGACGGGAACGAACACTTCCTAGCTCCAAGTCCTGAGGAAAAACACAAATGGAGGGGATGTTATACATAAAATATTATATACTAGCTGCGCCCTTATGTTTCCTTCGGATTTCCGGGGTGTACAATAGCCTGTGCTATTCCTGGACGTCAGCTTCCTGTATACAAAATTTTATCGAAACCGCTTCAGCCGTTTGAGCGTGAAGAAGTAACAAACATACACACACAAACTTCCGCAATTATAATATTAGTAAGATTCATACTTTATTAAAGCTGAAGCTAGATTTTGTGAAAATATAGAAAAAAAAAATTCAACTCAGTTAAAATTAGGGATAAAAAAAATTTGGAAACTCTTTCATCTCTCAACTTAATAATTAAATAAGTCAAAACATAATTAATTAAGTATTCATATATAATTTTAATTAATATCTACACTAATTAAACGTATATAATTTTTTTTCAGTCATCATTTTGATTAACTCAAGAAAACGACATTAATTTCACTTGTATAGTGAAGAAAACATATTTTTAAAACCATATTAGTACTGTACAAATTACGGTACAACAATGATCACTTTTGAAGGTGCAAAACTGTATAATTAACTACCCACACATATAAAAAATGTAAACTCATTTAACGTATTTTAAAAAACAACTTGCTAATTATATTTTAAACAATAGATAATCAAAACTAAGAAAACAATACATTAAATTGGTACTTAGTATATTAATAAATGTTTTGTTACAAGTGTAATTCTCATGTAAGTGATAATAATGTCTTAAAGGCAATAAATATCTCCAAAACCATTCTGAAAACGGATTGATGTAACTGTGAAGGACAAAACCGATTTAAAAGAAACTACACTACAATTATACATAAGTATGAAATATAGTTTTAAAATTGGTATATCAAATAACCATTTTGATACAACTTTGCCGCTATATCATCCCTACTAATATTATAAATGTGAAAGTAACTCTGTCTGTCTGTTACGCTTTCACGCTTAAACCACTGAACTGATTTTAATGAAATTTGGTACAGAGATAGAGTTGACCTTGAGAAAGAACATAGGATAGTTCTTATCCCAGACTTTTGAAAGGTTCTCTTGGAAATGCGATATAACCGAACTCCACGCGGGCGAAGCTGCGGGCGGAAAGCCAGACTTAGTTCATATCATAATGGACTATATAGTTATTATTCGTACCAGATGGAAGATCTGTTCCTGTTGCTCGACCACCTCCTTCCTCCTCGATCTGTACCTGCCGCTCGCCTGCGACACTCGCTTCTCACACGCCTTCTTTATTACTATGGCCACCTGATAATAGAATAACACCATATATATCTATATATAGGAATTAATGGTTACTCCTAAAGGTAATATGAAGATTAATATATTTTCAAAGTAGCACAAATAACAACAATTAATATTTCATAAATAAATGTCATTATATAACGAAGAGAATCTATAGGATTTGAAACACATATCTCAGTATTAGTAATATATTGTAAACTAAAACTTTCAATATTGTATGAACTTTATCAACTAATATAAATAAAAAAAACTTTCAAAGAAAATATATAAAATCCTTCAAATTGTTATCATATTAATTCTAATCCAAACTTAGTTATACAAAAATAAACCATATGACTATAATAATACAAAGATCCTGACCCTGGCAAGTACCAATGTGATTTTGCCGAGTCATATGTACTTTCTAAGAGTATTTACTATTTAAACATCACTGATTAATGCTGATTCCCAAAAGAGGGTTGACGTCAGACAGGCGGCCGGTCGTAAAAACAAATAGCCAAAACTATTCATAACATGTAAGGCAGACCCTGGCTATAGCTGGGAAATTGCCAGGTAAATTCATAATATATATACCGTGTCTCCCACCAGTCGGTAGTGTCCAGACAATATCCCCAGACTGTTCTTGGTGTCCCGGTGTCTTAAGTGTCCCACACACGACGCTGGCTCGTCTGCTGTGGTCCACATAAGGACCAGGCCTTCGGGGAAGAACCTGGTGCAAATATATTGATATTAATCAAACAAAATTATTTTTTTAATTACATGTTAATATTGAACAATGGATAAAGAGATAACGCACGACAAACGTGCAATACTGTAATTATGTAAATTGAAAAATAATAATCAGGTTACATTTACCTTGCATATGTTACTTATTTGTTAGATTGTGCATTTTATATTTTTTTATATCTTTAGTTAATTTTATTACTCTATTTTGTCATACTCGTATTATTATATTATTGGCTTGATGTCTTTTATTGTTTAATAAATTAAGTACAAAATATAAATGTATTGAGATGTCAATGTAATTGTGAGTTAACGACGATGAATTCCAGTGTACGGAAAAACCAATATTTATTGGTTTATGAGACACTGTGAAAACTTAGACATAAATGTAAAAAATACCAACATAATTGTAATAAATAATAATAAATTGACTACTCAAATTATTATCATATTGTAAGATACTTAAAACATATGATTTTTGAAGTGAAACTTCTTTAGGCGCATGAGGGTAAAATTTTTATAGATGTAACGTCACGCCGGTATGCAACGGAAGTGTCGAAAAAGAGAGAGAGAGCGATAGAGACATATTGAGAGAGAGTGAGACAGAGCGAACGTAGCATGAAGCAACTAGAAGTAGAGTGAGAGTAGGACGCAAGCGAGTGAGAAAGATTGAGAGAAAAAGTGAGACAGCGAACGTCGTATAACGTTTTAGATTTGTATTAATATAAACAAGATTTATAAATTAGTTCGCCAAAGAAGTTTCACTGACATGTGTACTTTGTACGCACGCATTTTTTTAAATAAAAGTAGCCTATATTACTTACTCCCTACTACATCATCTACCTACCAGTTAAGGATTCTTCAAAATCTGTTCAACCGTTTCAAATATTAGGAGGTAGAAACAGACAGACAAAATTGTAACCCAAATCGAGTATATCAGCCATGTATCATAAATAAACAAATAACCAAAATAAAGATAATACTATTTAGATTTCTACGCGTTATTTTATTAGTTTAAAATATTGCTTTGTAGCAACCGTGATCACGGGCAGACAATCATTCACATCTAATCATAACTTTAATTTAATGAACACTCACGAAAGTCTTAGGTTTCATTAAACAGAAAGCCATTTTTTATATATTAATAACTATGACAATTTAGTATGAAATGAATTATATAGTACTAGCTTTCCGCCCGCAGCTTCGCCCGCGTGGAGTTTAGTTATATCGCGTTCCCAAGAGAAACTTTCAAAAGTCTGGGATAAAAACTATCCTATATTCTTCCTCAAGATCAACTCTATCTGTACCAAATTTCATTAAAATCAGTTCAGTGGTTTAGGCGCGAAAGCGTAACAGACAGACAGACAGAGTTACTTTCGCAATTATAATATTAGTAGGGATATGTAACTTACCTAAGATATCTGTAATAATCGACCAGGTACCACGGCCTATAGAATTGGTCCTGGAAATTGTTCTCTCCGTGTCTCACGTACGTGGTCTTGCTTATGTACACTCCGTTAAGGTTCAATCTCGCTCGCTCTATGTACATCTGTCTCCACGTAGGGTAACCATGCACACGCGGCGTGCCACATTCTATACCCCATGTCCTAAAACATGCATAAAGTTGACTTACTTTGCATATGCATGCATATGTATAAATAAAAATAAATTCTGTACTATATATTTATGTTGTAAGACAGCAAGAGTTAAGAGCTATTTACTAGATCAGACAACTAATAGTAGCAACGGAATTAATACCAAATATGGTAATAATATGTTTATCATATGTTATCATTAAAGCTATGTGGTTTTCATAGACATAGAAAACTCATTCAACTTCTATAACACTATTGTCCCTATAGAATTACAGTCACTTTCATTAAATACTCTTATGTTCTTCTACCTTATATCCCCACAACTAGTTGCTTATACCCCCACTACTAGTCCTCCACCTCAAATTGTTCATACACTATGCAATAATAAACTTAATACACTTTGCAATAATAAAATTTGTTCACTAACTTGACACACAGACAGCGCCATATGTCGGGCTCCCGTGCCGCTACATACAGCCCCCTACAGACGGCGGCCACACGCTCCAGGGAGGCGCCGTCGAGCTCCGCCCCCACCACCCAGCGGAGCACCAGCTGGATCACTTCATACGGCAACCATGAGATGTGACCACCCTGATACAATACAACATGAGAACACACTGTATATACAATGGGGCATCGATTTTGAATTAGTTTAATTATAAACTTAATAGGAAGGAAGTTGATTTGTTTCATAAAAATAATGAGCGGCCAGTGCTGAATAAGGCAGTGATTGTTACTAATAGTGAGGCCTGCCATTATGATATGGACAGCCGTCAAACGAAGTGTGTACCTATGAACAGCCAAAACCGCCATGAGGCACTCTCCTGACGCTCTAATATACAGGGTGACTGGTGAATTACTATCAATATTTAAGGAGAATACTCGGTACATGATTCTCATTCGAATTATGTAAAAAAAATAGGCACTTAATTTTTGACAAAATTTCCGTATCAATAAATAAAGTGTTGACACGTTCCAAATGTTCAAGTGTGGACGCGTGCAGCGACGTGCTGATACAACACTACGTCACGACACGCGTATGTGTCAGTGTGAGTGTATACCTAATCTGTAGGGTGTTCACACGATGCGTAATTAATTACATAACTTTTGGTTAACTTTACTTAGAAGTTTATTAATATTTATGTTATATTAATTTTTATTTTGTCATATATGATCGTCAAATATCACGTCCTCAAATATCGATAGTAATTCACCAGTCACCCTGTATATACATTACATATAAGATCATTGTTCTTAAACTTTTTAATGTCTTTGTATATTTTATATAAACTATTATAATGTTAGAAGGTTGCAAGTGGATTAACACTAATTAATATAGTCAAAAAGAAATAGACATATTGATAAAGTGAATTAATGAGTTGGTAAGAATATTCATGAAAATCTTAGTATTATTGATCTCATTAGGTACAAATATAATTTATTATTCAAATTAATTCATAACTTTTGTTCGAATTACAATCTTTTTTTTGTTATTCACAACATACCAAGACAATAAGTTATATATGTATATACTTTTTTGTATATATATTTTTTTTTTGTTTAATAATGTAATATCATTGCATCATAGAGATGTTATATAAAATATATAACCTTTGTAGGGTGTGCCATTTCTAAGAGGTATCCCTTCTTTGCCACAATCCTCTGTAGTCGAGACAGTAAGTCCTCTCCTTCTATAACGTCATCATCATCATCTTCATTGTTATCAACACGACTCACCTCCTGCATCTCAGACTCAACTGAAATTTAAATTACATTAAGATAGTATTAAAAATCAATTTAATAGTATTGGGAAATAAATAAAGTACATACAATGGGAGTATAGCTTACAGGTGTTTCATTTCATTAACATTAAAAACTTGTTAACACTTTGCTTAATAGAATATTCATATAAAAAAACCACTCATTGGCTAATTATTGTATCAAATCTATGAATTTAATGCTTGTTTTATCATTTATAGAGAGCAAGCTGCTAATTTTGTTATACTACATGGCTTGCAGGGGGCTTATTAATGAAGTCCTAGTGTTACTACCTCAGAATATCTTCTTGTTAAAAAGGGTATTAAGTTTGAGACCAAAAGTTATACATTAGAATTGGAATTAGAATTAAATGTCAAATGGATTATATTTTTTTAGGATATAAGTAAGAGGATATAAATAAGAGTAATACTGAACATTTTCTTCTCACTAACACTAACCTTCCGGAGGGTCAGGTCTGCCGTCTGTTTCCTCATATAACCTGCTCTCAACATCGGGAAGAATTTGTATAGCTCGCTTGTAATGCTGAATCGCTTCATATAATTTTCCATTTCTCTCAAATTCAACACCAAGAAGAAATAATTGTTTTGCCTGAAACATGAAAATGAGATCTTGATGTATTTGTTATGCAATAATTTTTATACATAAGGTTGGTAAAAAACTCATGTAAGGTTAGGTAGAGAGAGGAGCTTGGACAGTGGAGGTGAGTGTTTAACGCACATTAGATAGGGCCCTTTAAATCTACACCTGGGTTGCAAGTCCGAGGCACTGTTGAAGCTCCTCTCCCTGTAATGTGGCACCCACACTATGAATACATGGAATTCTGAGAAGTTTCATCTCAGTAGTAAAGTGAAAACTTGTTTACCTCTTCCTCGTCAGTGAGAGGCTCTTTATGAATCTTTTCCGGTTTCACCGAAGACTGACCTCCCTTGTATGGTGAAGATTCAAGTTCTCTCTGCCATTGCTGTCGAAAAACTTCTAATTCATCTTCAATATTGTTTTTCTGGAAGAAAATTATACAAATCATTTAAAACTTAAAATAATCCAAGAAAACTATTGAAATGTTATTATGACAAGTAGTACTTATAAATATAATGTTAATAAATTTTTTTTTGCAGAAATAAATTTTAATTGATTAATATAGTCAATGGTGTAACAGCAATCCTACCTACCTACCTAATAATTCTGTTCAAAATCACATTGTTTTTTATGCTAAAAGGTTTAATCGAGCAGACAGCCTACCTGATGTAGGTATTACTGTTGCTCATGGACATTGGCAACATAGATTTCTGTATTTAACTTAACCACAGCTAGTCTCAAACTCAAAACTCAAATAACTTTATTCAATATAGAAGCATTACACTTTCTTATTGATGGTCACTTGAGACACTACCACCGGTTCGGAAAAGAAAATACCCTGACCTGAGAAGTACCGGTCTACAACCTTTATTTTACCACATTTTCTTTATAACATCATTATTATTACCCCATCATCCAAGTTCACCCGTTCCAACAGATGTTTGGTCTCCGACACTGTCTGTATAGATGAGGAGGGGTCCTCCTGCTCATCTCCATCGCAGTCACTCCCGCTGCCGCTACCTGCGCCACCACCCGTGTTTGATACTGATGCCTAGCAACAATTCATATATAAAATATATACATACATATATATCAATAAAATGTAAATGCAAAATATACATTGACTATTGTATATTTATTTAAAATAATTGACTATGTCGTATATATTTCCATATGTTATTTAAATCTCAATTAAAATACTGACTATTACGAATTGAAGTTCATAGTATTAAATTTATGGAAATTTATAAAGAAGCACACAATTAAATTTGGATGAATATGTTTTAATAACTGGTCAAGTGTAGTTAATATCGTATAATTTTTAATTAATAGTATTTTTAATAATAATAATTTTTTTACCATCGTTCACAGAGAAAAGATATAATTTTAATAGCCGTTGCTATATCAGCAGTCCAGTAGTGATTATGCAGCAATTTTAAGATAATATAGATAGTTTCACTTTCTATATTTATGTTCTTTTAGTGTATGCTAATGACAAATTTCGTATATATTTCGGAGGTCGGGTCTAGGTTTTGCAACTGAATGTCGACAAGTTCATCAAATGTCAAAATATGTCAAATTAAACAGGTAAAACGCCGTTTTTTAATATAATATATTTCAATGAAACAGAAAGTATACTATATTATTCTATTGAAGTATTAAAAGATTGATCAATAAATCTGGACTTTATAATTTAGAAAAATATTTATAACAATATTTAAAAGTATATGTCATTCTTTAGCCATTTAAGGGACATGTTACAATTCAACTATATACGCTGTGATGTATGATCTGTCATTTCGTTTTATGGAGTTATAGGTCGTGGAAACATTGGTTTTATAACTTAAAACCAATGTATTATTATAGATTACAAGTTCCATAAGGAAATATTTATGTAAGCTAGAAATTTTACATAATAGGTCATTTTCAGTTTCAAAAAGTATTAAGACTTCATTTTGAGTTAAAAGTACATATAGTGATATCCAAAATGGTGAGTTTCCAAGAAATTTCCTTTTTATTGACATTAGTATATAAAGGTTATATAAACGTATTTAATATTTATTAAACTTTAAACATTAATCTATGTTTCCGCCACATATTATTTACAGATGCAATTCATGTTGCTATTCAGTAGACAAGGTAAACTGAGACTTCAGAAATGGTATGTGGCGCATCCAGACAAATTAAAAAAGAAAATTACGAGAGAGCTTATAACAACTGTCCTAGCGAGAAAACCGAAAATGTGCTCCTTCTTAGAATGGAAAGATGTCAAAGTTGTTTATAAAAGGTAAAACATAACATACTAAAGAACTGGATGGAAATAAGTATCTATATCATATAAATTTTGTTTATTATGTTCAATTTCTTTCAAAACTCTCTTTTTTTTCCTGCCCTGTTCCCACTTTATGTAGGGTCAGTACAACATTTTATCAAACATAAAACTACAAACGAATTTCTTAAACTATAGACCATTAAAACTATGATACAATTAAAACTATGATTATGTACGATATTATAATAATAAAATACAATTAATGAGATAACTTTATTCAATCAGAGGAAAATGTCATATAGAACTATAAAATTTTCTGTCTATAGCTTGCTAACTTGTAATAAAGGTCTATAGCACTCTTATTCAGATACAAACCCTAGCAATTACTAATAATTACACTACTATGTATAATCTTCTACCTGGCAATTTTCCAGCTTTTAGCCAGGGTCTGCCTTACATGATATGAATAGTTTTGGCTTATTTTTTTTACAACCGTCCGCCTCCCTGATATCAACCCTCTTTGGGAATCTACTATGTATGATATATTAATTAAATTAACACTATATTGAATTGGCCATTTTGTATTCCAGATACGCATCCCTGTACTTCTGCTGTGCCATGGAGCAAGAGGACAATGAACTGCTGACACTGGAACTCATACACAGATATGTGGAGCTGCTCGACAAATATTTTGGAAGTGTATGTTGTACTTGACTTGTATTATTATACTTTATATAAACTAGAAGACCCGGCAAACTTCGTATCGCCCTATAATCAAGAAATATCTGTTACGTTTTTTTATTTATATTTTTCGAGTTTACCTATTAAAGCAATAAATCTCCGTGTTTTGAAGTGCGACAGAATTATTGACATATTAGTTAGTTGTCAAATCTAATGTCAAAAAAAAGTTTGTACCAGCAACTACTAATAAATTAAAATTAATTAAAGAAACATTGTCCAGCGGACAAATTGTGAATCTAAACCATTCCCAGATCCCCTTGAACAGACACAAACAAAAATTTCATCAAAATCGGTTGAGTCGTTTGAGAGAAGTTCAGTGACATATATACTCACAGAAGAATTACATATATAAAGATATATATTATACATGGGTCGGTTATAGTACTGGCCCACTCTTCCGGTGATGCTGTAAAAGCTGCATGGCTAACAGCAATAGACACAATTATCTTGAAACAATTTAAATTTTCTACTTTATAGTGTAATGGACAAACCAATAATCTTTCTTATACTGAGACATAACCAATGATGCCTTTTGTAGCTTTTTGTATTTCAAGTATAGGCCACTTTAGAATTTGATTATAGAAATACAAAAGAACTGTATTTATAGCCACTTCTATGACATTTGCTGATAATATAGACATTGAATCTATAAAGATTGACATTTTATGTGTGTGCATCAATGTGGTAGTTGTGTAACATTTTTTTATTAATTTAATGTATTTTAATTATAAAAAATAGCTTTATACCACGTCATAACAAAACTAAACTTCACCTTTACATTTATATACATTAAAGTAAATTGTCACATTAAAATCTGTTACCATAATTTCAGGTGTGCGAATTGGATATAATTTTCAACTTTGAGAAGGCTTACTTCATTCTGGACGAGTTGGTGCTCGGCGGTGAGTTGCAGGAGACCAGTAAGAAGAATGTTCTCAAAGCAATCGCTGCCCAGGACTTACTACAGGAGGTCAGTAGTCAGGATAATGAGCTTGTGTAACATATATAACAGTTTAAATTCATTATTAAGAAATTTTTAATGTATTTTGACTCTTTATTATTCACATTTTTACGTTATAGATCCTAATTTCTTGGTAATTGTTTATATATTAATGTTTTTTGAGTCAAAAAACATTTATTTTTCTTAAATGTTCTTCATAAGTATTGGTCGACTTAACTTAGGTTTTCATAAGTTATTTTTTTATAGTTGTGTGTTATAAAGTTTGGGGGTTTGAAGTTTTCTGTGTAGATTAAGTGAATTTTCAATCTATATATTAAAATTATAGATTGTTTAATTTTTATATCGAAAACATTTCAATTAAATTTAAAGACAATAACATTATTCAACTGAATGAAACAATTGGAATATACATAAAGTATATGCTTTTTCCATATCAATAATTTAAAGAATATATTCTTAATGTTATAAGTATAGCATGGAAATTTGAATGAAATATTTGACAAATTAAATTGAAAATATATAAAAATAATAATTTAATAATTGCTCATATTATCTGGTGGTGGTTTAAATATAACTTATTTCTATGATTTATAGTAGGTATAAAGTTATTTAATATATTATGTATACTGTTAGAAATTTTATGTAAACTCTAGTCAAACCTACTGTCTGGACTTGCCTTTAAATGGACTTTGTATTAGGGTTTATAGTAAAGAGGACCAGTGACGGCGTTGGCCTGTGTAGTGCCTTTGATTTGTAATGTCTATAGACATTTTTTTATTAGCACTGCCTTTTATACATATTATTAAACATGAAGCACATGTTTCGAACATATCCTTATATTAAGTAGAGTAATATTAGATAAAAATAACAAAAAAAAAGTCCCAAATTATATTATATACATATATGTTTAGTGGATATCACATATAAAACTTACCGACATGATTCTAAGTACCCCTAGCTTCCCTGTGGCACTGCGCACTGCTAATATTTCCTATTTTGGTGTGAATATGCATGCTCTGGTGGCGATCAGGATTTGAACGATGGACTATTGCACTGATGATCTACTTTCCAACAGTATTGTATAAAAAAAACTCTTTTACACATGTAAAAAGATATTTATTTGATCAAAATATAATTACATAGTGTTGGAATTATAAATATTGGAGACTTAGCTTAATTTTTTCTATATATGTCATGTGTAAAAGGGTTTAAAATTATATATATTTATATATACATTATTTGTCAGTGTAACTTTTAGTCATTGCTTTGCTTCATATAATTTTATTGCATGCATATATATTTTTATCCTTTATTATTTCTTATTTTCATACATTATTTTGCATACAAATTCATATCTTGAATCACGGACACTGATACATTTTAATTAAAAAAATATTTAAGCATTCCTGTAGTAGATTTATATATGATATTAAAAGTTATAAATTCATCAAAGTCCATTGTGTAATGTTTATATTTAAATATATAATAATGATCCATTTGATATTTTATTTCGATCATATTGAATATATAAGCAGAATATCGAGCTTAATAGTGGAATCTCTTTATCATTGCTATTTGTGGCCCGTCATCCATTCTGGCTAGTAGTGAGTTATTACTATGCTAGTGGCTTCAAAAGAATGTTTGAAAACAGCCTGTGGATATCTGACCATAAATGTTTTGTAAATTATAATATATAGTTTAAATTATGTGGGCTAAATTGATCAAATGCTTAATCTATGTAGCTTAGAATTTGACATAATTGTTAAACATACACTGCTTTATTAATGATTTCTTATTAAGACTAATAAATAGCAATATTAGATTATATAAAACAGTGTCATGTGTAAGTTGGCCCGGTTGTCCGTTTATGTACTGGTATGTCTAAATACATTGATTTTTTAACTAAAACATGTTTTCTTGCATGGTATAACTCCTTAACCTACACCGTAGCATGAATTTGTATATTTTTCATGTCTCTTTTACAAAATAAAATATATTTTATAATGAAAATTCATGCTATGCTCCTTTCATATGAAATTTGGTGGAAGTATTGCAAACGGGTAAGCTTAAATGTGTGGGCTGGCATTCAACTAACTGTAAGCATGCATATATTCTAATTTATCGCTTGCCACAATAACTTGAAATAAAGACTTAAAGTAATGCCTATTATATTGAAAACAATTACATATATTGGTGGTTCTATCATTGTCCAATATCAACACAGATGGGATGGGTAGTTTTTGTTATATATAAAGGTGTTTGTGGTCGGTTTATAACACCATGGTGGGTATGTGTGATAGGATGAAGCTGTGGACGGAGCGCTGAGGGAAGTGGGCCTCCTGTGAGACCAGCCAACGAGTTTTGATAGTGATGCGAATCATCTACACTCCATATATATAAGGACGTTTAATTTAATATATCTAAAGAATTTACGTTGACGAATTTATACTTTAATGTTTATTATCTTGTATTGGTTACCTTTGTATATCCTCTTATAACATCTTATTATTTAAAAAGCAGATAACAATGTATTAACAAATCTATACATATAGATTCTAATAACATTTTTATTTATTTATAATTTTTGACATGATAAAACGAGAAATAATTTTATTAACGACAAATTATATTACTTACTTTTATATAAAATATACATGTATGATCATGACAATTTGTTACGTACAGAAATTTCACAGCAAAATATTCGAGTTATTCGTTTATTTTATTTTCTTGTTTAAATATCTTGAAATATTATAATTATAATTTGTATTTTGCCTTAACGTGCAATACTATAAGGTTATCTCGTATATTAGATTGAAAAGGACCAAATTCTTATAATAAGTAACCGCAATCAAATACTAATAATTAAGTTTGTTTTACAACAGTCTACTTCGGCTTCTCTAGTAATTCTCTTTCTACTAACGCTAGTCTTATTTATTTAAAGAAAAGATATATTATTTTTACTGTTACTTTTATTAATTCTTTACGGCTTGTTCTTTTATTTAAATTAACTAAAGAATTTATTTTTTATTTATTACAGAAGTAGTTAAGTAGCTATTAATAAAAAAATAACTTCTATGAGATTTTTGATGTCTTTATATAATATATTTTTATTTTAATGATTACAAGTATTACAAATTTGTTCTGCCAAAAATAATATACATATTATACTTAATAAATATATGAATGGTAGGTTATAAACGCATTCCTATAATTTACTAATAAAATATTATGTCGTCTAACACTTTGACAGATATTTTGTATTCTAACCTATATTTTATGAATTTATTGAAATCATACTCTGTATTTTTGTGGATATGAAACAATAAAACATATTAATATTGATAAGCACTTTTCACTAAAGCTTTTTTATAAACCCTTAAAAATTATTTATTAATCGATAATCTTTTAATATATTAAATTTGTCTATTAAATACCAATGAAGGCGACGAGAGTCATTCTAGTTTTTGGTGGTAAAACTGATATAACTTATTAATAATTAAAGTATTGTTGCCGAAAAAGCGATTGCTCGGCTAACACGGCCACGAGCGACACTGGCTCAGTGATGACCCTTGTTGCAGGAGGAGACGCCGCAGGGCTTCTTCGAGGATCACGGCCTCGGTTAAGCAGAAACCCGCGGGAAAACAGCAGTCGTAATAAAAGTAAATTATTTTACAGCAGCTACAACGTTCTTAGATTTTCAAAAAACTCAATGTTGAAGTGTAATTTTGTGATAATAAGTGATTATGAATAATGTTAACAAGCACAAGGTTTCCGTATATTCTTCAATATTGTATAAAAGTAGGTTTAGTTATTTACAGACTTCGGGTTGCAGAGATATAAACACAAATATTTGTGTATTTTCAGCTCATACATTTTGTTCATTCAAAATAACTTTTCCTGTTTTGTGATTGAAAACATTTGTCGGCATCTTTAAACGTCTTTATTTTCCTTGAAACATATCCTAAATATTGTTAATATTTTGCATTTATTAAGAAGGAATAGTATAACTCTAGTTATATTTAGTTTTTTCCAATACCCATTCCAAAACTAATGCCAGTACCAGGATGAACTTCACGGTTGATAAAAAAATTACTTATTAACCACGAAAATTGTATCTACTGGAAGTTTCCAGAATTTATTACGTATATTAGTTTGATTATAATTACTAGTGCAAAGTACTTAAATATCTTATTCCTACTACTGTATATGAAACTAAATAGTCCTATATCTACTGTTAAGTCATGTATTTATATTACATTTCCATAAAATTTGTCAATTTCATTTCAATATGTTAAAAAAGATATAAATCTAAAAAAGAATTAAGGATTTTATATCTGGCCTAATACTTAATACATGTTAAATAAACTATTACATATAAAGGGGTTTTTAATTAAATCACATTTAGAATAAAATTATATATTTCCAATTAAAAAATACATTTTCCATTAAATACTATTAAAGACATAAAAAAGACCATCAGTCTTGATTAATTAATTACATTAAGAATATATCCACAAACATGTTTATATATAAACATGGTGGTTTTCAATAATAAAAATTTACTTAAAATTAGAATACATAGATAAAATTTATTAGAATCACTGCGGTTCACTGCCATTGGATTTGGCTTCGGGGGTCGTTTTGACCTGGTCGGTGGTTGTGGGTGATGAAGGTGATGTAGAGGCAGTGTGTGTATTGTGTCCATTGGTAGTGGACTCTGATTTATTCTGCGGTGATATCTGTTGAGCTGCTTCTTGCTGCTGCTGCTCGCTGGTGACTCGTGCCAAGTGCAGCGCTGCCAGTAATGCTGTGACGTAACGGCGGACATCTAGTTCCATTCCTATCAAAAGTATATGGTGAGTTTTGGCTCTAAATATTATTTATTTATTTGTAATTCTCAAATATTTGTTTGTACCATTATGTCTCAATTGGTGGAGACGCTGAGCCAAGTTGGCCCACACACGACGAGCTGCCACTGAGCTGAGACGTCCAACCGTTTGTACTGTATGAAGAGCGGGGTCGTTTTGTACTGGTACTACCTCGGTGTTACGAGCTGAATAACATGAAGAATAATATATGAAAATTTGAGGATAATAATAATAAAGTTCAATGCTTAATGTGGACCTACCATTGATTTCTTCTTGTGTGGGCGGGAGGTAGTGGTCTAGGATCTGCATAGCGTATGTGGCCCCAGTATCAACTCCATACATAGCTTTCTGACCGTAGGCCGTTGATAGCAGAGTGTTGGCTTTAGCCCAGGTCAGCTCTTTGAGTGACTTGACGCGTTGTTCAGCTACCTCTCGAGCACCATAAACCTGCACGAAAATTAAAATTTTCATACATGTCCTTAAAATTATACGAGGGTATATACAAATAAAGTCAAACACTAAAGGTAAAGTATTAAAATTAAAAAGATACCGGTAAACGAAATCAGGGTATCCACCAATAATATAGATAACTAGGTCATGGAAATATTATGTGTTCCGTATTACGTAACCTTAATTTTTTATTTTTTTAATTCAAGTTTAATTCTTCTTCATCAGTATGATAAAAAAAGTTTCGTTTAATTTTAATTAAAAAATAATAATACATAAGTAATTATAATATCTTTTTATATTATTAGAAATTAATATAAAAAATTTGTAATGTTTAATATGTAGACACCACGTTAATATCAAAGAAGTTTTGTTTCATGTACAAGTGTCTATTTCAAGAATGCCGTTAATGATTCCAGTTTATACTCACACATATAGTATGCGAGTATCGTTTATTACAATTATATCGAAATAAAAACAAACTCAGGTCACGCAGTTATAGATCGGAACGGGTTTATCGTGCATAGCTCAAATGCACTTAAATTGTACCTACTAGCACTATATAGTACATGAAATAGTAATATTATTACATATTATAATCATTCTTAGAGGTATTGCGAAAGATTTGAAGTTCCTCTTATATGTCCATGGACAATTAACCCTAACATCAGATAGGCAGTTGTTCATTGTCACCTTATTGATATAAAAAATTATATATAGATAATGTAATTTGTCTTAAATCATTTCGTTAACAGTATCTAATCAAGAGAATCCGGTTCAACGTCCGTCGTCCGTGGATGTTATCACAAATTATCGTAGCGGACGTACTTTTAAAAATAATGCATTTTTTACCATCAATTTTTGATATAACCACGAGCTGTTTTAATAAATTCGAACAAACAAAATAAACAATGACAGCTCATTAACATTTATGCATCGCAAATGTCATCCGCCATTACACGGAAATAATTCAAAAACGAAAAATTTTAAATGTCTCATTGAAAGGTGTAATCGAAAGTTTATAAACAGGAAACAGGGAAACGAAACTACTGCGGTTTTATCGACATAAAGACATACAATAGTTGTACGAATTGAGTAATTATGACAATGACTTGCGGGTATTCAGAGTGAACTTTGAACTTCCACTCACGGGAAAATGCTTTAAAATACCTCCAATATTTCATCACGTACATAGTTCATTTCAAATGATTATTCGTTTGAAATAAAATTAGTAGCAAATAATAACCGTTGTTGAATTGCGCCAGCCAGCCTCAAACACCTGCCTCATATTTATTATTCTTGTAACGATACTAATTTCAACTATGAACGGAATTTAATAAATGATGCAATTTTTATTACTTCGTAAAAGAGATATTGCGAAATATTATTTTGTTATTACCCTACAAATTTGTTCCAATAAGGTTTTAATCAAATTATTATTAAAATTAACTCCATATTTCAGTAAGGTATAGAATATAGATAATTCCCAGCTTAATTGGTGTAAATAACAATATGCTAATGTATTTTGTTTTTCTTTCTTTACATAGTTTGTTTTAAGAAACAAAGATTATCAAATTGTAATCAATATAGAAGACTGATCAGCGATTTGATCAGATTAAAAGTTACCTTAACGGCTTAATATTGTATCACAGATAAGAATGCTTGCACCATCTATATTATATCAATGATTGATAACATTCAAGAATATTCTAAAGCAGTACATAAGCACCAATATTTATATATATTTATATGAGCAAGAGTAATTAAATACTGGCCACTATATATTCAAAAAGACAAAAAACAATCGATGCTAACAAATAAATTAAATTTAGAATTACCCACTTGAAATGTACTTTATTTTATATTTTTTAAACTGAAAATCACTTACCTTGTTTATCTGTGGTGCTATTCTGGATAGAACGGCCTGTTTAGTGGTTTCCACAATCACTTTAGGCTGCTCGGTGACCAGTGGGACTCTGCGTTCTAACTCATCTAGGGCTGCGGCGACTTTAGCATCACCGGCAGCAAGAGGTGCAGCTACAAATGGGGCTGCGGTATTTGCTGCCAGGGTCACGCTGGCCTCAGCAGTGGATAGAGCCCATTCTAATAGAGAATGTGCACCTGAAGAAGAATAATAGTTGTATTATAAAGATTTGTATAATAAGAGGGTATATTAAATGAGGGTATGAATAAAAACTAAAAATAAACTTACCCTTAACTCTGGTGTACAAAGCTCCAACTTGTCCCACTGCAGCTTCTACTGTGGGAAGAGCCATCACTTTCTGAACTGATTGCAGGGAAGCAATCCCTGGTGCTGAACTGACTTCGGTGGCCATCTAATAAAAAAATATACATAAAAACTTTTTGTACACTCAATAAAAACTTTTTGAAGGTAAAAATGAAATTACTAATCACGAAAAACGAATATTGCAAAACTTAAAACAATAGATAAGTACACGAAATGTAAATTAAACAATTACCTTCAAGAAAATTCTAATTGCTTTGAAACTTTCCCAAATCTACCAATTGAAGTGCAACGTTTAACACGCAATAAACTTTTTAATACTAACTTGTTAAACAAAAACTTTTAGCTGTTGCTTTAACAATATAAAACTATAAAATGAACATTAACTTGCGAGTGGTTAATATATAAATTTCAGAGTCCTAGCGAATGACGATAACGGATGATTAATGAACGAGAAATTTCCGAATGAGTGAATGAGAATGATGATGGTGAATGAAAAAACTCGGTATACAAATTACAACTTTAATAACAAGTTGACAATGACGCTTTGAACTTTAATGTGAACATAGGTTGAATATTGGAATGCCCACGTTACAGATAGATAAGATAAAATTGATAATAATGTATAGGCAGTGTTTTGGAATAAAATTCTTATCATTTACATTTATATTACATCAATCTTTGTAGTGTCTTATAAGAAAGAAATAAAAGTGTCATAAAAGGGGTAACCCTTGTTCAATATAATAAAATTAACCATCGAAATAATCTAGTACAGAACCTTTGGAAATACCGATTTTCAAAACTGATAATTTTTATTGATTATCTATATTTTATTTTTCCAAATATCTACGTCTACAATTACTGTTTCATATTTTTATTTATACTTTTAACTTGACTATTGCATCAAGAATCTATCAAATACGAATGCATTGGTTATATGAATGGTTTAGGTTGGTCATTCGTTCCCCAGCAATTGCGTTTGACAGTGTGTGGTTGGTGCGTAAAGTTGGACGAAAATTTTGTATGTGAGATTGTCAACAAACATTTGTGATGTCTTGGACGAATGATGTGGTTTTGGAATTTTTGGATCACTACCGCATAGAGCAAGTATTATGGGATCCAAAACATTTATCGCACAAAAATCGAAACGAGGTTAACGATGCATGGCTTCGTATTCAAAATAGTATGAGCATAAAGTGCTCGATTATGGATCTTAAAAAGAAAAAAGAATCATTAATGACAGCGTTTAGATTACACATTAAGAGAAAAAAGAAAAACCCGAGGTATCAAACGTGTTGGTTTGCGTTTTCAGCCATGGAGAATTTTTTAGGGGAAAAATATGAATATGATAATACCAATCACTCGGATCACGAGGTAAAAGGAGTTGAAATATTTGTTCAATGTCTAAAAATAAACAAACCTATATGTAAGACACGAAAGATTTTTAAACGGCACGTAATATTTTTATACTGCTAGGGAAAAATTTAACCTTCCAAAATAACATTGACATATTTCTAACTGTTATAAACGAAATATTATTAAGGATATTTTTTTATACATTGTTATTATGGATGCCTAAAGCTGACGCCTTTATATTCAAATCAGACCAACCAAATAGTTCTTCTAACAAACTTGAACCTCCTTAAATAATTTAAAAAATGTAAATTTTTATTCAATGGCGACAATCTGTGATAAATATAAAAAGGGTTATGATTTTAACGATGAGATTTCTTATGTTTGCATCTGGCTGAAAAAATATTAAATAGTTTTTTTTTTATAATAAATTATAACATTATTTTTTTGTTATGCTGTAGATCCATTCATATTGGAATTTTGAAATAATTTTCCAATATCAATTATTACTTTTGGCGTGACATTGTGATGTGCACAGATTATATTTTTTACCAAATTTATTAAATATGGAATCGAAATATATATTTAAATTTAAATACAATATTGTAATATTTAAATAGCTATTAAACTTTGGATGTAACAAGAATCTAGAAAATCTTAAAAATATAACTGAACTGGCTGTAAACAGTATGATTATTATGAGATTGCATCTTCAAATTATACACATGACTGTCACTCATCTCTTTACGTTAATACTATCATATGCGAAGTATAATTAATGAAAAACTAGATACTCATGTATATATTAACACGTCCCGAACTTGTTAAAAGGGTACGGAATAAAATAGAATTATTACTATGAAGGTTATTTTAACACTGGGTTCTTATTTATAAATTATAATAAATATTATTTTTGCGTATCCATTTTTTCTAACTTTTTCTCACATTGGATCTTTCGTATAATGTACCACAAATTAAGTTGGCTATCTTTTGTTTCATTTGTTATAGCAACGAAATAAAACTTTATTGTCTTTTTGAGAACGATCTTAAAAAAATTATAATTATTTATTACATATGCTTTAAAATTAAAGGCAATGTTGAGATCTATTTAAATTCTACTTCTCGTATTAATTTTTATTTTTAATTCTAATCATATATGAATAATATCGTTCCAACAAATTCCTAACGAACTTTGGACAGCATCCCTTATCCAAAGTTTCCAGCGTCACTATGAATGACGCATTTCCCGTTTCTGATGCAATAATTCTATTCTATTCTAAATTCAAATTCAAAATACTTGAATCTTTCTATTCTAAATTCAAATTACATGAATCTTTCTATTCTAAATTCAAATTCAAAATGCTTGAATCTTTCGTTGATTTATTTACGTTAATATTACAATGAATGATTTATGAATGAAAACCTATTAAGGCTCCGTATATTGTTTGAGGTTCAAATTTAATTTTATCATATCTATGAGCGAGGGTAGGTAGTTTACTTAATACTTAGAAATCAATTAGAAGTTTTTTGACTTTCGACCTAATAATTTTGAAAATATATCAGCCACGGTTATGTAACCGATACTTTAAGATCTTTTTATTCTCTAAAAGGTCAATAAACCCTTGTTTATTAAATTATTTTATTTCATATCTATTACACATAGATATAGGTTATACGAATTTTGAATAAATCAAGCCATAAAAAAGGTTCTAGTTTCTCAAAATTAGTATGAAAATATCTTTGTTTATTTATATTGTATAATTTTTCTCGTTTATATTTCAGTATTTCCAAAACGCATCTTACAGTACCCACATACCGCTGCCAGATATAGGCGACCCACAGAACTCTAGCGCGAGTACGGAAAGACAATTTACGAACAGACGACAAATAAAACCAGCTTCATCCAAAGCGCAGAGCACAGATTATATATTCACGAGGAAACATGAAGATGGCGTCCATTATAATAAGAACGAATCAGACTTCAATATGGACGAATATGATCTATACGGGCAGCTGCTAGCGAAGAAACTAAGAAAACTTGACGAGCGACAAAGAGATTACGCGATGCACGAAATAGACAATATAATGTTCAAAGCTAAAATACAAAGTGATCCGCTACCGACGAAAAGTTACCCCTCCTCGCCGTCCCCCGTACCAAGGAAGATAAAATCACCGGTTTTCATCATAACGGCCCAAAGCAACAACGTACAGTACGAAGATGAGAATATATCGTATACAGAACAACAGCTATCATAGTAGAGGTATATTTTATCATAAACAGTCCTTGCAGAGTTTATATTTAAAAAAAACTACGGCGTCTTCATTTGTTTACAAAATTGTAAATCTATATACACTATGTACTTAATTTTTTTTATATTTATATTAGCTGTAAGAAAATTTTTATATCTTATTTAATAATGAAATCAGATTATTCAGAGTAGGATTAAGTAAGTTATATTTTTGTTAAATAAAAAAATATTACATATACAAAGCAGTTTTATTTTCACATATATTGAACTTTTCATTGGACAGTAGTTGAATGGAAATTATCTGAACGAATATAAATATCAAAATCAAATGAAATGATCGTGAGTCATACAGCCAATATGGACTCAATACTTAGAAGTCATTAAAAAAATAAATTAAGGCCATATTACACCCTAGCTCCATATCTTAAACCATTTCTCACCAACTTCTGTACCATATAATTGACCATCGTGATCGACACATAATGGCCCATCGTCTAAGCCAGTGCTTACCAAGCTTTTGTTATCCTATCCTTAAATAATATCTTTATTTTACGACTACCCTTCCCTATAATGATTGGTTTCTGTATTGTATGAATAAATTTAGTAAATTTGACCAACGTATCTATATATAAAAAAGATTTCCACCTATATATTGACTCATCACGATATCTCTGGAACCATAAGGCGTAGCGACTTGAAATTTGGTAGGATTATTCCTTTCGCCAAATAGAGGTCAGCTAAGAACGGATTTTACGAAATTCCACCCACAAGGGGTTAACAATGGAAAATACGCTTTCACGCCTAAACCACTGGTTCTCTTGGAAAAGCGATATAACCGAACTCCACGCGGGCGAAGCTGCGGGCGGAAAGCTAGTCGTTTATAAGAGTTATTGATAAGAGCTTATTGGTACTATTTATTAGTAATAAGCTTCGCTTTATATTACATTCTAAAACATAAATTATTATGAAGTAATAACATAAGTTAAGTGTTTTAACTTTTCAATACACTAGTCATTATGAAGCTAATTTTCATGTACCCCCAGAAGAATTTACATACTAAAATTGGAAGTTTACGTAAATCTCAGTACAAATATATCAATAGGGAAATTGGTTGTTTATGCCAATTATTTAGGGTAAAGGATTTTGCAGTACCACGCTCAGAAAAACCCGGATTTTAAAAGATATAATACTTAAAAAAAACAGTATTGGATACTTTTCTAAATCTTTATTTTACGTCTTCATTATTTATTCAAATATTTTTGAAGAAAGGAATATTAAACCAATATGTAAAATATATGAAAGTAAGTCGCTGAATATTAAACTAATGTAAATTAAATATAAAGTTGGTTTTAAATCTTGTATATATGTATATGGTTTTTTGTAAATCAGTTATATATAAACCTACTCCTGTAAGAGTTTTCCAATTAAATACTTAATAAAGTACTTAAAATATAATTTCAAGGGATAGTTTACAAATCATTTGAGATTATACTGGTATCTATAAATAGAAAAGTATAATTTAAGGTCGCTTATTTCATTGATGATTTTAGAATTAAATTTAAAGTTTTCATCAATAAAGAAAAGACATGGCAACATTATTTTTTATTTATGATATTTTATCAACACTTGACACTTGTGTCAAATTTCAGCTGATCAACAAAATAAAGCAATGAAAGTGTTAGTACCATAACAATAATTATCCTCATACCAGAAAATAACGAAAAATTGTTTTTATGAAAACAAAAAGGAAATATTTAAACCTTAGGGATGGCGACGATGATAAAGGAAAAACGTAAAGATGTAAGTTGAATCACTTTAATTATTATTTAAGAAATATATTTTATTTCTAATATTAAATACGCATTATGTTTGACACAGTTATTAAGTGCTTAAATATTAAGTATAACGTATGTTGTTTTAAACATATGTGTGAAAGTGTTTTTATCAACCAGTTTTTATAAAATGTATTAAGATGTAATGAGAATATTAATTTAACATATTTTTACCATTACATAGCTCCACTCCATTGCATTTTTCAGATTCATTAAATACATTTATATAATCAAAATTTAAATTTTGTAGTTGAAATAATAGTTTTCATTCATATTTCATTTTTAATGACAGAAAAAGAAATCGAAGGAGAAGCATTCTATGACAAAAGATCTTCCAGCTACTACAAATGTTGAAGAACAAAGAGGATCTACTTCAGTAGACCTTTTAAACATAGAAAAAGAATGTTCTTCTCATTCTTTGAATGTGAAGAGTGCCGAAGAAAGCAGAGAAACAGACATAATTGATACACAGAATGTAAGTGAAACATCAAAGGAAGAAACGAACATAGAAGAAGAAAGTGTTGAATCACCAGCAATTAATGTTGAAGTACCACAAGCAGGCATTGTGGAGACAGAGCCATCAGAAACCAATGTTATCAATAATGAAGAACTAGCACAAACTGTATTACCTTCGGCTCCCGTTATCCTTGAACCCGAAGCTGTTATTAGTAGTCAAATAATTGAAGTTACCAAGGAAAGTATAAAACCAAAGATACTATGTGTGCCATTAGAAGAAGCTGTAAAGATATTTGGAGGCAGGGAAATAGCTGAGGTTAGGGCATTAAGTGAGAGGGAGGAAGCTTTTGTGGAGGCTGGACCAAAACAGAATCCGGATGATCCTTTAGTAGATTTACTGTCTACTTTTAGGTAAGGTTTACTAACATTTTATAAAAAAAAAATATTAAAAGAACTACATATATGTGGGTCTAAAGCTATAGTAACCTAAATTCCATACAATAACATAGATAGAGAACAATCATGACTACTTTTTAGACATTATTTTTGGTCAGTGTAAAATTTTCTTTAATTGTAGGTCTTCATTAATTGCTGTAGAACGTGAACGAAACAGGATTACTTGTGGGTACATTGAGGAGGAAAAGTCGCGTTCAACACTATGGAAAGTAGAGAAACGGAATGTAGTTTTAACAGAGAGATGTGGCTGTGGAACCAATGTCAGTTTACGAGCTAGCTATGATGTAGCTGAGTTGATGAAGGAAAGGTTACCAGCAGCTAGACTGAGATTGGAATCTTTATTAAGAGAAGTCCAGGAGACTTATTGCCATCACCAAAACGCAGCTTTGTTGGCACATTACGATGTGAGCATTTAGCATAAGACTGACTGAAGAATAGTACACATTTAAATTAAAATATGTAATTTTTTAACTGATATAGTGATATATTTAACTAAATATTAATACTTTTCCCTGCTACTAAAACCATGTTACTATATAGTTGATTTATATGAATAATATGGGTACCCTTTATAATAAATTGCTTTTCAATATTATTATGTATTAGTTATTCTTGCTCAGTATTAATAATAATTTGATGTCAAGTGTATTGTAGGTAAATTACTTTATTATATTAGTTGTCATTCAGTTTGCTACTTAGCACAACACATACATGACAAATTTAATATAGTTTTATTGAATATTACAAATATGTATAATTTATCAGATAGAAGAGCTGTTATCGGAGGTAGTTCAGGACTCTAAGGATAAAATGCGTGAGGCGTTAGCATTAATATTTCAAGCGATGCGTCTGGTTGATGGCGTTCCCGACTCGTTCGTTCAAGCGTTGCAGCGCTGGGCCGGTATACTGGCGACTGCTTTACTAGAAACTAATGACATGGCGAACCTATTATTCTTAATGCACTATCTCTTCAGGTAGGAATTATATATTATCATGATATATTAGATCAATAAAACCTAGCTAAAATCTATATCTATCTATTAAATTGTGCAGACAAACTCGCTCAGTGCTGTGGGCCACATCAGTGATTTATCTGCGGGTATGGGACGTTGGTTCCGTAGCTCAGTTGCTGGCACTGTTGGAGATCATGCTGACCAGACCTTCGTTGGAGGAGGCGGTGGAATGCATTGAAGGTAATTACTACAGAGACATTAATTGTTAGAGTCTGATGTAGTTTGTGTGAAATTAAATTGCTTATAGGCTTCTAGCTTGGACATATATGAAAAAATGTTTATTAACAAAAAACAATATTATATGTACAATGAAATGTCCGGTGGTACCCACACTAGGTATTCCTGTGTGAATACTAATTGATAGTTTTACAGTACATGTGTATTGTTGTGGCTCGGAAATGGATGTGGTTCGTCTTACAGAAGGGGAGGCATGGGAAGAAGTGGATGAAGTAGGGGAAGGAGGAGCGGTTGGGGAGGGGAGGCTGCGAGAAAAAGATCTACTAGCATTTCTAGAGGCTTTGCCGCTAAGAGACATGTTAGCGCGTCTACTTCTGTTCAAACGACAGGTGAATTACACAACATTAGCACATAGAATGATTATTCACTTATAATTATGTGATAATACATACAAACATACACTACAAAAATATTATATGAATATTATTTTGTAAATAATTATAAATAATAAAATCTGGTTAAAGGACTTAAATCAAGAGACAGAAGACGCTTGGGGCGACCGCTCAGGAGGTCGTGATGTACTGAAGGCGTGTTTCGGTACACGCACACTACTACACGTGTTCCAGCGTGCTACACACACACACAACACATACACGCGCCTGCACGCACACATGCGACATCTAGTGGTAGTCTTGTTGAATGCTCTCGCTGGACTTCATCTGCATTCTTGGTGAGTATGACTGTGTGGCTTATGTTATTATTACGATCAAAATTACATGATTTCAAAGTTCATATATGTCATATTAGTCATGAGCTGGCTTTCAGAGAACTATAATTTAATTTTTCCGTTTTTAAATGTTCTGTAACTTATAAGTTATACAGTATAATACTCTTATTCCTTTCTAATACTTGATAAACTTAATTGCTTGTTGGTCCAATTTATGTAATATTTCAAGAACTCACGTTTCTATTTCCACAGTTCCTATTACATTAAAGAGTTAGAAGTTAAGATATCAGTTGAATTGGAGGCTTGCTTTGCTGCTGGGTTCGTTTTACTAGGAAACGAGGTCGATAAGTTACCAGCGACGTTATTAAGAGGTGTTGTCGCTAAGGAGTATTGTGTCGCGTTCATGACGGGGCTACATGGTCAGTATAATAGAAGTGATCTGAACCGTTTTTGGTCAAATAGCTCTTGAAATTATGGTGCTAATGAATTTTGCAGATTCGTCGCCTCACAAAGTGGAGTCGCTTTTATTAGAGATAGTTGGTTTGCCGTGCGATGTCCATGTTAGAGTAGTGACTCAGGCGGCCGTAGAACGTGTGTTGGATCATGCCCTAGCAACTAGCGTCCTTGAATTTCTATTCCAGGTATATATCTAGCATATTCAACATTGCAGTTGTTCATACCAATATTATATATTTCTATATCCCTACTAATATTATAAATGCGAAAGTAACTCTGTCTGTCTGTCTGTCTGTTACGCTTTCACGCCTAAACCACTGAACTGATTTTAATGAAATTTAGTACAGAGATGGAGTTGACCTTGAGAAAGAACATAGGATAGTTTCTATCCCAGACTTTTGAAAGGTTCTCTTGGAAACGCGATATAACCGAAGTCCACGCGGGCGAAGCTGCGGGCGGAAAGCTAGTCTATTATAAATGTATTTAATTACAGACGGGTATGAAACCCAGACAGGTGGCATGTAAGGGAGTATGTGTGACAACAAGTCGTCAGTTGATGCCTGAACTATTAACGGCCCACCCACGCCTGCACACTACCGCCTTCTACATGCTGGCTGATGCTTACCAAGGTTAGAACATGACAAACACACATACACACATGATCAATACACACTCACACAAGCAAATAAACGTCTACCCACACACAGATGTTATAAACAACATACGCACAAATAAAGTAATGCTCATATACATACACACTAAGGTTGCACACACATGTACACTTATTTAATCATCATCATCCTATCAAAGCCCACTGATGAGCAAAAGCCTCTTCTCACATCACTGCGCTTGCTCAAAACGGTTTGGAGATTTCAAACTTATAATTGGAAATTATAAGTCCAGGTTTCCTCACGATGTTTTCTTTCACCGTATATCAATGATGTCAAACTACTCTTAGAAAGTACATTCCGAAGAATCACATTAGTCTTGACCAGGTTTTGAAACCGCGGTCTCATGTAGGAGAGGTGGGAGTTTAACACTTACTCATGGTAATAACAATGTAATAAAAATAAAAGACGCAAATAAACTTCCCAGAAAATACCAAAGCAACAAAATAGTATAAAACTCAGGTACACTATAGTAATGGTATAGCCTAGGAATGGAAGTGATGTTTGACAGAAAGATAGTATGCGGAATGAAAGGCCTTAACAAAAGATAGAACTGGAATGAAAGCGTCGAAAGCACAAAAGGTCTTAGACCAAATCAGAGGGATTAGATAAAAAAAAAACACTTACTCATGGTTCTGTATTCCTCAGTCGCTCCCAATACATCGTCCATGCAGGCCGTGTCTCCCGGTAGCTGGCGGCCGTCTCCCGCCGCTCTATCTTCGGTCCTAGAGCAGTGGGAGCTAAAGTGTCCATCACGAATACCGAGCCTGCTTCTCAAATTGGACTATACGCCGCATGTGTAAGCTTATTATATAGAGTTCCTTACTTGTATACTCATACACATATACTGGACTTTATACGTGATATAGTTTCTTGTTTTCCCCAAAACCATGCCTAAATTGCTTGTTTGTATAACTAGTAAAATTTCCCTGGTAAAGTACAGTGGAATCAGTAGTATTACGTTACTTTGTATTATTTAAATGGTTATTGATTATGTTTTATCGTATTCATCACTATTTCAAACAAAAGTGCAGTTAATGTATATCATTATAGGGAAAGAGTGCTTTGATTGGACATCCTGTTTATCCTATATTCTATACACCCCCAATTGGTTTAAAAAAATCTGTTAGCCATGGAATGATAACAAATTGTTGAAGACGTAATGATTCCCAAAAAAATGCTGTAGTAATAATTTCGAATCTTTTAAATCTGTACATTTTTGCAGCGGTCTTTCCCTCGAGACACAGCTATGCGTCGGATCGTGGTTGTGTTCGAGGGGCGAAGCGCCCGAGTGGTCGTGGGAGGTGTTGCGAAAATTGAGGGTACACCGGACGCAGTGGGGCTTACCGTTTGACGCACCGACCTACGAGCCACACGACTTACTGAGCAAAGCTTTCGCATTAATGGCTGGGGATTGGGGTCACTGCATACCCTTGGTGAGTTATTAATTATTATAGCATCAGTAGATAGGAAATTTTGGTCTCACATCTTATTTATATATCTAAGAAAAAGTTAAATCGTTCTGATTTTTTTTTAACTTTTGATACTCTATGGTTATGATAACTTCAAGACATTTTTGTAACCAGAGCTCAATAGACGCTTTATACTTGGAATTTTAGTCTCATAGAATACAAAGACTGTTACATATAGAAAAACACGTTTTCAATGAAAATATTAAGTTTAGTTTAGACCTTTAGCCGTGCTACGTTGGCTAATAATGTCCGTTACTTGATCAATCATGATTGGAATACCACTTTTTAATGGAACTCCTACAAATATTTTTTATATATCTACGAAAATACTTCAGAAACTTACTACGAAGCTAGTATCCAAAATTTAATTACAGAACTAATCTTAATCTATCCAATTTCTAAATGAATAAACCTTCATAATCCTATCAGAAAATAGACTATCGTTAAGTAATAATGAACATTTTGTTGTAAAGTAGCCTATGTGTTATTCCTGGACGTCAGCTTCCTGTATACAAAATTTAATCAAAACCGGTTCAGCCGTTTGAGCGTGAAGAAGTAACAAACATACACACTCACAAACTTTCGCAATTATAATATTAGTAGGATGTGGAGTTCCAAGCAAAGTTGATAGTTATTAGCTTATCTTGGACATTTTCAGATCTGTGGTCCCGGGGCCGAAGCCCTATTCGAGTTGTCTCAGTTGCGACCCCTGGACGCGGTGCATTGCTTGGGTCCCATTATGATGGTCATGACACAGTCACCTGAGTCTATCTCCCTCACTCCCAAGTACGATTTATATTTAAATACATAGTCTTATTCAATTTCCTGAAAAATGACCAAAATAAGTTGATCCATAAACTATTCGAACATGTAACTTTAGTTGTGCTGTTGCAAAATGAGCCTTACCAAGTGGTTTATGCAGTTCATACATAGTTTTAAATTTATTTACCCTAGTAATGAATATCCGCTTAAAATCATTTGTATAAGAAATGCTTTGAAAAATATTTATGTGTAAAGGAGATCATTCTTTTTGGACCTTTTGTGAAGTGCCGGGCAACAAAAAAAAAAAAATGGTACATATTTGTAGAACTAACCATTTGGAACAATAGTTAAAATGGCGCAAAAGTTGTAGGATCCAAGATATAGAAGTTATACAAGTTTCAAGATTCATCATTTTGGTACATTTATTTTTTCTGAAAGTGCCAAGAAACAAAAAATAATGATTGATATTGCTAGAGTTAAGCTTCTCAAGCAAATCATTATAGCCATAATCTGTTAGATACCTATCGTTTTTATGTAATACTAGCGAACCCGACAGACGTTGTTCCGCCAAGTATCTGAACGCATGCAACACATTTCTTGATGATTTTATTATTTGTCTTAACTAATATGTATATCGGGGTGCCATTTTTATATATTAAAAAAATGGGCCTAGAAGCATTTTTAACTGATTTTGTACCATTTCGGGTCGGATTTGATCATATGACGCGAGAGCAAGTGGCGCAGAGCATGTACATGTACCACATAACCGCATGTCTCCAGATTTTCTATAGCATCTTTAAAACCACGGTCTAATATAAAAATGTCACCAGGCCGGTAAAAACAGTGAAATACATCATCCACATTATTCAGTGCATCATTAAAAATCTGGGCATCGGAGGTTGTTGCAGCGTATGGTCCATCTACCGCTATTATGGTTCCATTGCAACAATTGTATTTAAAAAAGGCTTTAAAAGATTTCGAAACTTATGGTTGCTATAAGATTTTCTTTGAAAAAAGTAATTAGTGCTCTTCTGTAAATATATGTAAGTGCCATCAAGTATAGAGATGGCCTTTGTTTCTTCAATCGGACTATCAGGATTACAAAATAATCGCTCTGGCACTATGAGGTTCCTCTGCGCCACTTGCTCTCGCGTCATATGATCAAATCCGACCCGAAATGGTACAAAATCAGTTAAAAGTGCTTCTAGGCCCATTTTTTTAATATATAAAAATGGCACCCCGATATACATATTAGTTTAGACAAATAATAAAATCATCCAGAAATGTGTTGCATGCGTTCAGATACTTGGCGGAACAACGTCTGTCGGGTTCGCTAGTATTACATAAAAACGATAGGTATCTAACAGATTATGGCTATAATGATTTGCTTGAGAAGCTTAACTCTAGCAATATCAATCATTATTTTATGTTTCTTGGCATTTTCAGAAAAAATAAATGTACCAAAATGATGAATCTTGAAACTTGTATAACTTCTATATCTTGGATCCTACAACTTTTGCGCCATTTTAACTATTGTTCCAAATGGTTAGTTCTACAAATAAGTACCATTTTTTTTTGTTGGCCGGCACTTTCAAAAAAGGCCCAAAAATGTATGAAGCCTGAATGATCTCCTTTACTTTGTCTTTTCAGATTCTCCGAAATATTCTCAGTCATCTTCAACCACGGCGCGTATTTCCTTCCGTATTTGTTCCGCCGTCCGTGCCCAGCGGAAAAGGCCCTGCAGACTCTGGTCATGGAACAAATGGGGAATGCGTGAGTTGTCATCCCTACTAATATTATAAATGCGAAAGTAACTCTGTCTGTCTGTCTGTTACGCTTTCAAGCCTAAACCACTGAACTGATTTTAATGAAATTTGGTACAGAGATAGAGTTGACCTTGAGAAAGAACATATGATAGTTTTTATCCCAGATTTTTGAAAGGTTCTCTGGAAATGCGATATAACCGAACTCGACGCGAGCGAAGCTGCGGGTGGAAAGCTAGTAAAATATAACAAGAAGAGAATTGTTTATTCATAAAGAAAACAGTTTTATTGGAATAAAAAATTAATATTCTTAGGATTTACGGATTTTGGGATTGGTTTTAATTATTTTAAATACATACTCCTGACGTTTCGGTTACTTTTTAGCACCCGTGATTACCAACAGACGAGATGATCATTGCACATCAGGAGTATGGAGTTAAAATAATTAAAACGTATAGTAAATTCGAGAAAAGTCTTATTACAGTTTTCATTCGTTCGAAGAATTGAGAAAATCACAATGTTTCTAAATTAGCACTGTTTTTTTTTTGTAATTTTTTCAATCTGTCCTTAAATTTTCAACCGAAACCAGTTGTGCTCCTTCCATTCTTCTTCTATCTGGCAATTTCTCAACTATAGCCAGGGTCTGCCTGTAATGCTCCTTCCATGTGGAAGAATTTTAAGAAGATATAATTTTAAACTATAATTAGCGGGCCCGGCTGGCCGATGGTGTCTTGTTGGCTGCACGCGTTGTGGTCCCCGAAGGTTCCAGCTCAAAGTCGTCACATCCTGGACCGAGGAGTGATTCTATCCCGGGCCTGGACCGCGCTCGATGAACACGTGAAGGGACGTTTACAGGTATCAACTACTATTTAAATTAATGTCTTCATTATCATTTATAGGTATTTTGTAGGTAGAGTCTAGCTGTAGCCAATTAACTACAGCTCAAACATGGGCTGGCTCGAGCGGAGAAGTACCACCCTCTCACAGAAGATCGGCGTGAAGTAGCTTTTAGTGGCTGCGTTTCGTCCGATGAGTGAGCGAGCCGGTTGCCTTTTCCCTATTCCCTCCCTTTCCTGCTATTTCCGTATTCCCACAACTCCCTTTTCATCAACAATTAAAGTTGGCAATGCATCCGTAACATCTATGTCGCGGTTGTCCATGGGTGACGGTCACTACTGCCCATCTAGTAGGCCGTCTGCTGGTTTGCCAAAAAAAAAAATATCATTAGTTTTTAGTTAATTCAGATTATATCTTTTAAAATACAGTTGCAAAACGCCAAAGACTATATATCTGACGCTGTGAAACACGCCGCCGAAGCTCCAGTGGTTTGTGAGAGCGTGCTTCGTAATCTGCACGCTATGGAACTGGCGAACCCCGCGCATAAACGACTGATGGAGGAACTAGAGCGACAGAGAACGGCTGGGGAGAAGATACATGTGGATAATGCTATGAAGGTAAGGCTATGGTTTATTTTGTACAGCCAAAAGCAGTGGAACCTCTTTCGTGGGATTTTTGGGTGGAAGAGCCTAGCTGTGGTCAAGTTAGTACAGCTCGATCATAGGCTGCCTCGACCGGGGAAGTACCACCCTCTCACAGAAGATTGACGTGAAATAGTCTTTAATTGCTGCGTTCGTCCGATGTCTAGCTGACGGTGACTACTTCCCATCAAGTATGCCGTCTGCTCGTTTGCAGCCTTTCACATAAGAAAAAAAGTACGGAATAATAAAAAATATAATGATGAGAACATATAATGAGATCTAAAATTTTCGCGAGTTTCATTCATTTAAATGAAACTAATAATTCTGGATTATACTACGGGGTTTTTTTTTTGTAAAAAAACTACATATTCCCGACGTTTCGGCTACTTTTCAGAAAACGTGATATCACGAAACGTGACATCTCGTCTGCCCGTGAGTATGTAGTTTTTTTACAAAAATAAAATCGCGTTGTATAATCCGAAAAATATTAGTTTCATTTAGATGAGAACGTGTGTCAAACGAGGTGGTGATAATATTGTTCTGCGTATATTTTAGACGGTGGGCTGGTGCTTGCCGTCCCAGGAGCTGAGTATCTACCGCTGTTGTCGCGGCGTGAAGGCCAGCGGACCACAACACCCTGCTCACCTCCTGCTAACACGACTTATGATGCATATATACTTACAGCGGTATAGGTGAGAAAAAATGTATACGAATTCATTATTGGCAAATATATTCTATAAGTAGTCTAATAGAAGTATTAAGTAGTTCGATGTTAGAAGGCAAATCATTCTAAATGACATATTTTAAGGTATTTTTGTATTTCTATACGTCTCAGTCAAGTAATTTTTCACGCAGGCCAAATTCTCCACCCGTCGGAACACTATACTTCAGCGGGTTAATTCACACAAGACTGTATCTCTTACAAATCAAGGATAAACTTCAGGAATTTGCGACTTATCATAAAAATCAAGCGAATTCATTGAAACCGCCCGAGGACACAGTGCACAATGAACAGACAATATCTCAGAAAGTCTCACCAATTGTAGATAATAGTTTATTTCCAGCACTCAAAATAAAAGATCTCGTGGCTCAGAATAGTATTGAAGAGAAATATGAAAATAATGAGCCCATAGATAATTCAAGCGAAGGAATAATGAAAGAAAATCAAGATAAGATTAATCTCATAAGTTATCACATGGCTGTGGAAAAGTAAGTGAATTAAAATTATTGAGTACTAACTATCCGCCCGCAGCTTCGCCCGCGTGGAATTTGGTTATACCGAGTTTCAAAGAGAACCTTTCAAAAGTCTGGGATATAAATTATCCTATGTTCTTTCTCAAGGTCAACTCTATCTCTGTACCAAATTTCATTAAATTCAGTTCAGTGGTTGTGTACCAAATTTCATTAAAATCAGTTTAGGCGTGAAAGCGTAACAGACAGACAGACAGAGTTACTTTCGCATTTATAATATGTATTAGTAGGGATATACATTTAACATATGGTAGTTTTAATGTATTTGTTGTACAGATTGTTCCGTCAGTATGTCCTCTGGCTGAATGAAGGCGACAAGGTCCGCGCCGGGCCGCAGCACGCGGACATCGCGACTGTACTTAGCGAACAGGTAATAAAAAGAAACATAGAACATGTAAGATAATCAACAATAATTATCTTAACATATAATTACTATACCATTTCAAAATTCCAAGAAATTTATCTACAGTCAGTAAATATTTCTTCTGAAATTAAAGACTAAATTTAAAATTGATTCTATTATTAATACAATTAACAACTGATTAAAAACTCTTAATTGGAATTATATCATTCAATTTAAAAAAATATATTAAATTCTTCGTCAATTTAAAAAAAATAAATCTATTTTCTTGACGAAAAATAATAATTATTATTAATTAGCATTTATTTTTTTTTACCTACTGATATTAAAATTGCAAAAATGTTATGAAGGCTTTAGATGCTGCGTGGAGGTCGTTTCTTAAGACTACACCAGAATCTCCTCCCCCCTCCCCTACTACAGAGAAAGTTTCCACAGAACACTTGACGCACTTCGAGAGAACCGTTAAAGCGTTACGGACTGTTAAAAACGGAATGAAAGACAGGTGACAAACATATATAAACATTATACCTACCTTTACTTGAAATCAATACATATTCAATGCTGATAATGTAATCAATTCGTTTATATTATATTTTTGGGAAACATATATATATATATGCTAGTTATTACTAGACAAATATGTTTAAAAAGAAATTTTGTAATGAGAGTCTAACATACAATTATAATAAGAGATTTTTGTTTGCCACTAGCTCAATTTTTTTCTGAATATATGAAGTAAATTTGTTTTTATTGTTAATATTTTTTAAACTCTCAATATGGGAGGCTCCATTTTTGTTTTACAATTTATGATAATTATTTCTATTTGTTTTTCATAATCTATATCTGTTTCAGATCTCGCTCGTCCTTGCCGGCCGCTTTAAACGATTCCTACTTCAAGAACAGCCACATGCTATATGAATTACTTGATAGCAACATCAATGCTTTGAAGAATGTTACCGAGTTAGTATATTATTATGTCCTATACATTTGATATGATTGTCAAATTCATTTTTACCTATCTAGCCTCACATATAAAACAAAATACACATGTCAGAAGTGAAACTTCTTTGGCGAACTAGTTTATAAATCTTGTTTATATTTATACAAATCTAAAACGTTATACAACGTTCGCTGTCTCACTTTTTCTCTAAATCTTTCTCACTCGCTCGCTCCCTACTCTCACTCTACTTCTAGTTGCTTCATGCTACGTTCGTTCTGTCTCACTCTCTCTCAATAGGTCTCGATCGCTCTCTCTCTCTTTTTCGACACTTCCGTTGCATACCGGCGTGACGTTACATCTGTAATAATTTTACCCTCATCCGCCTAAAGAAGTTTCACTTCAAAAAGTTGCTAAAATAACGACTAAATGTCCTTTGCTTTTTCTTAATTATTGTAGCCAACTATAAGTTATTTCTACTCCTATTTGACAGAAATAAAAACTATTCTTCTATCAGTATATGCATAGTTAGTTATAGTCCGTTAGACTTAAGCTGAGCTTTGCATTTGTGTGAGTGAAAGTAAAAGTAGAGTTAGACAAAAAACTTTAGAATTAAATTTTATTATATTTTAAATAGATACATAACATAAGTGCTAGACCTATTCTAGATTAAAAGTAAAATAATTAAAACTTGTAAAAGGTCAGATGGAAATATTATGGAAAAAAAAGATTAAGTAATAAACATTTTGAAAAAACAATACAAATTTTTCTTCACTTGACATTGCGTTCTCAACATTTGTCGTTGCTACCAGTACAAAGAGTGAAGTGAGGAAGGTGCGGGGCGGAGTAAAAGCAGTACAAACCGGTTTAAAACTAGAAAAGAACGTTTCATTCAAAAATTTGACATCACACCTACACTATCCGTGTGCACTCACACAAATGCGAAGCTCAGCTTAAATCAAACGCACTATATCCTTAATTATTTTTTTCAAATTCCACAGTCAGTGGTGTAATGATGTAAGCCGCGTGTGTTCTCTGGACGGTCAGCTGTGGGAGCTGGTGAAGGTACTCCGCGTGCCCCGGACCCTGCCTCCCATACGGCAGAGCTGCTCGCACTGCCACAGTAATGTCGTTGTAACAATATCTGTGAGTATAATATCATCTAAGTATACAATATATACAGGGTGACTGGTGACTTACTATCAATATTTAAGGAGAATACTCGGTACATGATTCTCATTCGAATTATGTAAAAAAAATAGGTACTTAATTTTTGACCAAATTTCCGTATAAATAAATAAAGTGTGGACACGTTCCAAGTGTTCCAAGTGTGGACGCGTGCGGCCGCGTGCTGAAACAACAACACGCCGCCGCGCGTATGTGTGTGTGTGTGTATACCTAATCTGTAGGGTGTTCATACGATGCGTAATTAATTACATAACTTTTGGTTAACTTTACTTAGAAGTTTATTAATATTTATGTTATATTAATTTTTATTTTGTCATATATGATCGTCAAATATCACGTCCTCAAATATCGATAGTAATTCACCAGTCACCCTGTATATACTAGAAGACCCGGCGAACTTCGTATCGCCCTATAATCAAGAAATATCTGTTACGTTTTTTTATTTATATTTTTGGAGTTTACATATTAAGGCCATAAATCTCCGTGTTTTGATGTTTTGAAGTGCGACAGAATGATTGACATATTAGTTAGTTGTCAAATCTAATGTCATAATAAATTGGTTGTTTGTAAAGTAGGTTTACGATCGAGATGGGGCTGGATGCAACCGGATTCCCAGCCCCCTGTCAGTCAGGCGAGGTCGGAGCGCCACTGGGTTGTTTTAGTGGATATACCGGGAATCCTTTTCCCGGGGAGTCCCACATACCCCTCCCCGTCTCCCGACGGAGCGGGGATGCGTAAAGCATTTTTTTTCCCAGTGCGCACAAAAAAAAAAAGGTTTACGATCGAGATGTTTACGTGATAACGTCTTATGGGTGATATAAGTTTTTGGGAACTAAGGAATTAATGAAGATAACAATTTTTTCAAATTTTAAATTACATCTATTCTTTTATTGACATTTTTGATGATAAATTTCGGGTGTATTCGTTTGTATGTATCCATTCGTTTGTATGCCGCTAGAGTGAGAGAGACGGAAGATCGGTCCACTCACTCGAACGCTATGACTGCCTCCGCTCGTGAGGATTTCGCGTAACAAGTTTCACGGAATGACTGGCAGCGCTCGAGATGAGACGGAAGATCGCTCCGTCTCTCTCTCGTTATACCTGCGATCGCGCTCGTGAGGTTTTGGTGTGACACAAGTTTCTGAACATGTCACCCGACTAAAACGATTTTAAAGATGTTATCCCGTCAAAAACGTTTGTAAAATTATGGATCTAAACCATTCCCAGATCCCCTTCAACACACACAAAAAAATTTAATAAAAATCGGTCCATTCTTTTGAGAGAAGTTCAGTGACATACACACTCACAGAAGAATTATATATATAAAGATATAATATAATATGTATATTAAGGGAACACAGAATTAATTTCAACCGAACCTTTAAATTCCCGAACGCACCCGTAGTGACGTTAAAGCGATGACTTTTATTTTGTTCACTTTTACGCGGGAAAGTATTTTGTCGACACGACTTGTGTCTTTGTAAATTGAATTTAACTTATGTAAGGTGTTTTGGTTTAAGTTAATAATTAATATTTCCTACTGAAGGTCTGATAAGTGATTTAAGTACTGGCTTTATAAGACAACTATATTTTTTTATGATTTTGTTAGAATTCTATATATATATACTATTGGTTTTTGGCTGGCTGTATCTTGTTACCTATATCCATAAATATTAATACCACGTTGTTTTTTTTGTGAGTTCAAAATAATACCGTACTTGTATAAAAAAAAATATTTGTATGAGAACGTAGATAATGCTTTTTAAACCTTAAAGTAAAATTATTTTAAAAAAATCGGAATGTTATCTTTATAATGAAAAATAATTAACAAGTTAGTTTTAACTTGAACCGATATATCGATACTAAAATTTTATCATATTTTTTTTTACAGGAAGACGAATGGTGCGTATCGTGTGGTGCAGCTCAGGGGATTATAGAGAACAGGTTATTATTAACACTCGACAATAATTATTAATAATTAATATTATATTTATTATTTATGTCAAATAGTTGTATAAATATCTGTTTATATATAGACGTAGTTTTCGTTCGTCGCTGAGAGGACTCGCTCGCCCGAGACCGTCAGCTGCTAAGGCGGCCGCCATATTGCGGTCTATGGCCAGGTAATAAAACGGCATTCTAATAACAATATTATATATATATATATATATATACAGGGTGACTGGTGAATAACTATCAATATTTAAGGAGCATACTCGGTACATGATTCTCATTCGAATTATGTAAAAAAAATAGGCACTTAATTTTTGACAAAATTTCCGTATAAATGTGTTGATACAACACCACGTCACGACATGCGTATGTGTGAGTGTATACCTAATCTGTAGGGTGTTCACACGATGCGTAATTAATTACATAACTTTTGGTTAAGTTTACTTAGAAGTTTATTAATATTTATGTTATATTAATTTTTATTTTGTCATATATGATCGTCAAATATCACGTCCTCAAATATCGATAGTAATTCACCAGTCACCCTGTATATATATATATATATATATATAGCTAGTATTAGGTCAAATTAATTGTAATCTATACATATATATACTAGCTTTCCGCCCGCAGCTTCGCCCGCGTGGAGTTCGGTTGTATCGCGTTTCCAAGAGAACCTCTCAAAAGTGTGGGATAAAAACTAACCTATGTGCTTTCTCAAGGTCAACTCTATGTCAGTACCAAATTTCATTAAAATCAGTTCAGTGGTTTAGGCGTGAAAGCGTAACAGACAGACAGAGTTACTTTCGCATTTATAATATTAGTAGGAATATATATATATTTTTAAATTTTATATGGAATTATGATCCTTATATGTGTACCTATGTGAAGTATTCTCATATATGATAAAGTTAATATATAATTTGTTCTACTAGACGCGTGCAGAGCCCGCCGCTCGCGCTGGGCGTGTGTACCCGCGCGTGGGCCGCCGTGCCCGCCGTGGAGCGATACGGACCAGCGGTGGACGCTCTCGCCTCGCTGGTGGAGAGCCTCGTCACGGTCAATCATACTATACTATAACTAGCTGCTCCCCGCGGTGTTACCCGGATTTCGGGGATGTAAAGTAGCCTATGTACTGTTTCTGGACGTCAGCTTCCTGTATACAAAATTTTATCAAAATCGGTCCAGCCGTTTGAGCGTGAAGAAGTAACAAACATACACATACACAAACTTTCGCAATTATAATATTAGTAGGATAACGATAAAATATGGATTTTTGGGATTTTCTTTTTCTCTTATTTTAGTTAATACAAGCCTTATACAGGGTGACTGGTGAATTACTATCGATACTTGAGGACGTGATATTTGACGATCATATATGACAAAATAAAAATTAATATATCATAAATATTAATAAACTTCTAAGTAAAGTTAACCAAAAGGTATGTAATTAATTACGCATCGTGTGAACACCCTACAGATTAGGTATACACACACACGATTGCGGCGGCGTGGTGTTGTATCAGCACGCCGCAGCACGCGTCCACACTTGGAACACTTGGAACGTGTCCACACTTTATTTATTTATACGGAAATTTGGTCAAAAATTAAGTACCTTTTTTTTTTACATAATTCGAATGAAAATCATGTACCGAGTATGCTCCTTAAATATTGATAGTAATTCACCAGTCACCATGTATATATATTTAATAGTAAGTCAGTTTTCTTAATCCTCATTGGTGATGTTTGTTGTCTGTGGAGATGATTTCCTATAGAAATTTTCAATATTCAATAACGAAACCGCTATTAGGCTATTTCTTTGTATATATTTTCCAACCGTAACAATATATTCTTAAGCATTTAAATAATTTACATCTTATTACTTAATAGAAATTCCTATGTCGCGACATCGACACCTGTCTCCGCTTGCTATCGTCGTGGTGTGAGGGTAGTTCTGTGCAGCAACGCTTATGCGGCTCGTTGCTGAGCAGCGCGCGTCAGCAGCACTGTGCGCGACTGTACCAGGCGGTACTAGACCTGCCTCTACCGCCGCATGTCACTTTCAGCTTTTTGTCCAAGGTACAGTTGTTAACACAAGTGTTTTGTGCGAAGTATCATTGCGATCAAAAGTGCTTTATACTTTTTGTTTTGATGTATATTATTTCTGATTTATTTTAATATTCTTTCTCGCATAATGAAACACCTGGCTCGATCCAACCTATATGATTTATCATCACCACGATGAATAAAACTTACAAGATTACCATTATTTATAAGGAATTTTCACGATTACAAACAAAAATATCAAGCATCACATTGAATTAATATTTTTATAATGTTGTATTCAGTTCGATCTCCAGAGCTGGTCGGAGACAGTGGATTCTTCACGACGGAGTGAACTGTTAGAGTCTATATTGAAAGCGGCTGAGAAATGTGGCCCCGCGCCCGACACTGAATACTTGGTGCTATTGGAGGTAGGAAGGTTTTATTGTTTTTTTTTTTGGTTGGTTAGTTGTTTAACATATGCCCTTCATCCGGCCACGGTATATTCTGTCAATTTTTTTTTTATTAAGTATTTTTGAAATTGGAATGTATTTTTTTAACATCTCAATCTAATCAGCCATGTTATAACGTTTATTGATGACTTTTTTTATTTTTTGGCTGTTGATTTTTTTTTTTGTTTTCTTAAAATAGGTACTGACCATTTTAATAAAAATACTAATGTGCTCAAATATATGAGAATTCATTTATTATTATGTCATGTGTCAATTCTAAACAATGATTTTACCCAAATAACTCTTTTTCCTACCAATAGCAACTGTGTGTACATTCGCTGTCAGTGGTCCGTTCTTCGGAGTTGTGTCGCCACGTGTCCCGCGTGATGTCCGCGACTGTACACGGCCGACTGGCGCCACACGCGTGCGCGATGATACCCGCCGCGGTACAGCGGTGTGCTGACGTGGATTTTGATCAGGTACAGACGGAGACATTTATTTTATATTCGAGACTTTGATCTCACAATATTATCACGTATTAGTAATGTTTCAAAAAGATATGTATATGTAGGGTAGTTTTAACTTACATACAGGATGACTGGTGAATTACTATCAATATTTAAGGAGAATACTCGGTACATGATTCCCAATCGAATTATGTAAAATTTCCGTATAAATAAATAAGGTGTGGACGCGTGCGACGGCGTGCTGATACAACACCACGCCGCCGCACGCGTGTGTGTGTGTGTGTGTGTATACCTAATCTGTAGGGTGTTCACACGATGCGTAATTAATTACATAACTTTTGGTTAAGTTTACTTAGAAGTTTATTAATATTTATGTTATATTAATTTCTATTTTGGCATATATGATCGTCAAATATCACGTCCTCAAGTATCGATAGTAATTCACCAGTCACCCTGTATATATTTACTTTGAAGAACTGCGTAGTAGAGTACGGAAGCTCACTTTTCCAAATTTAAACAGACTTATAATTGATAAGTAACTAGTACATGTTATTGCACAGACTATAATTGTAATATTTTAATTTTATCCCCAGCTAGGTAACCTCCTTCGTGACATCGGCTCCATGTGGTGGACCGCTCGCTCATCCCGTGTCCTCCGTAATTCAGAACGCGTTCAGTACTCTCTATACGCGGTCCACGTGGCAGACATATTGTACCAATTGACGCACGCCTTCGTTGAATCCGCCATTAAATGCAGCTACACGCCCGAAAGAGGTAATGGAATATTTACACTAAACACTTCATCAATGAATTTGGACGTAATGAATGATATGGGACTTTGTTTTTGACAAATTTCTGGCTTTAAAACTTTCAAACTTCAGGTAACAGTGTAGATATGTTAGCGAATGTTGTTTTATTGCGTTGTATTGATGAAATTTCCAACCAATTGCTGCCAAATAAGACTAAATTAATATCATGATTGAATACTTTATAATTGCACATAAAAGCAACTGATATTCGATCAAAAAATATATTTGATCAATAATAACTTACTTATTAGTATAAAAAATTGTTATATTATGGTTCAGATGAATATAACGTTTGGACATTTATTTATTTTGTTATTAAAATATACTAACCACTGTGACGTATCACTTAAATTCTTTCAAGATATAGTTTTAAATTAGGGTAGTACAGGAAATACACTCATTTCTATATAAAAAAAAATCTTAAAAATTAAGATACAAATAAATTTAAAAATTTGTAACTTTACCTTTTACTTGGTCTTAAGCCAATTTTCATTATTGCACCTTAAATACATATTTATATATGTTCAGTATCTCGGTACGCGTGGTCTGCCACAGTGGAGTCGTGGTCGCCGTGGTTGTCCCCCCACCCCTGCCTCCCACTCCTGCCACAACAGACCACAGACCACAGCAACATGCTGACCAGATTCACGGATACCATAGTTATGATCATGCATCTGTGTCCAGGTAATGTATACACAGAACAACTTAAATTAATGATTTTTTTTTTGTTATTTGTTGGTTTTTTTGATTAAGTAAAACTTCTTATGCGATTTCCAACGAGGTTGCGTTAAACGTTAAATGTCGATAGGACAGAGACAGAGAGTCAGTAGATTCCAAGCTCATAGGCATGATCTCTTGCTATGCAGAGAAGTAAACATTGTGAGCAACGTCATATTAGCTGACATACTTGTTTTTCTATATTAATTTTTTAGTTTGATTTGATTTACTGAGGTGGTAGAGCCTAGCTGTAGTCAATTCACTACAGCTCGAACATGGGCTGGCTCGACCGGGGAAGTACCACCCTCTCACAGAAAACCGGCGTAAAGTAGTCTTTAAAGGCTGCGTTTCGACCGGTGAGTGAGAGAGCCGGTTGCCCTTTCCCTTTTCCCAACCTTTCCTTTCCCTCCCTTTCCCACCTTTTCCTCCTCCTTTTCCCCAATCAAGGGCGGCAACACATCCGCAAATCTACGTTGCGGATGTCCATGGGCGACGGTAACTACCTACCATCAAGTAGGCCGTCTGCTCAGTTGCCCCCTTTTCCCATAAAAAAAAAAAAAAATATACATATAATTTATGGCAGTATTTTTTTATCAAATCTAATGGATAAGAATCGTTTATAATCACAAAGTTTCACTTCTTCTCCACTATTTTCTTATTATTTCCTTATCCACATGTGCAGGTAGCGAGCAACATCTACTACGTCACGCGTTTGACTGGACGGCCCACACGTATTTGCTCATGGAGCCCCACTGGCCGGACGAGAGTCGTTTATTGATGACGTCACTGATGACGTCACTCACCGACCTGCCTTGGACGCTGCAGTGGTTCCACATAGACAGCCTGCAGTTAGCTTTACAGGTATGAAAGGATCTATATGAATTATCAATGATAATAATAATAATATACTTTATTGTACACCACAAATAGCATAGCAATTTAACAATAAAAATGAAATATATACAAAATAAAAGTAGATGCACAATAAGGAGGTATTATCGCTAGGTAGCGATTTCTACCAGACAACCTTATGGGCTTGTTTATATGATTTACTTTTTTTCTCGAACAAAGCTTGTATTTTTTTCTGTTTATAGTACTTTCATTCATAATTGTATAATAGCAGTGTGAAGATAAAGTATTCATGGAACGTTTACTACATGTTCTACTACTGTGCATGTATTTTTATTTTTTATGTTTATGTTTCTTCTTCTACCTGGCAATTTCCAAGCTATACCCAGGGTCTGCCTTACATGTTGTGAATAGTTTTGGCTAATTGTTTTTACCTGCCTGCCTAACATCAACCCTCTTTGGGAATGCATTAATCAATGATGTCTAAATACTCTTAGAAAGTACATATGACTCGGAAAAATCACATTGGTACTTGGCAGGATCGATTTTTATGTCACTTATGTTTATTTAAATGAATCGTTTATCCTTTCTAGATCTGTTCCAATCCCCGCGCGGATGTTGTGAGTTGGTTGTGTCACACGCTGCAGGCGACATCTGGTGAGTGTTGGTTGCGAGGTGTGCAGCAGACTCAGCAGCACTTAGAAGCAGCGCTGGACGGACTGCTGGCTCTGTTTACTGCCAGAGAATTGCAGCTGCCGACAGAGGTAGATAGATACACCTCTCTCTCTCTTCCTTACTGTGTATCCCACATGGTGATAGGGTCAGAGATAGACTATTATAATGAGAGGAATATATTATAGTCTTTTTTACCAAGGAGGTTTTAATTAGTGACAGTTATATTGAATAAATCATGAATAGTATGATAAATTTGCAACAAATACTGGTACTCTTTGTCTCGTCATATTTTCCTATGATGACTGTGTGTGTGTGTGTCTTTTTATGTCACAGTACTTCTCAGTACTTCTCTTAAGATGAAATTATATATTTTTTTCTGTTTTAAAATCTCTTCATCATATAAAACCTTTTCAGACCAACAATGTACTCTATGTTCATTATGTTGTATGTCGTAGTGCTACAAAAGCGTGTGTATTCTTCCCTGGTGGCTGCTCCCTCAACCCTCGTTGGAGTCAAGTCTGAGGAAGTTCTTCGAAGAGCATCACTCACCACACACGCCCTACCACGAGGCGCCGCAGTTCAAGTATATATAACATATATAAAATCTTAAAATATGAAAAAATATTTAGCTTGTAAATGTTGATAGAAATACAATTGTAAGCTGTAAATTTTTCTTTAAAATAATTTAACATTGTATTGAATCACAGAAACACGTGAAAAGTACGACACAGTAAAATGATCTCTATATGAGATGTAATAAAAGCTATAATTATTGTTTGTTAATTGACTTTGTCGGGAGAAGGTAGTCCGTCATTTAATCAGTTTATTTTGTTGACCAGTGTAAGATGAGATGAGAATCAATCAAAACATTTACTAAATAAAAGACCAGTTTGTACTGGAATAGAATTTTGTTCAGATTTATATTGAGTTTGCTTACACAGAAGACAATTTTATTTATCATAACTGTTTCCTCAAGTTGAGCTTAGGTAAAAGGTCCCATGTAAGACAGTAGTTTTAACTTCAGGTACCAATGAAGAATTCATAGGCACCAGAAAGCTATTTGCTTCACCAATAAATCTATCGTGAATTTACTGGTGTAGGTTAATATATCCCTACTTCCCTACTAATAATATAAATGGGAAAGTAACTCTGTCTGTCTCTCTGTTACGCTTTCACGCCTAAACCACTGAACTGATTTTAATGAATTTTGGTACAGATATAGAGTTAACCTTGAGAAAGAACATAGGATAGTTTTTATCCCAGGCTTTTGAAAGGTTCTCTTGGAAACGCGATATAACCGAATTCCACGCGGGCGAAGCTGCGGGCGGAAAGCTAGTTATTTTATAAGTTAGACCGTCATATGGATATGAATCTTGTTGTTTTAACGTTAAAAACACAATAATTTTAAACGTGTTAGTCTGTTTTATTCTCACTCACAATCATACATATGATTTCAACCCCCCCCCCCCCCCTTTGTCCTTAGGGCGTTGTTATCCGCGTGTTTCCTGTTCCCCGCCGTGCCCTCTGCCGGGAGCCTCCAATGTCCGCCCACGGTCGCCCACGTCCGCCGATGCCTCTTAGTATCCGAGTGGACTCGCGCCGCCTGCTCGCCCACACTGGACGCCCACGTGAGCGGATACTGTGACCACGTGCTCAATGTCATCACAGATATTGGTGAGGATATATAATCAGATATTGTATTAAGTTATATGTGAAACTATTTTTAATTCGATTGATGAAGTCAATTTGATTGTATTAGTGATCTTAAACTGTATATACCAAGTATTTTTTTCTGAAATATCGTTGATCGTATCTTAAATCGTTAAATACTTTAAAATATATATGTTTCCCCCCTAGCTCCTCATATAGAACAATACGAAGGTGAGGTGGAGGAATTGTTGAGTCGCGCCATCGTCATCATGTGTGTGGAGCCCGCGGCGGCTAGTGCGATATCGGTGAGATATATGTATTACTAGCTCTCCGCCCGCAGCCTCGCCCGCGTGGAGTTCGGTTATATCGCGTTTCCAAGAGAACCTTTCAAAAGTCTGGGATAAAAACTATCCTATGTTCTTTCTCAAGGTCAATTTCATCTCTGTACCAAATTTCATTAAAATCAGTTCAGTGGTTTAGGCGTGAAAGCGTAACAGACCGACAGAGTTATTTTCCCATTTATAATATTAGTAGGTATATACAGGGTGTTCTAAAAACTGTGTCAACCGTCTTAACTGCGTTATCAGTATCGAAAATGAAACACAATCAAACAACTTACATTTACAAACTCTTCAATAAAAATAATAAAATTAAATATTAAATGATTATTATATGTAGAGTAACAAAATGTTTGTAAGCCCTGGTATAACACGATGACACGCAATGACGTCATCACAGCTGCTGCGCTACTAGTGACGACCTTGAAGTTACTTTCACATTATTGAAAATATCGATATTTAAAAAATCATAACAATAAATAAATATTTAATATTCATATTATTTCTATACTTATTTTAATATATTAATCATTAGTATTATTTTTGATTGTAAAACACCATTGTTAACAGAAAGAGATTAACGATTTATCCTAATAATACAACATAGTTAATTTACCTGAAGAAGTTCCAAATTATATTGATTAATAATATTAATTATTTATAAAAGTTATATTGAAAATATCGATAGAATATTTATCGATATACCAAATTTTTAAACTTGCAAATCTCTATTCGAAAAACTAACAAAATAGTAATAATAACTCCGGCGGCCCGGCGCCTGTGGTCAATGGCCACGCATGCGCCGTCGCGACTATACGGTGCCTTGACCTTGTATGGGTCAGATGTTTTAAACATTTTTTCAAATAATGTCGATTTAAAACTTATTTAGCCTATGCACTGTAACTGACCTCTGCTTGATATTTTTTAAGTTATACTATTTTTTATAAAAAGCTTATACTTATATGTATACATGCCTTTAAGGGTTGACACAGTTTTTAGAACACCCTGTATTTAGGGAACACACATTTAAGTAGAACCGAACCTTTAAATTCCCGAACGCACCCAAAGTTTTAAATTTAATTTAACTTATATAAGGGGTTTTGGATTAAGATTTGTTATTTAAAATTACTGGCTTTATGAGACAATTGAAGTAATATAGATAGATATATAATATCTGTCATTCTTGGTCTTATTTTCCCAATATCCATTTGTTCGTCATATTTCTCATTTTGTTTACTATGTAGTATGAAGAAATGTCAATGACGAACTAACACGTCCATATTGTTTTGGGAAGACGACGTAAAGATACAAAGTATGTAGTATCTCTTCTTCTACCTGGCAATTTCCCAGCTACAGCCAGGGTCTGCCTTACATGTTGTGAATAGTTTTTGGCTATTTGTTTTTACGACCGGCCGCCTGCCTGACATCAACCCTCTTTTTGGGAATTAACATTAATCAGTGATGTCTAAATACTTTTAGAAAGTACATATGATTCGGAAAAATCACATTGGTACTTGCCCGGACCAGGATCGAACCCGCGCCCTCGGTGACGAGAGGCGGGCCCTTTAACCACTGAGCCACCACTGATCTGCAGTAGTATCTGCTTCTCAAAAATATATATCGTCAAATCCAAACAAATTGAATCCAAGTCAAGGACGTGCAAAAGATCATTTGATTATTATATAGGTTTTTGGTTACTTCTAAAACTCATTAATATAATATTGACATTCAGGAAGAAACAAGGATCGGAATTGATATAAATCTTAAGATATAGCTTCACCAATAATAATAACAAGTGTGTTATTCTCTTGAGCTTATACAGGATGCTCTTAAATGACACGAAACTTAGCATTCAATATATTCACGGTGCGTGTGTCAGGTCCATCGTTGTAGTGAGAGGAGCTTCAATAGTGACTGGGACTTGCGACCCAATTGTAGGTTTAAGGGACCCCTATATAACAAGTTAATCGCTCCCCTCCACCGTCCAAGCTCTCTTACCTAGTATACTAGTATAAGTTGTTCCAGGTATGGCAGTCCCGGGTTCGTTCCTGGCCGCTGCCTCTCGTTCTGAGCTGCTCCTCCGCGTGCCCCTCACTCATCACGCCGGAGTACTTCTCATCACTCGCCGACACTGTAGCCAAGAGAGTCATGGAACAAGGTGAGCTCCTCACATATCCTACTAATATTATAATTGCGAAAGTTTGTGAGTGTGTGTGTATGTTTGTTGCCTCTTCACGCTCAAACGGGTGAACCGATTATGATAAAATTTTGTATACAGGAAGCTGAAGTCCAGGAAAATAACACATAAGCTACTTTACATACCGGAAATCCGCGGGAAACATAACGGCGCAGCTAGTATATGATAATTTCAAGTTAAATTAATTCTTTTTGTTTATGAAGACTTTAAATGGTCTTTAAAATTGTACTACTTATAGTAATTACTAAATAAAATATATGAAAAAGTCACCTCAATGAATAGATAAATAGTGTGCATGCTTTTTGAGCCACTTAAGAGTTTAGTGCATTGTTCTTTCTATCGGTCAGGAGGTAATAGGTTGCTGAAAGATTTAATGTAAGCCCAGTCTTTGATCCAATCTTTATAAGAAAAAAACATTGATTCGAGAAAGATTCAATCTATATACTATCTGAATCTCTGTTTCTGTTTGAATCTCTTTAATATGTCAACTATCATGACTTCACTCTAGTAACTAGTTCGTGAAACAATCCAGAGATTTCTAAAATGTTTCATCGCATCAATTTATTGGTTTCCAAGAACGATTTGAAATTTAATATTGTTACAAATTTGTTGAATACGACTTAAATTATATACCAAAGGGCTTAGCCGGAGAAGTATGGGAAATATGTCCCCCCTGGCTTTTTTGACTCACTCTTAGGGGATCGAATTGGCATCAAATAAAAATAAATACCACAAATTTTTAGCCCTTTAACTTTAACGACGTTCAAGATTTTCAAAATGACCTGTTTTTTTTATTTTAATTTATTTTTATACTGAAATTCGGCGTTAATAGATGGTGATATTTTTTCTTATTCTTAACAGTCTAAAACATAAAAAAATCGTATGATCATGGTTTTTCAACGAAAAGTCGATTTTTAACGAAGGAAAGAAAATTAATCTTGTTTTTTTAGGGTTTTTGAAATATTTCAATTACCAAAATTTGCAGAACATTTATTTTACACCCCTCGACACTCAGGAATTTTTTCAGATTTTTTGAAGTGGTGGAACAATGACAAAAAATTAAAAACTAATTTTTTTCTGAAATTCGTCGTTCGTTTTTTACTTAGTATCTATATACTACTAGGTACTAGGTAGTAAGGCTACTTAATCTACTTTATATCATCATCATATAATCCTTAGCATCTAACGGATGGTCGTTATTGGCTGCTCGTTGGTCTTCCTGTGTGTGGTGGGGTCTGGGTGCTCTCCTACAGCGGGGGGCGGCGCACTTGGGGTACGCGTTACACCGGGCTGGGGCTGCGGGACTCAAGGATGCTCTTACAGCACTCGGGGGCGGAGCCCTACACTTGTAAGTATGGGAAAGGAAACAGAGTATTTCACTGTCATTCTATAAGACGAAACTTCTCTTCATTCAATGTATTCACCTTGCGGGTGTCGGGTCCATCGTTGTAGGGAGAGGAGCTTCAACAGTGACTGGGACTTGTGACCGAGGTGTAGGTTTAAGGGGCCCCTTATCTATTATTATTGTACCTTATTATTATTGTATTCACTGCAAAATGTATTTTTGGTGAAACCCAGTTAAAGCTAGCTAAATTCAATAGTCACATAATTTAATTACCATAGATGGTATCGCTTAAGTACTAGTCGTGAAAGTGTTCGATCAGATCTGACGTAATAGCTTGATTTACAAGCTGTTCCCATCTGAATGTTTGACAAAATAGGCAGACACATTTTTCGAGCCTATGTGACAAAAAAATGTCTCTAAATTAGTCTCACCTATGACCAAAGTAGCCAAAAAACTCACTGTATCCCAAACACTAAGCTACATTTGATATATTACTATTCAGATCAGAAAACGAGGAGATAGCGGCTGTGTGGATATGTGTGGCGTTCAGGGTCATCATGAGGGAGAGGGAGGAGGAGGAGGGAGGAGAGGGGAGCTGCAGGGAGGAGGCGAGGAGGATGCTGGGGAGGTGGAGCGAGAGGAAGAGGAGCCTCATACAGCTGGTGACGAGACACGTGGACGCGGACTGGCCCACAGACAGGTACTAGTACATATACTATAGAGATACTACTAGATGTACTACTTGATATACTACAGAGATACTACTTGATATACGACAGAGATATTACTAGATAAACTACTTGATATACTATAGAGATACTATAGGTATAGGTACCGTAGAATCTTTATTATTTTGTTTGATTAAATACATTAATGAGCGAATATTGGTAATAGTGAATATGTTATTATTACCAATATTTTTTTTATAAGTATTTTGCGGCCTAGAAATGTATTTAGTTATTTTTATTATTGGCCCTTGGTCCCATCAAGTTTGAACACCCCTGTTCTACATTATAGCGGATAAATGTACCACGACAAGAAAACTGGTCTAGCTTGGGATAGAAGAATTATATTAAATAAAATTAATATTTTTCGGATTTACTACGCGTTTTTAATTAATTATTTTTTCTACATCCTCTCGAAGTTTTGATTACCATTCAGCAACCGTGATCATTAAGACGAGATGTAGAAAAATATTAGTTTCATTTAAATGAATACTCGCGAAAGTCTTAGATCTCATTACAATGATATTTTTAAATGTAATAGTTTTTAACATAAATATTTAATAATTGCACAGAATTTTGAGTGCAAGCGTTTGTTTAAAAGTAAAATACCGATAGCGGATATAAAGTGAGAAAGTCATAGTGAAGCGGGTTTTGAATCTGCGACCTACGAAATATTTAATTACAGTTGTCTTAACAATTAATCTATGGTGACCTGTGCCGTGTAAATTATTCTTAATATTGAACCATCATATAGAGACTGGTGCCATCTATCAGGTTTTTTTATTCTATTATTTTCATATTTGGTTTGTGAAGATTATGAAAATATTATATGAAATTAAACATTACTATTATCACGAAAACAAAAAAGAAATAGAGACGTAAAGAGACATTGGGATATTGTATTTCGATTTTGTGAGTTTTATTTATGAATACAAATAGTGTATATTTCATTAATTATATTTAACCATATTGGTATTAAATAAGAATATAAATCTATAATGTTGCTTTTTAATATAATATTTAACACATTATTATTATTTAAAACGAATGTTTTCGGATTTTCTCCTATCATCTGTCCGTGATCACGCTTGCTGTAAAGTAACCGAAACGTTGGGACTATGTAGTCAAAATAATTAAAATCGCGAAGTAAATCTAAAAATATTAATTTTATTTAAATAAATACTCGAATCTTAAATCTTATTATTTGTTTGTTCCCAGACTGCAGCTCCTAAGTCGGCTCGCGTTATACATAATTTCTCCGTCTGAAGAATCCTTATCATCCTACGTCAGCGCCCATACTTCCGTTTCCGCCTCTGGAGTGCCCGCGGTCCCGGACCGGAGCCCTACGAGTGTTGCCTTCGCAGCCGCCGCTCTTTATCCACTGAAGAAGGCTTACTTCACGGAAGAACTAGATATGGCGAAGCGTTTGACTTGAAATTTAATGCCAAGGAAAATAAATACTCACGACCACAAATAATATAATAAAAATTCATTTAATATATTGTTCAGGTAAATAAATTGTTGATGTAAATAGTTTTGTATAGTATCTTTGACATTTTTCTCATTCATATTATAAAAAAGTAATATTAGGTAATAGTACCTATCTTTATCTACATCTGAGTCCATTTCATTTTGAAAATTCGACAAAAGATCTGTGATTTATATAAAAAAATGTATTACATATCTGTGTTTTATAATTAATTTACGTCTATCATAAAATACGTTACAATTGTATAAAAAAAAAAAAAAAAAAAAAAGGTCAAACAAAATAGTTTGAATGGGACTCCATTATATTTTTATCAATAAATAAGGACGCTAGTCTAAATAAAAAATAAATATATGTTGTATTCTTTTATTTCACTGATTAAACAACATGACTAGATAATAATTTGTACAGAAAATATTTTCATGTTAGTAAATGTGTAAAATAATAGTAAATATTTTAAAAGCAGATAATACTTACATTTAAATCAAGATAGGTTCCTATAATCTTCGGATTATGTATTGACGAGTCTTATATTGAATAACAATACTGATAATACACTTGGGTTGCCAGCGTTACCTTACAAGCTATTTATAAAGCGTCTAGTTTAAAAAAATATTGAGCGGAAAACAAACGTATTGACAACCCTATAATACTAAACTAAATAAGGAAAGATGTCACAAACACGGAAATTACTATTAAATTGAAACTAATGCGATTTCAAATAACGTTTTACGTTGAGGGAGAGAGAAAGAAAGATATACAAATGTTGTAAGTAGGAGAGAGAAAGAGTGAGTCGGTACTCTTGCTATACAACGAAGTAAACAGTGCGAAAATTAAATTAGCTGAAATACGTATTTGTTTGTTCTATATTAATTAATATATAATATTCATTATTATTATTGATACACATATAATTTAGTGGACAAGAATCGTTTACAATTACGAAGTTTCACTTCCTCACGGAGGTACTCCACACATTAAATTTTCTCTTTATTATTCTAATGTTTTCATCTCAAATAAAGCGAACTAAACTATGAGCTCCGTTGCATTAACCGTTTGCCGCGATAGTGTATTATCAAACCAAGGATTCCCGATAATGTGGCGACACCAGCAGTGTGTTTATTCTGTAGCGCTCCCCCCCACAAGTATCCTTGTGGTAGCCAGCTGACCACGTGGATAATGTCCAACAAGTATTTGGTGGTCACCAACGAAGCTTGCTTGAAGCGGGCCGGAGCACACTTTGGACGGTCGGGATCACTCAAGTTTTTGGCCGAAATGTGCAAAGCTCGTATTGATCTGAAGAATTTATTACAAAGTAAAATTGCGTTCTTAAATGTAACGCCATAATAAACACAAAATAATGAGATAGGTAAGTACGTAAAAATAAAAAAAGTATTAATTTTATAGTATTAGTAATAGTAGGTATTCTGTTATTAGTAATAGTGGTCATTTAACACAGATACATAAAATGTTCATTGGTAGGATGGATGGAAACATGTACCTATTTACACATGTCTAAATCTTCAAGATAGTACTAATCCATACTTGTCATACGTCACTCTACGTCACACTTGAAGTAAGTATGTTATAAAATACAAGTGACACATAGACTTATCGATTATTATTTTGACAAATCTTAAAATAAGAAAAAATAAACTCCTTTATCCTTAGTAGGGAGTAAATTACTCTTGTTAACTTAAAAGAAATTATTTTTAAATCCCTACTAATATTATAAATGCAATTGTAACTCTGTCTGTCTGTCTGTTACGCTTTCACGCCTAAACCACTGAACTGATTTTAATGAAATTTGGTACAGACATAGAGTTGACCTTGAGAAAGAACATAGGATAGTTTTTATCTCGGATATTTCAACTTACCTAACAAATCCTATAACCGTAAACAGGGTCCAAAACGTTTTATGGGCGGTTCTTATTTTGTAATCCAACTTTTCATCTAAAGAGAGTATTCCAGTGTCCATGAGGAAAATGAGTTTTTCAGCTTGCAGATATGAGAGTGTGAAGATATTACTCGCAACCCCTAGAGCGCCCCAACATGGACCTTCCTTGAAAAGTTAATAACATTATATACTAACCATAATAGTCATATTAATGCATTTGAACTACATATTAGATTCGGCAATTCTGAACAGTTTTTTAGTTAATAATTTATGAATATATGTTGCAGTACATTAGACTTAAATTTAACGTAGCTCTTTTCATTTTTTTAATATAAACAAAATTAGAAGCATATTTGTTGTAGGTACCTGTGTTCCCAATCCATAACTAAGAGCTGCTTTAAGTACGGCGGCGTCATCAAAAATTCGTAAAGTTGCTCGTGCACTTGTGAGTCGGGCGCTCGCATTCAAAAGATTTTTTCGATTTGAGGTCGAGCCCCATAGTTTTAGCGTGTAACTTGCTAAAGCCACTACCTGTTGTACATTCAAAATATTTAAATTATGGTCTAAAATTGTGTTTATGATATAGAAGAGCAAGAAGATTTGTGCTTTATCGGTTATGTTAAGTAGTGTTTTATGCGATTAATATAAGCTGAACGCTGCATTATTACGAGATGAATTGGCGAAAAATCATAATCAATAAACAAGTTGAATTAACGTTAGAGGTTACTATAAGAGACATGCGAAATGGCTATTAATACATTTAAATCTCTATTCAATTGCATGTCCTTAATGAGATAAAGAAGATGAGCAAAAAGTTAAAGGAAAAATAATCTATAATTAAATTCTGTTAGGGTTGCCACTGTACAGTAATTATAAATTGATTAATGATAACTAATTTTTTTTATGTATGCATGATTCTAGTGTAACTAGCTGTCGTATCGTGGGCATTAGAATAAAAATTATTGGACATTTATCATAAATAAGAACCTAAAATCTATTTTGTTATCTCAAATTAAGATATCCTAAAAGTTTATTACTGACATTGTTTTGGTAACATTATTGTTAAATAAAACCTCATTTGTGAATTATTAATAACATTGAATATATTTAAGACGGAATTACGATAACTTAAACTGTTTATATAATTTCACAGAAGGAATAATTTCAAATTAACGGCTATGTGAATTACCTTATCTCTATTTGCGTGAGTCTGCAGTAAATCGCACAGTTCATTTACAACCTCCATATTATTCGAATACTAATTTTTAATTCTATTTATTCTAATAAGCACGTCACTAAACCCGAACGATCGGTCTCATACACTAAATAATATTAATGTACATTTATCATATATTTCCAGATTAGATAAATCTATTTGGGAAATATTTGTTTTTTTTTTTAATAAATTGTCATGATCTGTATGGTATTGTTTTATCTATTTTAGATATTGAGAAGTTAGTACCGATAAGTCTTGATATAAATTTTTAACATTTAATTTCCATAGGACTGATTTTATAACTTCTCGTAAATGCATTCTCTTGATTTTATGCTCATTAAGTATACTCGTAACACCATTGTATCATATAGTAAAAATGTGCGAATAAAATAAAGTTTTAGTGGGCAAATGTTTTTTTTAATTTTTTCACGTCCTGCTCTGGAAGAATGCAGAATGAGCTGTACCTTCGAATCTGTCTAAATTAATCTCTCTCCCTAAATAAATATTAAAAGAACCTACCAGGGCTGTCTTCGAAGTACGTTCATAGAATGAATTAACGTTAGTTCTGGACCGGCCCCAAGTCTTTTAGTAGGCTGAAGAGAGATATAGCTGTTATACCTCTCGCTCACACTTTTTCCGCTTACAAATCCATGACGAACCTATTTCAAGTGAGTTCGTTAGTGAACTCGTAATATTTGTTGAACTTGATGGCATGGTCTTTGGGGATGTTGGTTTGCCAAGGAACCGTAAGATCCAAAATTGGCGAATACATAAACATGTCTGGTCTGGAGGCCGACGTACAAATATTCTTCGGAGGCTAAAAAAGTATACTAAAATACGCTAAGTAAATCTGAAAAATATAGTTTTATTTGAAAGTATACTCGCAAAAGTCTTAATTCAGTTTTTTTTTTGTCTCAATTTACGACACAATTTTTATTTCTATCTAATATTTAGACGTTGCTCAAGTCAAGGTCGCTAATAAATAATAAATTTTGTCAAATCCACGTTTTCGTATATAAGTATATTATATAATAATTATGGACATGTGTAATTTGCATTAGGAAATAAAATAATATATTAATTAACAACAGTATATTGCAGCCAAGTACATTTATCTATAACAAGAAATGTCATTCATATTTTATTATTAAACGGTTTTATTTAGCTCACCCCGTTTGTTTTATTATTTATTATTTACTAGCTTTTGCCGCGACTCCGTCCGCGTGGAGTAGTGACTTCCGACAGATTTTTGGTTCTTCCCACATAGTTCCCGTTCTTGCGGGGTTTTCGGAATGGTCGAGTTCCCGTAGAGTTTTCAGGATAAAACCTATGTTTTTTTAATTCACAATGAAGTACTCTTAACCAACAACATATTTATTTGTTTATTTGAATAAAACGATTTTTGTGATTTAATCTTAAAAGATAGACATATACTGTCGCGGACTGTTTTTTAGATCATTAAAAGAGCTATTATTCTTTAATACATATTTTTTGTGTATCTTGAACCGTTTTCACGGCGCACGCAACGGAAGGCTTCAAAGATGAATTATTTTTTCTCCCGTTTTTTACACATTTCCCACTATATCTTTGCTCCTATTGGTCGTAGCGTGATGTTATATAGCCCACAGCCTTCCTCGATAACTGGACTATAAAACACAAAAAGAATTATTCAATTCGAACCAGTAGTTTCGGAGATTAGTGCTTTCAAACAAACAAACAAACTCTTCAGCTTTATAATATTAGTATAGATTCCTTATTCTTTATTCTTTCTTGGGTCAAATTTAGTAACTCAAATTTCACCCTCTTCCTGTCAACCGATTAATCTGAAATTTTGTATACACTTTGGATTTTGGTGACAATACAATAATTATGTTTATTCATTATCATTATAAATTCAAGATAGCCGCCGCTACAAAATGGCGGATAATTTATGTTTTATCAATCCCATCAATATGGGTATCAAATGAAAGTGCTCAACCAGTAGAATACAATGTACTATATAAAACTAAAATCCAAGATGGCGGCCCTTACAAAATGGGATTGATAAAACCTACGTTATCCACGTAGGTTTTATCAATCCCATCAACATGGGTATCAAATGAAAGGTCTCAACAAGTAGAATACAATTTACTATGCTAAATTGAAATCTAAGATGGCCGCCGCTACCAAATGGCTGATAACATTTCTTTAGAGGAGTTTAGAGACAATTGACGTGCGCCACGGTTTTATTTTAGTCTAGTCTGTGCATATGTTTATAATTCCCACGAATGTATCTATTTTATTATTTTTTGGTTTTAAGAACATTTATCTTAAACATTGCAATGCATGTTTCACATAAAACCGTTTAACTTAAAAAGTTTTTTTACCTATTTTTTGAGTAGATAAATTAATCGTAAAATTATATTTTGTACACTTGTTGATATATAAGAGGAATTCTAAACTCGCAACCTATAAGTAACACATATAATAATCAAGAAAGGAATCAATATGCAAGTAATAAGTAAGTATAATCATGAAGCTTTGTAATATTACCAAAGTTTAACAGTGAATTGGTATAAGTACTTTGATTCGTAACTTGACTCTGGCTATGGTTTAAAGTACAGATTATTTAATTTGATTTAGAGTGATAATATATTAGAATTCCGTCCCAGCACAACTTTATTCACGATTTTAACAAGTTTTTAATTTCATAAAGCCCTGAACTATATCGAAATTTGATAATTAAGCCGCGCTGATAGGTCGTCATCCAGAATAAATTGATAAGCAACACATAGTTGCTATTAACATTTAATTATATATTAGTCATCAACGGTTGGAACATTGCTTTACTGTAAATAAGGAAAAGTACATAAAAATGGTTCATTTTATCTACGCGAAATATTTTTCGTAATCAACGGAAGAAGTCGAGCAGTATTACGAAAACGGCTTGAAAACTCTAACAGTTTAAAGAGGATGAAAAGAAAATCAAAGAATAACCATTGATTTATAATGAGCTCCAGGTAGAGTGTGTTGGGTTGCGGAAGTATGCTCGCGCGTTCCCGTGGCCCTACCAATAGCGGAGAGAAGGAACACCGGTGGGGTTTAGTGGGTATCCGGATGCCCTTCAGGCGCTGGGAGCTCCACATACCACAGGGGGAAGCTTATCGTCCCCACGCCCCGTGTGCATGCAATTCAATGCATTTCCCATCGAAAAAAAAAGGTAGAGTGTGTTACTCTTTACTAGCACTGGTGTGATTCTTTTTGGAAAATTGTTGATGAAACGGCTACGGATGCGTACAAGGATTGAATGATGGGTGCAGTCTACAGATCTGAAAAGTCAAATCAAATATTTGAAACAAAACTATATTGCTGGTGAAGATAATAAGATCGAGTTAGTACGTACGTCGTCACAGATGGCATGATTGATAAAGAAAGTATAATAAAAAATTTCAAAGCTAACAAAAGTGTGGTTTTCCACTCATTTTTTTTATGGAGAAAGGGGGCAACCGAGCAGACGGCCTACTTGATGGTAGGTAGTTACCGTCGCCCATGGACATCCGCAACGTAGATTTGCGGATGTGTTGCCGCCCTTGTTTGGGGAAAAGGAGGAGGACAAGGTGGGAAAGGAATGGTTGGGAAAAGGGAAAGGGCATCATTCTATGAAGATCCAAAAAAAATCAACCTTTCAGTAGTTGTGTGATTTTTTAAAAATAAGTCGTTTAGTTTATTGAAATAACGCTGATATTTTAAGAGTTTGACTACAGAAAATTAGTTGAAGTATTATATGTTAAAGTTGAATAAGTTGAAGAATTATATCTTATAGTTAAAGTCCATTGATGTCCACACGAAATGATAATAGTTTATCTGAATGACTATGTTCACCTCCAACACTGTGTGATTTGGATAACTTCAAAGATTTACATATAGTGAACTTATATATAGATTATTGACGCAAAATGGTGTATTACTTTGAAATTTTCTTTTTATTATATTATTTGGATTACAACTTTGACAATCTAGACTCTAGAGATTAATGGCTTATAAAAATGAGTCAGGGTACTTTCTTTAAGATGAATATTTATAATGAATAATTATACGTACGAGAAAAAGGATTAATGTAAGTTTGATCGAAATCAAACAGCATTCACCCTTTTTTTAAGGGGAAAATCATCAAATAACCCCTCTTGCCCTGGGTGGGGCAAGAGGGAGTGTCCGACTCTTACTGACTAAAAACCCCCCGTACCTACTCCTGCTCCGAGCCTGGCCGCGGTACATCATTGCGCTTACACCCGCGACCTGGCCAGGCATCGGCTCTAGGGCCCCATCTGTGATGGTCCGATGGCTCTTTGAGGCGCGCGCGGTACGCTACGCGCCGTACGCTCGGGTCTGGTTCTGATCGGGCGGCAAGCTAGCCTTGCTCGCCGTCCGCAGACCCGCGCTTACGGTGGCTGGAGATCATCTCAGGATCCCCAACGCCTGGTGCGTCCCCTGCGGCGGCTGGGGCGTGAGGAGGATCGTTCCCTCACGCGCTCCGTCTCCTCCTTGGCTAGCATGACTGCTTCGCAGAAGGAGGAGACTGCTTCCCAGTTCCTCTTGCTCCGCACCATGGCCTGAACTAAGGCCGGACGCGAGAGGTCGCCGCCGCCGATGGTCTCCCTGAGAACACGGCGATGCTCAGCCCAAGCTGGGCAGTCCGCCACCGTATGCTCCACCGTGTCCTCTTGTAAGTCATTGCAAACAGCATTGACCCAACCATAAGTATTAATAGACATCAAGACGAGTCTTGACAGGCGGCTCAAGATTCAAGAATGAAGTTCAGAATAAAGTCATATTAATCCGAAGTTGAATTTAGGCTCAGTTTCACCAAACTCTGTTTGTTAAATCTAAGCGACGCATTTACTAACGAACCTTGAAAAATATAATGATCAGTCAAAATAAGCTTGAATACAAACAAAAATTTTAAAAATGAATTAGACAACGTAGGCCAGTGCAGATGTCTCTAAAAATAATGAAAAGTGAAAATAAATTATAGTAGAATGAAACCCATTAGAAAAGAAGGGGAATATAATAAAAATTAAGGGAAGAATAATTTACGGGCGATCTGAGGTCGGGAAAGGTACGGGCGTGGGTATTTAAGGGTAAAAAAATTGATTTTCTCGATTTCCGGCAAAACTAAGAGTCCTAATGAAAAATATTATATGGTAATGTTGTAGGTAATAAAAAGATCTAAAACTTTTGTATTCACACTTTTTTCACATAACCTCGAAAATTATGTGAAAAACTCAAAAAACCAAGTTTTTGGTTTTTTTTTTTATCTCTTACAAAAAACAATATTTTGTCATGTAATTTTTTGGAAACTTACCTTTTGATCTCCCAAATACACTGTAATTTATTTGATTAGAAATATTTATTTTTTCAGCTTATATTGAATGAATATCGAAAGATCAGCGTCAATTTTAGTCGGAAAATCACTCGTCAAAATTAAAGCTTTTTTAAAAAATTTGGTATGTTTTCCATTCGTTGAAATCTCTTTTTTCCGATGGTGGAGAAAAAAATATAAGTTTCTTACTTGCAGTAGGTACCATTTTTGGATAAAATAATCATGTCCCTTTTAATGAAACAACACTCGATATCGTTTGAAAAATGCTCTTTCAATTTATTTTTAATAGTTTTAGCAGCCTAATGTCAATCTTCTGTAAATTACCTCAATGAGGGACTATCGGAGGTTCTTCCAAAGTACACAACTGTTAAAAAAAAATTATTTCTAATCAAATAAATTACAGTGTATTTGTAACATCAAAAAGAAAGTTTTCACCAAATTTCGTGACTTAATATTGTTTTTTGTAAGAGATAAAAATAAAGAACCAAAAACTTGGTTTTTCGAATTTGTCACATAAATTTTGAGGTTATGTGAAAAATATGTTAGTATAAAAGTTTAAGGTCATTTTATTACCTACGACTTTGCCATATAACAATTTTCACTAGGTTTTCTAGTTTTGCCGGTAATCGGGAAAACCCATTTTTTACCCCTAAATACCCATCCCCATACCCTTCCCGACCTCAGATCGCCCGTAAATTATTTTTCCTTGCATTTTTATAATATTCCCCTCCTTTTCTAATGAGTTTCATTCTACTATTATTTAATTATGTTTAAAAAGCTATCGGCACTGGTCTAACGGTCAACGAAAGTCAAATGATATTCACTTCAATATTATTATATTTTTTGCAAATGTTTTACGGCTCTGGATACGAGTCCTTTCGAGTTTCACTTCAATAATGGTGAAATGTGTGAAGTCACGATAGGAGAATTTAATCTATTTCGCCAAATGAAAAATGAGAGACCTGACTGATAGTATAGTTCATGGTTCATTTTTTTTAATATTATCGCTCTTATTGAGAATAGCTGCATCTTACTGAGAATAGCTGCATCAAAACATTTATTTCGTTGAGTTGATTCATTCGAGTTTAATCACACACTCGCTATACGTCACTGACTTTGTATGCCTACAAATACTACGAGCAAACATTTTGTTCATTCAGTTTGGAACCGAGCGTTGAACGAGCGGGAAGTCCACAAAACTTGACCTCATTGAGAATGGTTGATTACTTTATTTACGCAAAAGACTGTTCGGACTCGATAAACGGAGCTGAGTATTATTACAGCAACAACTTGAAGACTCTTGAACAATTCAAGTATGACGTCGAAAGGATCAAAGAACAATTGTTTGGCCAAGAGCCTGAAAGACAATTTAAAATTCTATATTTGCAGTGGAGCGACATCTGTTGGGAGGTCAATGAAGATAAGGTTGTGCTGAAGAATACAAGTGATAACTCTGGACTATCGAACGAATATATAAGTGAAAAGAGAGATCCAGGATGCATTGTACGGCATCTTAGAAAAAACTATATCATTAATGAAAATGATCGAATCAAATTACTGCATATAATTACAAACGGAAACATTAGCAGAGAAAGAATAGACGAATGTTTAGAATTGAATAAAGACATGGATTATGAAACGGTTGTTCTCCATGCATACGGAGAAGACTCGGAAAAAGTCGACCTTTCAGTAGCAGCACCTTTCTTCAAGAGCCGTTGCATTGTTTATTACAATAATGAACTTTGCTACACTACTGATATTTCCAAAGACTTTGATTATAACAAAATGAATAGTGACAACTTTGAAGTTGAAATGAAACAGCTTATATCGTATATAAAGTTGAAGTTCATCAATAAATTCAAACGAGACGCTGATGTTTGGCGGGAAATTGAAAAATTGGATAACCTAAGAAATCGAATGGTTAGGGAATTATCAGATAATACACCAAAATTTCCATACTTTGACCGAATGGAGGAAAGAGAGAGAAGAATATTGATGCGTACATTTGACATGGATAAGTTTGAGAGTTATATAGCTATGGCATATGTGATGAAGACGGATGTTGAGAAATATGTTGCAGATATGGTAGACTATATTAACAGTTAAATTAAATCCTGTTCCTTTGACGTCTTGAAGTTCAACTCCAAAGAGAGCGAATCTGCTGAAGAAGCCATATATGATGATGATTCTACAGACGATGATGAATGTAATTTAGTTCCGATAGATGATGAAGAAAGTTTCCTTGACAACTTGTCTTTATACGACAATTCAAAACATTTGATAAATGAATCTCCTAATGCAATACAACGACAATCATGAATGTAAATTGAGTATAATAATAAATATTATTTTAAATTTAACAAAGTTTTTATTTAAATCCTCATTACTAAACTTAAAAACAAAATGATGCAGTTATTTACTCACCGTAAGTACATACACCGTAGAACCTACATATTCAATCAAGTTTTTTCACCCAAATATCCTCAGATAATATATGAACATATAACCTCGTAACAATGTACATTTCAATTAAATAATAAAATATACAATTTTGAACTTATGTAAGTACATATATCGTTTACCACAATGATCATTTGCATAATCTTTATTTTAATAATAAATTTAGGAAATATGTTTATATATTGGTTATTAAGGGGGATCATTTTACACGCATATATGTATACAGGGTGACTGGTGAATTACTATCAATATTTAAGGAGCATACTCGGTACATGATTCTCATTCGAATTATGTAAAAAAAATAGGTACTTAATTTTTGACAAAATTTCCGTATAAATAAATAAAGTGTGGACACGTTCCAAGTGTCCCAAGTGTGGACGCGTGCGGCGGCGTGCTGATACAACACCACGCCGCCGCGCGCGAGTGTGTGTGTTTGTGTGTATACGTAATCTGTAGGGTGTTCACACGATGCGTAATTAATTACATAACTTTTGGTTAACTTTACTTAGAAGTTTATTAATATTTATGTTATATTAATTTTTATTTTGTCATATATGATCGTCAAATATCACGTCCTCAAATATCGATAGTAATTCACCAGTCACCCTGTATAACGAAGTACCTGATATTTATTTAAAGAAATAATTACAATTGATATGTGTAATTTGCATTAGGAAATAAAATAATTTATTAATTAACAACAGTATATTGTAACCTAGTACATTTATCTATTACAAGAAATGTCATTCATATTTTAATTAGATAAGTCAATCGTAAAATTATATTTTGTACACTTGTTGATATATTAACGGAACTTAAAACTCACTACTTATGAGTAATATACATATATACAAGATTTAAAAAGAGGACAGTCATTTGTGGGCACTTAAAAATTACTCTATGATTTTATTTAATTAAATTGTAGTGGATAATTATTCAGAATCAAACATTTAATTTTCTACTGAGAAAATAAAATCTGTAATCCAAAATATTCAACCATTAAAAAAATATGTAAGTTCCTGTTTCCGGAAGCCATGTTTGCACAAAATTATCAAATTAAATATATACCTACCTACAAAAATGTAAGTGAAATGTACCAAGCATCATAATTTATTTACATAAAATAAAGATGTTTTATTTATTAATATGTGAATTATAAACAAAAATCCTTCAAAGTATAAATAAGATGCTTCCGATTTTATATAAAAAACTAGACTATCGCACAACCTGACCCATAAATATTTATCCATACCTTTCCTTTAAAATTATTCCATAATAAATCTTATCATGATAAATAACAATCACATTAAGACTTAAGATAATATACATCGCAAATAAATCATTTAATTTATTTTCATTTCAACAATCGTTTACGCGCGAAATACAACGCTATACCGATGACAGATGACGTTGTAGCAATGGCGGCTACTTTAGTTGCGCCAATTTTCTCTCCCCACAAACACCCTGAAGGCAGACAGCTGATCGCGTGTGTTATATCCAAACATAATTTTGCCGCGGTCACACTTGATAATATTAGTCTTATGTCTAGATTCTTTCGAGCCTCGAAAGCGTCGTCTGAACTAAGACAATCACGACTCCACCATATGTGACGCATTGAGCGGAAGTTCCTGGAAAAAAAATGCATTTGTATGTATGTGAATATGTATGAGTATAATATACAGGGTGACTGGTGAATTACTATCAATATTTAAGGAGCATACTCGGTACATGATTCTTATTCGAATTATGTAAAAAAAATAGGTACTTAATTTTTGACCAAATTTCCGTATAAATAAATAAAGTGTGTACACGTTCCAAGTGTGGAGGCGTGCGGCGGCGTGCTGATACAACACTACGACGCCGCCGCGTCTGTGTGAGTGTGTGTGTATACCTAATCTGTAGGGTGTTCACACGATGCGTAATTAATTACATAACTTTTGGTTAACTTTACTTAGAAGTTTATTAATATTTATGTTATATTAATTTTTATTTCGTCATATATGATCGTCAAATATCACGTCCTCAAGTATCGATAGTAATTCACCAGTCACCCTGTATAATAAATAGGTATTAATAGTAACAGGATAAACTTGTAATAAGATGGTCTTGATTTCAGAGAGAAACAGAAAACAAGAGTAATTACCTATAACATTATAAACTATTACTTCTTTTAAATATAGACATTATCAAAATAGATAGAAGTAAAAGTATTACCAAGATGTGTCACCAAAGTAAACACAAACTCTATATTTTAAATGAAATAATTATAACTTCAGATGATTTAGGAGTAAAATAATTTTAATTTTTACCATGAGACTGACTCGATTAAAAATCACTTAACAATTCTGTCTAATTGTAGCAAAATATATTTAAACAATTTCCTTTTTCTGATAAAACTGTTGAAACACACTTATTTGATATATTATTAAAATAAATTTACATTACTTTTCTTTCTCTCCTATATAATAAATTATAATGTAATTAATATTTACTAGCACAAAAAACATATTTAAAAAAAAACTGTAATTACTTGTAATTAGCTGTATACTAATATAATAGAACCCAAAATTACTATTTCTAGGCTTAAGCTTGAAATATATAAAATGAAAATTGAATATTTTTAACAGCTTAATGTTTTTTTCTAAGCACTAGTTGGTCATTATGATAAAAAACCAAACATTTTACAAATACGAAGATTTCTACATGACATTCAAGATTATTTTTATAATTATTTACTTACTGTATTAATGAAATATATAAACTGATGGCCCATAATGCCGTACTGAGTACTTCAAGTCTGTCGGCAGTTTTATCAGACAACTTGAGGATGCCTAAATCATTCAACCAACAAGCCTTCTCCACTGGTAAAAATATTTGATCAACGATATTTGCCAAAACTCCCAATATAGCAGCTATTTTCGTTGACTCCTATAAAATTTGTATAAACATTTATTTTATTGCATTTTTTTTTAAACACTGATTAGATAACATATTAAAAGTAATTAAAGTTGATTATGTAATATTGTAATTATGTTATTCATTGCCTAATTACAAGAATGTGTCCAATTTTGATGGATTTGTTTTTATAAATTTAATTCTAATATTTAAATTTTAAATAATTGAAATCTTGTTCATTAAAAGTATAATAAAATATAATATTTGTCAGATCTGTATAATAAAATTCATAGATTCAAAATATCAATTTTATGAACTCTTAATTTGTGAATGTATTAGATCAAAATAATGATTATAAATAACTCACATGTCTTCCGAGTCCGTAATTAAAAGTGTGTCTGATCATAGGAATGTCATCGAACAGCCTCAACATAAGTCTTGCTCCGGAAAGTTTGGATCCTGCGGTCTGCCATGGCTTGTTACCTTGAATGCATCCATATAACTTACATGTGTAACATGCTAGACGGACTACCTGAAAAATGTACAATTAAATCGATATTATTGCAAATCTATGAATAATATTGTATATCTTTAAGAATTATATTCATGAAAGTGCTAAGACAATATAAGTTAATATGGGAAGTTATCTATTTGACACACTATAACAAGTTACTGACCGGTATGTCTAGTATTGCTTAATAAATATTGAGCTAATATTTCCGCATACTTTACCTTGTCTCGACCATTGTAGCTTTCCAATAATTCGCAAATATCGTCTACTATAGAAGACATTGTCATGTATTGTCAAATTTGTATCGCCAAATTCAAAGATAGCTTATCGTGTTCGGTATTTTGTTAAGTGTGCGCGCGCCTCGGATGCAGGTTTTTGTTTGATAAATGTTTGAATTACTTTTCCCCATTCTCTACGCAAAACTCGCGGACCTTGATTTCGAAAGGTTAGCCAACACGCAGCTGGGCAGTTTTCAATGTCAATTGTCAGTTGTCACAAAGTTATAAAGAATGATGACAGCAAAAAATATTCGGAATGTTTTTCTTACAATAAACTGTCTAAATTTTATATTACTAGCAGGGAATACGGGCTTCTCTCGGATGCACAAAAGATTATTGATAAAATTTTACCCTTTATTTAAATATTGTTTTTGTTCTTTTTTTTAACGTAATTCCACAATCTTTTTGCGATGAATGTAGACTTTGCTCCATTTAAGACGGTTAAAGCTACATTTCTCAATTACATGAAGCTTTAAAATATATTAAATGATCCAATGGTGAAAGAATGATTAAAATCGTCATAGTGGTTTAGAGATTATTCATTACAAACAAACACCCACAGAAAAATAAAAATAAATGTTCTTTTTAATATATAGTATATGGTATATAAATCTATCAAACGGCGTTTTTAAAACAATTGAAGTAATAAATAATTATTATTATGTTATAAATTATAAGAACTGAATTTTAAACATACATACTAATTGTCAGTGACAAAACTTGTCATTGCTCTTAAAAGTCATAACAATAAAATTTATAACCAATATTTATATTTTGAGTTTCCACTTGGATATATTATGATTAAACTTGAAATTAAACACAATGACTACAGTATTCTCAATTAAAGATATCCCAGAATTTTCACAAAAGGAAAAGATTGTAGTTGTAGGCATTATTGGAAAATCGCCGTTTCGGTATCCAAATAAGACTTCACCACTGCTTTCTTCAGTACAATTCAAAGAAGTAGGTTGTATATTTGAATGTGTAGAAGGGTAATATATATATAAAAATAAAAAAAAACCCTAAACCATTTACAGAATGACATAGAATGCCATTGGGATGAAAGACGAAGTATTCTATATCTTCATGCAGTCACTTACTTCGACACTGCGAGATTGGCAGCATTGGCAGCAGATTTGAACGAGGAATCTCAGAGCACGGTCAAAGATGCTGACGCTGCTCACTGGCTCGTCGCTTCTGGAGAACTGGCGGTTGAAGCATGCCGGGCTATGGCATTGATATTTCATCTGTGCCATATTGTGATTCTCTCATTACCAACACCTGTATTTGATCTCGGATATTTACAGCTTTTTAAAGCTATTGATGCTTACAGGTTATTTGAATTTAAATTAATAATTATATCAAATTCTGTACTATGTCAGATAAAATTCATTTATTACATTTAGATACTTTGTTTACGTAATTTTAAAATATGATATGTTTGGATGGAATGATTTCATATAGAAGTAGTTAGAATCTATGATTTCCGAAGATAATATTTTTTACACTAAGATTACTTATTGCTCCACTTAGATTTACTTTAGAATATAAAAATGACCATCACAATTCTTTAATGTTTTCACGCAAAGGTTGACTAACCTTAATTAGATAAGATTTTTCAAATTAAAATAATGTTATTTCTATCAGAACAGAGTTATCGGCGCAAATTACAAGTGCTTTAAACCAATCGTGGGCAGCTGCTTGGCAGCATGGTCGGTTATGCTGTCCTCGCCTGCTATTTCACTTCAGACGAGCCCCCACACCACTAAGAGCTGATCCCGCTGGCCTTAAGAGATTGGAACATGCTGTGGAGGACCAGATATACTTCATACTCCGAAAATCACGACTTATAACTAATGTCTGGTGAGAATTTGATTGTAGCACTAATAATACTATATGTAATATAATTCAAGAATACTAAAACATTCGAGTAACTAAATGTATTTGCCACTATTCAATTTTGGCTTATAAATATTAAGTTATGATTTTTTGATATATCCATATACAATTTTTATTATGCTTTGTGGATATATAATTTACGTTATTTTCTACGACATTAAAAGTACATATTGCAATATGTGTTAATGAGTCTGTATTTGTATAAAGGTTTACTTCATACCAAGTATTAAAATCACATATTCCATATTTCTTGATTCCAGTGCCAAATCTCTATTTGCCATTCCAAAGAATGAGGAGTTTGTGTATATAAGTGCCGAGGAGGTGGGGTCGGCTCGTGACACAAGTTCATTACTCCGTGGCTTAGTGCAAATGTGTTCCGGTACAGGAACTACGATTGCATCAGATCGACCAAGCTTCAGACAGTTCCTTCAAGGACACTTGAATTTAGCTTTCGGTGAAGGCTTTGACGATAATGTTGGCAAGTATGCCATGAGCACTTCATATTTTGAGGTGGGTTTAGATCAAATTAGTAATAATGATTGTAATGCAATTGTAATTTATATTTAGCAATGAAATGACATGAAATGACATGTTTTCATAACTAAACTAAATTTATCAATTCAAGTTAGACATAATTTATATAGACATAAGCATTAAAATAAATCAAAGACAATTTATCTCATTGACATTATTATAACAAGTTTTCAATAATTTATTCCATTATAAGTGTGATAAATAGCTTGTTCAACTTACAATTTTATTGGCAAATCCAAAGAAAGAAGAATTTCAGATGCTGTATTGATAGTAAATAGTAATTATAGAAGTAATTTTATATATTTGGATCTATAGAAGACTAGTTCTTGTTTTATTAAGTAATACACTTTGTGCTGAAGCTATATGAAGAAGGGTCTTTTATGGCAAAAAGTTGATTTTAATGCCAAGGGTTTCTTATGCCACAGCATATCTTATGCCAAGCAAACAAGGCTTTCGTAAGCCAATACAAGGCTAATAGTGGTTTTTTTAAGTCAAAAACCCAGTCGGCGAATTTCACTGAGACCATTACATAATAAAGAACCATCATTTCTTGAACCTTTTAACATGAGAATGTTCCTCTCATTTCCAGCTACCCTCAGCATCATGTTGGCGCGGCGCGGCTCGTGTGTTACACCGTCAATACTCCCAGCAGTCAACCGTTCTCTTCGACGCTCTAGCGACAGACGTTAGGTTCTCACAGGCGAGATGCGCTAAGGTACTTTATTTAACACTAGCTTTCCGCCCGCAGCTTCGCCCGCGTTGAGTTCCGTTATATCGCGTTTCCAAGAGAACCTTTCAAAAGTCTGGGATAAAAACTATCCTATGTTCTTGCTCAAGGTCAAATCTACCTCTGTACCAAATTTCATTAAAATCATTTGAGTGGTTTAGGCGTGAAAGCGTAACAGACAGACAGAGAGACAGAGTTACTTTCGCATTTATAATATTAGTAGGGATTGGACACCAGATCATAGTATAACTTGAAATAATCTCATCCCTGCAAAGTATTGATACTTCAGGAGTATGTACTTTAAAATAATAAAATACGCGTAGTAATCCGAATAATATTAGTTTCATTTAAAGGAATATTCGCAAAGTCTAGATCTCATTAACTTGAATGAAATCATTTTCATATAAAATATCGGTTTCAAGCTAGTGTGAAATATGTACATTGTATTTTATACACCTTTACAAAGTCCTCCAATGAAGAAAGTGAATCTAAGTCATCAGTATCACTAATAGTTATGATAACGTTTCCAGGTGTTACCAATAGCACAGGCGTCCTACGCGGAGGGTCTGCCACCTCACTACTCCAGCCAGCATCACGCGCATAAGGTCAGCTTTAATTTTTTATAAGCGAATGTTATGTTCTGGAAATCATCCAAAATAAACGATTTCTAAGTTTGTGGTCTGTTCACGGTTATAAAAAAAATTGTATTAAGGAATGTAAGAAACTCTCCGAAAGAAGTACCTGCTTTATATGTTCTCCTCCTTTTCTTATAACAACGTCTCTTAGGGCCATAGCATTCCAAGATACTATACTGATAGAAGTACTTAAACAATTAACCTAACAAAAAACCCTTAGGTATTTTCCCTATTGTGAAAATTATAATTAATTCAGGCGAAGAAAAATATAGTCTTCAGTCACAATTTAACCATCTTTCTCAATCACTAAATCTTCCATCTTTCTCTAACATCGATATGTAGTAATAGAAATGATAATGAATTAATTAATTAATCAAGATAAAGAAGATTCTGTCAGTCACAACTAGTCTACCTTTCTCACTCACTAAATCTTCGATCTCTCTCTAACACCAATGTATAGCTGGTGGTAGCTCTCGGTGTAGTAGAAGCGATGGCTCGAGGTCCCTTGGCTGGTGGTGCTCGAGCTCGTCTGCGGGTGGCCTGCGACACTATCAGACGAGCCAGGGAACTGTGTGAGGAGCCTAGTCTCACACATCATCCATGTATACATCCTAAACAGTAAGCAAATAGTCAATTTAGTTAGTAATTAAATTCTCCACTATCATTCCACTTGAAGGTAGGTGTAAATTTTAAGAGTTTAACGTTATAATTTTTTTGGTTATCTTTTAAATTTGTATATTTGTGAAATTGACGATTTTCGTTTCTATTGTAAAGTGATGATGATATATTCTTCTCATCAACTCTAAATTCTGTTGACTTTAATTAAAACGTATTAGCAAAAAGAAGAAGACAATTTTAGTTAATAAATCAGTCATCACCAACATATATGATGGTTTTTTCAGTGATAGCTCCAAAGAGCATTCATCAGGAGTGCGTTATGTGAGTGCGTGTAACTGCGGACGCACGCGCGTGCCCCGCGACGACCCATACTGTGCGCGGTCAGCTAATTACACATTTTATACCCTGGCCGCTGAGCAATGCAACTGTGACACTCTACCATCTATCAGTTTTCCAGTGTTTCAACCTTCAACCCCTACATTCAGGTGAGTGAAAACGCATTTACACCTACATAACTACCCCTAAATGTAATCATCCTGTATTTTTCCTTCTTACTTGGTCCGGTAAAGTATGTATATAATGAGATCTAAGATTTTCGTGAGTTTTATTAGTTTAAACTTTAAATGAAACAAATATTTTTCGGATCATACTACGCGTCTTTATTTTTGTAAAAAACTACATGTGAATCTACCCAAATCTCATGTGCCCGTGATCATGGTTGCTGTAAATTAGCCGAAACGTCGGGAGTATCTACTTTTTTACAAAAAGAGTCGTGTAGTATGATCCGAAAAATATTAGTTTCATTTAAAAGTACATCTATGTCCATACTGTACATTTTTGGCATACAATTTTTATTTCCGTTCTATATCTGACTTGTGCATATAAATTATTAATATTTCAGGGCTGCGTCAGTTAAAGGTGCTGTTAAAAGTCAAGAGTTGTCCGAAGTACGACAACAGGAGGTGATTGAAGCCGAGTCACCCCAAGGGGATGGATCTCAACGAGGGTCGTGGTCACCCCCCGACGTGTTATCACCAGGATCAGCGAGGGATGATGATGAAGAGGATCCTGAGGACTCCAGTGATGAAGGAATAGAAGTCGTTACAGTACAGGATAATGGAACTACAGGCATGTGTGATGAATTCAGATAGAGAGTATAGAATAAGTCAGTGGTGGCCTAGTGGTTAAAGGGCCCGCCTCTCGTTGCCGAGGATACGGGTTCGATCCTGGCCCGGGCAACTACCAATGTGATTTTTCCGAGTCATATGTACTTTCTAAGAGTATTTTGACATCACTGATTAATGTTGATTCCCAAAAGATGTCAGGCAGGCGGCCGGTCGTAAAAACAAATAGCCAAAACTATTCACAACATGTAAGGCAGACCCTGGCTAAAGCTGGGAAATTGCCAGGTAGAAGAAGAAGAGTATAGAATAAACATTCATAAACACGAGCAAGTTTTGAACCTACTACCTGCATATGAAATTGAAATTGTATTACCAATTAATCTAGTGACCTTTTTGGTATCGGTGGATTAGTCCTTCGAATTATTCAACCGCCATATCGAGACAGTGGTGCCATTAGGTTTTGTTATGATAAGCCGAATCAACGTTTTCTAGCTTTGTATCCTAGAATTGCTATAGGGAAGGTACCATTGATATTAAATTGTTATAAATATGAATATATGGTTTGCATTATTTGAAGATGTCATAAGTTAAATTATAGATATTTGATTATGAATTATGATCGAGACTGGTCACGTTTGGAGTTGATGTAATTATAAATCTCATTTTTCCCCGAACTAGGCACACTATCCAAATATATTTATTTATTATTTATTTTTTTGCTACACACATTAATTACATATATTATACAGTTATACAGAAGAAAAAAAATTAAATTTAAAGAATACAGTGTAGCAAGGAGGTTTACCTCAGTATAAGCTGTGCTAATGCACAGAAAATATAAGGTTTTTTTCCTTATATAAGGTTTCTTAAGTATGTCTTATTTATAATATTATTCTCTTTCCAGAGAAATCAATAAGTCGTCAGCCATCGACCACAGAGTATCTCCCCGGTATGCTACACACGGCCAGCCCGGCCGCGCTGCTGCCCGCCTTCCCGAGCTGGTCGCTCGTGTGTCTCGGAGCTTCATCGTTATACTCACATAGTGCTGGTAATAAATACTACCAAAAATATATTTAATCATTTAATGATACTAATATTTTCGGATCAATACGCGTTATTTCATTGTTTAAAAAACTACATACTCAGGACGATGAAATGATGTCTTTGCGACCACGGTTGCTGCAAAGTAACCGAAACCTGGACTACGTAGTTTTAAAAATAATACGTAGTAATACGAAAATATTAGTTACATTTACACGAACACTCGCGAAAGCCTTAGATCTTATTAGTCTTAAATCAGGTTTTTATATGATATTGTTTGTTTCCTTCCCCAGGTCTTCCAGAGCATCTTCAGCCAGGCTTCCTGCCTCACACCAACTATCTATTGCCTTGGGACTGCGCTGTCCGCCTGGAGCGTCCGGAGCGAGGGGACCTCGGCGTGTGGCGCGGCAGAGGGAGGGGGAAGGCGCCCTCACAGAGTCTCACGGTCAAGATATTCATAGGATACGAATATGAATGTCCCAGGGGACACAGGTGAGCTTATCTACATACATGACGTATTAACCAGTTGTAGGTAGTTTTTGCTACCGAGATCCTCCGCATGGGCTTAGAGTAGTCAATAGACTCAATTTCAATATAAATTTGTATAAACTGGGTCACGATATGTCAAAAAAAATGTACGATGTTCTGGGATAAATTATAATGTATATTTTAACATCTCAGTTATATTTCTATAAGCTAACATCAGGGTCCATTTATTATAATTTACATAAAAAAGAACCAAACATCCAACCATTGTATTCAAACAAATAATTCCAATAACATATCCTCATTCAACAAATCCTACTTTTGATTATCGGAATTACTCTAACATTATCTTCGGTTTATGAAACTCTATTTTTTGAATTTGGAACAAACCAAATATCGGAATTACTCTAACATTATCTTCGGTTTACGAAACTCTATTTTTTGAATTTGGAACGAACCAAATATCGGAATTACTATAACATTATCTTCGGTTTATGAAACTCTATTTTTTGAATTTGGAACAAACAAAATATCGGAATTACTCTAACATTATCTTGAGTTTATGAAACTGTATTTTTGAATTTGGAACAAGTCAAAACGACAGTTGTTTCATTGTATGGTCGTCAGGTTCATGATGTCATCTCCGGACACGGTGGTTTCCGGTGGTTCCGGTTGGTCCCGTGAGTCAGGCGAGGCCGGGGCCGGAGCCCTACTCGCTTCTAGCTCAATGCCGGTGTTGTCCGCGTGTTTATGTCGCGCCGCCCAGCCCGCACACCTGGCGAGATTACACGTCGTCACACCGAAGGCTTCTGTACACGTCACGTTGGACCCTAAGGTTGGATTAAAGGAAATCTTCATCATTATTATTCTTCTTACTGGCTATTTTCCAGCTTTAGCCAGGGTTTTTACATGTTGTGAATAGTTTTGACTTATTGTTTTTACGATCGGTCCCTGACATCAACCCTCTTTACATCATATTATAGTTATTAAGTCAGTTATAGAGCAGGATTATGATATCTGAGACTTTAGTTGTCTTACTGAAATGAAAAAGTATGTTTATTGAATTTACTTTGAGTTAGAGGAAATAGAAATAAGCAGATTCATAGCATTATCAAGAAGCAAATAGAAGAATGAGTTTTGTTTAGAACAGTTTATCTTCTATGAATTCTTCATATATAATAGCTATCCAATATTCCCAAAAAGAGGGTTGATGTCAGGCAGGCGGCCGGTCGTAAAAACAATTAGCCAAAACTATTCACAACATGCAAGGCATACCCTGGCTGTAGCCGGGAAATTGCCAGGTAGAAGAAGATAATAGCCATCCAATATATGTTCAGGTACAGCCAGTGCCCGGTGGTCCAGTATTCATTCCTCAGCCAGTTGGGTCTCCGCCTATCAAGTTGAGTTCCTCAGCGTATTGGGTGCTTCGGTTTCCATACGTGTATGCTCACGAGCATGGCGCCTTACCAAGAGCAAGACTACCGCCCGCTGGGAATGTTCTGCAACCAATGTTCGGACTACAGGAATAATACTATGAAGGATTCAAATTAGTCCGCTAATTCGGGTCTACTGATTGAACTATTTTAGGGAAGGCTTAAAGAAGACTGTTATTAATGTTGAATATAGGCCTTTCAGGTTTATGGCAGGTTAAATGAAGACTATTCTCAGTGTGCAGAAAGAAAATTCTTGATCTCCAAGAAGAACTCTTGGATTTCATGAGGAGTTTTAGTCTGCGGAATAAAGCTCCTTAAAGTGACGTAATAAGTCATCGCTGCTGGTATTAAAAGCTTGTTCAAGAAACTTCATAATGAAACACGTTTACATTTTTCGTTATATACAGTGAATATTATGTTTATATAGTACATAAGATAAAATGAGTACATTAGAATACAAAAATATGTTTATTTAATCTAGAGAATGACTTATGAGGAGACCATTTTGTTGAGTACAGAGATATCGTATTAATGCAGGGCATTCTGTTAAACATATATTGCATTTGTATTTTGTTCATATTGATTGAAAACTACATTACACTTATTGTAATTATTACCTGAGCGATGAAAAAAGTATTTGTTGTGTAAAAGGTACATATGTACCTACTTAATAAAGACCGGAGTAATATATCAATGAATATAATTTATACATATTTAGTTTTATTGGTGAAAGCACAGTTTTTCCTCGCTTATAAAGTATTGAATAAACATAAGCCTTTATGCAAATGATGATATAGCAAAATGATAATACACATAAATAAACAAATAGCAGTTTCAATAACTGTAAGTGTCAAATAAGAAAATTATTGCTAGATCGATATTAATCTAAATAGCTAAAAATGAATATCACAAAAAATTATTTTACATAAAATCCCTTTACTCTTTTATGTCCTTGCCACATCCTATGCATTGATTTTTGTATTATTATTCATCAGTTTGTAAATAATTTTATGAATACATGTTGTAATTTAATTTTGCGACACTCATAAATCCTTTAATGGTCTTGAGACGAAATATAAGAAAAAGATTGCCTTGTTTTAGTAGCCCATCCCACAGTCAATGAAAAAAGACACTTCTTGAAAGCTTAGGTGGAGTAAGAGACTGGAGTCAAATCCAGTTTACAAGCACGAGTCGATCTAGAAAGCTTATTTTTTCAGTTCAGTACTACGCAATACTATTTGATAGGATTGTCACAGACTTATCAAATCCTCTCCAATATGTCCTAGCACCTACAACAACTAAAACTAATGGCTGCATGGAAAATAAATATAAAGGAGGGTTTATTTTTCTTGATTGAGACCCGAATATCAGTTCACATCCTGAAGAAATTGACTTGACTTGAGACTTACTATTTTTGTATTGGACAGAGATATTCTTGTATGTTAAGGAAGATATTTGTTGTCAACGCCTCGGCAATCAAAACAAAAAAAGAGAACTGTAAATTTTTAGGACACGTCTAGATTTTCTGGACGCTTTTGGAAAAAAAAAGATTGTACCTGTAAGTCTCAATAAAAACATTGCCAGAGCAAAGCGGACCCACGTCCACAGATTTGGTAGGTATCTAGAGATCTATTCTCTGGAAACTCGGTTTATTATAACTTGCAAAGATAAAATTAGTAGAAGAATATTACTGTTATTACAATGTACACTTAATAGAAGAATATTTCTATATCTTTCTTCACGACTCTTGCATAAACCTGACGGGTTTGCTTGCGCAATTTACAATAGAAATAGCTGAACTTTTCCCGTTGTATTCGACTTTTGACGGAAAGGGTGAACGACCTCCAAACAACCTGCGTTACATGTGTATGTAACGCTTTGTGTGTACAAAGCACGCAAAAAAATATTGAATGGATTTTATTAATGTAGAGTAGAAGTTAAAATAAGATATCTATAGGCTATATTTCTTATTTTTTTCAAAATTCCTTGTTTTCCCACGTTATCATAAATACATGAATTCATGAAGAAATGTAACACAGACTATAAATGTGGATGACGGTTTCTCTATGCCTAAAACTAAAGTTCAACGTTTCCAAACTAAGTGAAGTAATAATAAAAGCCTGTTTTATACGATGGCGCTCATTAGAAAGTTATTATAAGTACATATATATCAGAAAAAAAAATCTTTATTAACACTATTACTTGACTTTTGCTTGCTTTATATTGAAATTAGAAAGAAATGAATAGTTAATTGACGCAAGTGACAAATCTGATCACAATATTTTAATAAATGCGACACGCGATAGACGAACTTAAAAAAATAGATAACGTTATAGAAAATAATTATTATTTAGGCTGTTTTGTAATTACAATGACTTCTCAAAAGAGCAATCGGTCTGATGTAAATAAATTTATATTTTGTTTGGAGTAGAAAACTCGAAGTAATATTGCTTACTAGTTTTTTTTTTACATTATAGCTTCATCCGCACTGGAATCGTGGACTATTCTGCCAATGTCAACGTTTTTATTTAGTGGACGAATAATAATCTTGACTACTCTTTGGACGAAAAGCAAAGGAGTTTGTCGAATGGTATAAAGGCATTTATTTATAAGTTTATAGTTATATGTAGTTTTAAAGTAAATACTTATTGTTTTTTCATCTTCATTTTAAAGAAAACTGTTTAACCAGCGCCTAAAACATTGCCAAAGACATTGAAACTCGTTTTTCAATTATACATGACATTCAAGTATGTGTATCTGAAGTTATTGTCTGTCAGAGCAATGACAATTAAAAAACGTCACACGTATTACTGGGCGACGTTTATTTAACCGTTATGATTTTAAACTATTCATCCTAAAAAAAGGCAGGCAGAGAAAAAACTAACTAAATAACTTACATGATTAAAGGATTAATGATTTATTATAAACACAAGAAGACATAATGTATAATATAAATTAAAACGTGCTACGCAAAAAGAATGAAATGCAATAAAGTAATTGTATGACTCTTACTTGGTAAAGATAAAAATAACCAAATGTATGGAAAACTGCATTCAGAAGTGGTTGCGTTAAAAATAAAACAATATATCTCGATTGTGTAAATATTAAATAAAAAAATTATCGTTAATAGCGTTAAAAAAAATGTTTTACTCCATAATTGCAATGAAATCGTTATGGCAATATTAAGAAAACTTTTAATTGATATTGTCTTTAAAGAAATCACAAATTGATACAATATTTGAATTAAAATACTAGAACAAATATGTCATATAAAAATGTATATAAAATAGTTTATTTTAAGCCCTACTTTTTCTTACTGTGTATATATAATCTTTTATTGATATTTACGTAAGAAAAATTGTTTTTTGCGACTTACGTTTTCTTTTTGTTATTAATGTAGGTTTATAAATTTTGTGAGATTATTCTTAAGATTACCTAAATATTTCTGGCTACGAACACGTTCTGGTAAAATGTTAATCATTAATTACTAATTCTTTCATATTTACTAATGTTTGTCTCTTAGAGAACGTAGAGTATATTTTTTCCGTTTGAATATTTTAAATATTATTTTTTCTATCTAAAAGTTCCTCATATCACTTCCTTTAAAATTAATGAACATTTAAACGAGTAAACTATTAATATTTGCAAAAATATGATAGGAATATGTATATATATACATATATTTTTCATAACTGACTAAAAACTCTTTAACGATCTTTTCTTTAAATTTTATTATCAGCATTATGTTGCTACCATCAAAAATATCTACATATATCAATAAATTAATAATTACCTGATAAACTGAACTGCTTTATACTACTCACTATTTGAGATATTCATTGTTGAACAGATTTTGTATTGTTACACATTTTATATTTAAAAAGTACTGCACCGATAGCGCAAAGTACCTTTCGCGCTATCACTAATGAACTAAGAACAGATACGTGTACATATATGTACTACAATATTATATAACAAGGATTATATCCCAAAATTTTATGAAAAATCATGAGTCATCGTATAAAGTTTACGTTGATATAATATTTAATATTATTCTAATACTTTTTTTTTAATAAATTCGTTAGTATTTCCGGTATTCTGACGTATTGTATCTGGCTTCTTATATATAAAATTTGCAGAATATATGTATTACTGCATTTTATTTAATTGTTATTTTTCTTTAAAAAAATATCAGAAAATAACGCATTATCTTTAATTTAATTACTTAATTTTTTCTGTTATTATAAAACTGGCAGGTTGTAAAAAGCAGGAAGAGTTTTTTTTAATATAATGAAATAATTTGTACCCAGTTTCATAAAGTATCCGTCCATCGCAAACTGACCAATCAGAGCAGTCGGCGGGAAAATATAACCAAACAATTTGATACCTTTTTTCAAAATAATATTATTTATGTAATAATTTTGTTTCCATAATTACTTTAAATTATTAATAAAAATTATGGTGTATTTAACAGAAATTCTAGTTAGTTTTTGGACAAATTTAATATTAAGAGACGATAAATATGGGCGTGGCTAAAAGATTCGAGTGACGGGGGTAGGGGTGGTGGAAGGGTGAGTTTGGCTTCGTGCTTCACAGCGTTCGTAGTCGGGTGTAGTGTGCGGTGTGCTGCCGAGGAGGCAACAAGTCCTAACTAATACACGGCCAGTCTAGCGACGAAACTTTGGAAAACTTTTGCGGCACCCATGCCGCTTTTGCATCAGGTTAGTGAGTTTTTTTATACATTATAATTTTATACATAATAAATATTAATATCTTACCTATTTATTGTTTTCTAATCATCGACTACCCGCAAGTTTTTAAGATGTACCCTACATTGTGTAGTATATTTTTTGTGTAATTACCCGTAAATAGTTTTGATGTTAAATTTCAATTGATTAATGGTGTACTAATATGTTACTTCCCCTTTTAATACTATTTTAAATTTTGTGGATTTAATTTATGTTTAATGTGTCAGGATAACAACCGCGGGGGCGGCGGCTCGAGGGAGAACCGCCGCTCGCTAGCAGAGTTCTTAGGGCTGGATACCTCGCAACTTGCGGAGGCTGCGACTCCCACTACAAACAGAGTGAGTACCTCCAAGAAATACTACCATTTAAATTGTTTCATACGTATATAATGTATATTAAAAGTATCTACCTACCCTCAAGATGAAGGAACGATACGCGACTTCTAAATCCATTAGATCGGTAATAATACAGTCTAGTCGTTTATAGATAGCGATCTGAAATAGCTACAGTTGTAACGGGCATATTTTTGTAAGAGCAAGTTGGTTTTGCGATATAGATTTTAGAGGAGGTAGTTTCAAAATAATGTTAGATTTTCAGTTAGTATATCGTATGCAGTCCCATGTTGGGCGCCAACATCGTAATGCGTATCCGCGATGAATAGGAATGTAGATAATGTTGTTTGAGATAGCTGTTAGTTTAATGTAATTTTTTATTTTATACATAGCGTAGTCCCGAGCCAATGTATCATAAGAACGTCCCGCTGAATGCATCTTAAGGCTCGATATTTGAGTACAAAGCACTCGACAGTTTTATTGTCCGTTCATAATGTCCGTACGACATCCGTTTTGATGCCAGTTAATGTTGGGGAGAGTGCTGCCAGCTCCCCTATTAATGGCTGCGTTGTGCCAAGTAATGCACCCGCGGCCAACCGCCTGCTTGCATTAGCTCGGATTTAGACATATTCATATTTTATTTGAAACATTTAAGCTAAATTAGCGAATAACCAAAGTGGCTGCGGTATTTCAATGTGATTTCGATGCTCAATTAATTAAACTTACATATATCACTGAGCCATTATTACGTCGCGTCACAAAAATTTTAAGCCGGATTTTGGATAGTCTTTATACGCTACATAAAATAATAGCAACCTAATCACTCTCCGGTGCAATAAAATAGGCACTTAAGTCAAATAGATATAATTTATTATACGGTTTTATTGTAGGGGAATGTCAAGTTAGTTTTTAAAGTGGGGTTGCATGTAGCGGGCGGAGATTTAAAAACTTATTTTTGGAGACTCGTTAATATTTGATAATGAAGCTGTCGCTGGATTATCCGTTGTAGTTTCAATCGTATTTATCGATCTTTTAAAAATAGTTGTGGAGGCGTTGATCTGTTGGTTTTGATAGCGTCCTGCGTGTAATCGTTTCATACATCCGCAGCTAATCGTCTGCAGGACGAAGGTAGCGACTAATTACGGCTGCGACCTAATTTAGTCCCGTCACCCGCGCTATTTCTATCTCCTGCAATTGATTTTCATTTCCCGCATCTTAATTTTCATTTAGTTCCATTAATATTGAAGTCTATCTTGAGTCGTTTGGTAATGTTTCTTGCAGTTTATCCGCAATGCCCTCCAATATTTTTATGGGTCTTTTGAACTTCGAAACAAAATTGTATTACTGAATTGTCTAGTGTATTTATAAGGCGGAGGACCTGTCGCGAGGGTTGGGAAATAGATTTGTTTTTTTTATTCATTGTAGACTTTCAACTTGAAGGTTTTACAATCTGAACACTCTCAGCGTATTGACGCTAGTTGGGAACGCGTAATCCGGAATCTCCTTGTAAAACTTTAGTTGTGTCTTATTTGGCAAGTCTCGCGGGTCTGCTATTGGCAGGAACGGGCTATTCTATATTATTTATGTAGGCAGATGCCACTCGGGCAGTCGCTAGTAGAAAATAAGATCCCAAAAATGTCTTGAATCTTAGAATTTCCTTTTAAATCTTATTTTTTATTAAATGTATTGCTTTAATATAATTTTCTCAGGAGGGTGAAAATGAATGGCGCTGGGAAAACCCGAGCAGCCCGGAGGCGACACAAACTGTTGCGTTTCACGGATACGGGTACTAATGAATATATAATATTAATATAGATATTATAGACAAAAAATAATGAGACGTGTGTTACAGAGATGGAATGCGTTCAAGCGGTTGGGGAGACGAGGACAGGAGGCAGCAAAATGCTCCTTCCTTAGTAAGTAGTTTATACAGCTAGTCTTATTTTCGTGTAGATAGGACTCATCAGCATTTTACGTCCTATTTATATCACATTTTTGGATTGAAATCAATATTTTTAGTGGGTTCAATACATACTCCATTTGCTAAGACTTTGACTTAATATCTTGGGAATTTATTGTATGTATTATCCTTGTTCAAGGAGCCCCTCCAGGCGGGTGGTCCGGGCGGCTCAAAGGCTCGTGTCCTGGAGCCCCGCAGCCCCGCGGCCGCTCAGTCTCCCTGTACACTAGTGCCGCCCGCCTGCTTCCCTCCACGACATCCTATAGCCTACGCCAGCTACAGGTAACGAAATAACAATATGTCACTCATTATATATGAATGTATTTTAATTACATGATTTGTTTTCAGTGAAAGCGCTCGTCCCGGCGGTTGGGGCGAAGACCAGACTGATCATGGGATAACAGATCTCGTGACTTCTTTAGTAAGACGTTATAATGGATATAATTGGTTATTTTTGGTGAATAGGAGAAATACACTAGGAGTTTGTTTCAGAAGGCAATGGCGATGCCTCCTACAGCGACTAGGAGTAAATCTTTCCACTTGAAGCGACTTAGTTGTGACGCGCTAGAAACGGTTAGTGCTTATTAGTGGCTAATGTCTTTGTTAGTTCTCTTGTTAATTCCTGTGTTTGTAGGTGGAGTCGCCCTGGCCACCTGAGGGAGCGCACGCTCAGCCACATGAGGAGGCTCGCATCGCACGGCGGGCGTCTTTTTGTAAGTCATATTTTTCTATATATAGACATATTTCTATTTAGAAATCTTCATTAAGATGACTTAGTAGTTTTGATAATTTATTCTATTTAAATCACTTAATGTGATATATGATATTTTCCCAAAGAGGGTTGATGTCACTCCGGCGGCCGGTCGTAAAAACAATTAGCTAAAACTATTCACATGTGAGGCAGACCCTGGCTAAAGCTGGGAAATTGTCAGGTAGAAGATGATATATGATATTTTTCCTAGGTGGTGTGATGTCTAACGTCCGTACAGAGGGTTGTGTGAGGTGGCACGGCGCCCTGCCGGCCCGGGGCGGAGGCTCTGACGCGGGCTACTCGAACAAACTGTTCCTGGGAGGCCTACCGTATGACATCACGGAGCAGGCTCTCATGCACGCTCTCAGACACTTCCAACCTGTACGGTGAGTAGTGGTCCTTAGTATTGAACAGGTTCTTTGATTATATGAAATTAAAATATATTTCTTAAACTATATTTAAATGTTTTTATATAATTAGTTCAAAGCTTTCTATGTATTACTATTAGTCTTTCTCGGTGTAGGTTTTGTGGTTTTCTGACAAAAGTAAGACTAGCTTGTCAGACTATAAAAGATTTGAGATAATTAGTTCCAATGCCTATATACTATTCGTATTCCTTAGTTTGGTACAAATTCTTACATAGTTAATCTGTTTTCTGACAATGAGTTTGACTCATTTGCCAAAGATTTCAAATGGTTGGCAGATAATTAGTTCGATAGCTCATATTGCTGCTAGTGGTTCTTTTTTAATGACGCCAATCGATTCTTCTTTAGAAGAGTTTCTTCTAGCTCCTGTGTTCTATATAATGTGTGCATGTGTGTGTCAGCGTGGAGTGGCCGGGTCGCGGCGCGGGCTCGGCTCGCGGGTGCGCGTACGTGACGCTGGAGGGCGAGCGTCGCGTGCGGGCGCTGCTGGGCGCGTGTAGGAGGGACGGACCCGACTGGTACTACCGACTGGCGACACGGAACATGCGGACCAAGGAGGTACACTAGGAAATATATATTTGTATAACTATTTAGTACAGATTTATACTTGCTAGGGCTATATAAAGTGAAATTCTCTTTGGATAGATATATTATTAGAAGTGGTGCCATCCGTCTCTTTGATATTATTGCAATCCTTTTAAATATATGTAATTTGGTGACAACATTTAGCACTCACTATAACTGGAAAACAAATGCTGTCTCGATCATTTTGACGGACATTACTGGACTTAACACCTAACATTGACATACAAAACTGCACCTAACACACTATCTCCCCATATAGTATCTGGTTCAATTCTCCCCCAGGTCCAAGTGATCCCGTGGTGTGTGAGTGACTCCAACTGGGTGTCGGCGGGCGGCGCGGCGGGCTCGGTGCGCCTGGAGCCCGGCCGCACGGTGTTCGTGGGCGCGCTGCACGGCATGCTGTCCGCCGCGGGGCTCGCTACCATCATGAACGATCTGTTCTCCGGAGTTATATACGCTGGTTAATATGGAATTAACATTTTTGGCCTAATTTAAGTCTATTTTCAGCGAAACTTTTGCGATGTTTTGAATAGTTTGTGTTGGGCGATATAAATTTTTTGGTTTTACATTTTTCGCCTATAATAAAAATATTTATGAAAATACAGTTCGACATCGCACTTTTAGCAAAAATTAAATGATAAGTCGTAATTTTAAATATAACTCTTAATTAAGACACTTTTCTTATATTATGTGCTAAATTTAATGTATTAGTTTCAATGATTTAAAATATGCTTAGCGAGTTCTTTTTTTGTGGGAGACATAACAATATTTTCTTTAGTATTAGTGATATAAAGTTTTTGGTAATCCCTTGTAGGTATCGACACTGACAAAAATAAGTACCCCATCGGGTCGGGGCGAGTGACCTTTAACAACGTACGGTCATACGTGAGGGCCATCTCCGCCGCCTACGTCGAGATATGTACCGACAAGTTTACTAAGAAGGTACGTACAGCTGTCAGCTGACGGGTGACAGGTGACAGGTGACAGGTGTTGAGTGTTTAAACCTACCCTAATCGTATTATTTCAGGTGCAGGTGGACCCTTACCTCGAGGACTCGATGTGTTCCGTATGCAACATACAGCAGGGACCGTACTTCTGTCGCGAGCCAGTTTGCTTTAGGTGAGAATAATCTATACCAAGAACACTATTTTTATTTATAAAAGAAAGTTGTGTTAGTAACATTAGAACTCAAGAACGGCTGTAGGGATATGGTTGAAAATTGGTAGAGAGATAGCTTAGAACAAGGAGACGGACATAGGATAAATAATTATGTTCGATCGAAAAGAACTTAATAAATTCCAATATCTGTATATTTATTCTCTATTGCGGGATATAGTTCGCCCGGCCAAACATTTATTAGTAATTCCGAAATTATGAAGTCTTGGGGAAACACTAGATATATATGTGATTGTAATAAGTATCATCTGCCAGATACTTCTGCCGCTCGTGCTGGGCGGCAGCGCACGCGGCGGAGCAGCACAAGCCGCTGATGAGGAACTGTAAGAGCGCCGTGCTGCCGCCCGCCGCCGCGCAGCACACGAGCAGCGCCCGGGGCGGGGACGGAGGGTTTAACGGCTTCGGGAATGTATCTCACGATGGTAATTATAATATTTACTGATATATTAAGCATGCCTTTTATGTAATATATAAAATTTTGATGTCAATGTTAGTTACAGTAGTCCTCTGTAATGGCTTTAACGATTCTTACCAAATTTTATATATGTATTCAGTAGGTCTGTGAATCTTCTATAAAATTTTCATCTCTGTGATTAGGGTTGTTCACCCTTAATATTTTTTTAATTTTGGACAATTTTTTTGTGACTTTAGAAAAATACATACAACCCCTAAATTTTTATATGGCACAATGTTTGCCGGATCAACTAGTATAATTATATGTATGTATATATATATTTTAATTCTGTCTCCCCAGCGGCCCCTTCTCCCGCCACCAGCGGCAGCGGCTCAGCTTGCGCGGAGGACGCGCCTCACGACTGGCTGTCTCGCTAGTACATCACTGACTCAGCACCGGCTTCTGACAACCCTGACGTCTGTCACTGTCACCGTGACAGCTGGACGCCATTTTGTTTCTCACCTTACATTACCGTTGTCGAGCCGCTATTAAGTTGGGCGCTTCGTCAGCCATCTTGACTTAATATTTTTTTTTGTTGATTTTTTTATTAAGTTTTATTCTGATTGTATACTTTTAATTGTATCCAGATTATGCTTGTTTAAATCGCTTCAGTTGTATCGGCGATTGTTGATTGTTATTTTATTTTGTTATTTAATGAGACTTTGTATTAGATTTTAGTGAACTTGTGCCTAAATAGAAGATTTTAAAAAATCAAAGGTGCCTAAGATGTTGAAGTTTTAACATTTTAAAAATAAAAAAGGCTTTTAATTGTAATCTTGTGATTTTATAGGATTTTAGTGTCATACTATATATAGTATGGAGTATGAAATGCTGATTTTTAACTAGCTTAATTGATTTTAGAACGTATAGCGAATAAAAACTGAAATTTAATAAATTATATAAAATAAATTACTGTCTTTATCTTCATTTCCTTTACGAGAATTTAATTCAAGACTTCAAAATGTTCACTTCGTGAGAAAGTTTTGCTTTATGAGAAGATACAATCTTACAAACTAGAGGCATAAGCAAATCTAAGTTTTTGCAAAAAATTATGGTACCACTTAAGAAAAAAAAACATTGTGTTCATTTTGAAGTCCACGCTGGATGGATCTACTAATTTTTAAATGTTCTTATTTCTACTTGTGTCTCAATAAAATTTATTAACATCATTAAAGGAAAAAGTATACCTATACTTTGATATAAACCACAGCTATACTGCGATATCCGTTAAGAATTCTCATAAGTTGAAGTGTGAACTTGGTCATTAGTCTGATTTGTCCTCACTTTTAATTATTGCTATTACAAGATACTTGTGTTTTATAGTTTTAGATTAACTTTCAACTAACTGCCTCTTACAATCTTCAAATTATATCAATCATCTCTACCGACTGCTATTCTAATCTGTAGTAGCTACTAGCTGGCTTCTACTGCCTACATATTTGCCTCTATTACTACGTCGACATCTATTGATACATTAATTTATTGGGTCTTAGGAACATCTTGTAGTGAAATGTACAATTTAGCGCCATCTGTTGCTTGTTCTTTACATTACAAACTTATGTTACTTGCTTAATAAAGACTAGCGACATCTATTGATCGTGCGCTACATTACGTATAATTACCATTTCTGTTTTCATGACATTAGCGCCATCTATTGGTTGAGAATTGCATCAACGGCATCTACTGACATATTGAAAATAAAACAAACGAATCATCAATAACACTGGTCAACACTGGTTTTGCCCACATGAACTTTAATACCAAATTTTGTATTATCAATCTATCCTCATTCTTAAATCATAGTTTTCATAAGTCAATTAGCCTTATATTTGTTGTGATACGGTAATTTTCATAACTCGGGCTGCGGCTGTTAATTAACAGATACGTTTACAAGTAAATCGTTATAAAAATATTTGTCGTTAAATTTAAACATTTTTCTATGAATCATTAAACCTGTGAACATGTCGAGGAAACGTAATAATGATTATTACTCTTTTTGTTACGTCTGCGGGGAATAAACATTTAAAAAACAATGACGAATTTTGACGAATCTTGTGTTGGAGTGTTATCAACAATATTTTGGTTTTTTGTCGCCCATCAAGACAAATCCTGGGCTCCTCATGTCTGCTGCATAACGTGTGTGAAAAATTTTACTGACTGGAAGAGAGGTGTACGCCGTATGCCATTTACTGTACCCATGATATGGACTGAACGGCGTGATCACGTTTCAGATAGTTATTTTTGTCTCTCTGATAAATAGAAATAAATTACAAAAAGGAAAACACAGTTATTTACCCCAACTTATCTTCGGCTATAAGATCAGTCTCTTATTTAAAAAAAAAATGACAAAACAAATATCAGTTATAAATTCATCTGTTGAGAGCAACCATTCACAAACGTCAACTTAAGCCCAATGTGTTGAAGAGGATGATGACTTTGAGTTTGTAGAAATTGTAAACAAGCCACATTAGATAACTCAATAGGCCTAAATGATTTGGTTCAGCATTTAAATTTATCAAAAAGTAGTCAGAACTACTAGGATCCCGTCTAAAACAATGGAATTTGCTACATCATAATACGAGAGTATTGGTTAAGTAGTGAGGGTTGGGTAACGAGCTACTATTGTCATATCAAGGCTTGGGTTGCAACATTTCTCTTAAATTAAATTTTTTAGACTCACCTGGATGTTTTCCAAACAATTGTCTGTGACGAGCTGTCAGTGACGAGCACTGTGAGAGACTCCATTCGGAAATTTCTAATATAGAAATTCTATATTAGAAATGTTAGCAGCTTATTGATGGACAATTAAGAGATCAACCGGCAACCAGAAGCTAAATACTAAAGAAAATCTCAGATTACATTCACTCGTTTAGAAAAAAAAACTTTATTTAGTACATCCTTGTTTTTCCTAATTTTTTAATAACTTAATAGAAAAAATTCTTGGCCAGCAACTCTTTTTTGACTGTTTATTTGGTCTTATAACTACCAATTTAATTAAAAAATAACAGAAAGTCTGTGTGGCATTAAAAAGTCCAAATTTTGTTGACTAGTGTTATTATTATTACAAAATAAACTTGAATTTTTCATAAATAATTTTAACTGACTACTTCTCATATGCTTTATATCTTCAAGTTGTCTATTATCTCTACCAGCTGCTATTCTAACCTGTAGTAGGTACTAATGGCTCTACTGCCTACATATTTGCCTCTATAACTGTAGCGACAGGTACATTAATTTTTGTGTTTAGTAACATCTAGTAGTGAAATGTACAATTTAGCGCCATCTATTGCTTTTTCTTTACATTACATAGGTATGGTATTTGCTTAATAAAGACTAGCGACATCTATTGATCGTGCGCTACATTACGTACAATTGCCATTTCTGTTGTCACGATATTAGCGACATCTATCGGTTGAGAATTACATTAATAACATCTATTGACATATTATTGAAAATAAAACAAGTCATCAATAATAATCTTTTATTTACATAAAGATTATAAACACATCTGTTAACAAAAAAATGTTCGACATTTAATCAATTTAATCTGTGTATATTTTAACACGACTTAGTATCGTGTATTCGATTTAAATCTGATTTCTTATAAACTTTTTCATATGTATGAACGAAGCACGTGAAACAGTTGTGTTTTAAGGCTAGTGGCGTGTGTTGGTTCAATCGAAGCTCATGCTCATGTCGGAGGTATTGGTGGCGTCGGTCCGGCCGGCGGGCGCCGCGGGCGAGGGGGCGAAGTCTCCGGCCGCGGCGGGGGGCGCGGGGGGAGACGTGAGACTCACCGCGGGGAAAGCGAACTGAGGGATCTCCTCCTCTGTGAATGATATACAAACATATTGTAATATGTATGACCAAAGTAGGAATTATTATTGATAAAAATACATAGATTTTTATATACTCCCAGATCACAATTTATATTGAGTGAAAATTAGTAAGATGGTTAATTTAAATTGGGAATTTTTTGGTATTTATTTCACAAAAGGAGATTCGATTCTCGTCGCAAGCAGTGACAGTGTTAGTTGGGGAGGTTTTTTTACATATTCGACTTTAAAGCGTCCATATTTCTTGTAATGTTTTTTTTTAAATTAAATAAGCAGAGGAATGCACTTCATAGCGGCAAATAAATGCTGTGTACCCTACATACATATTATGAATAATGTAGCCAAACCTACATTGGTATATATTTATCTAAATACTTTAAGTTATAAAATTAATAAGAGTGTATCTAAGAGATATATACTTTCATTCTTTAACTGACTTGTAATTATCATCTATCAAAATTGAACAGAAATATTTTATATGGGCTCACTAGTACTAGCGTCGCCTTTTAGACAAAGTGATCACAACTAGTACTATTCGCTGTTTATTTTCCATACAAATTACAAATACTTCTTGTTTATTTGTCTGTGTGTGTAATAGTTAGTGTATAAGGCGCCTCTTCTCGCAACACAATTTGTTTAAGAAATCATCTAATTGTTTATGAAGGGACTATTTATTTTCGCCGGTTTAATGTATAAAAATGGTTCACACCATTTCATATAATTTAATTATACAGGGTGACTGGTGAATTACTATCAATATTTAAGGAGCATACTCGGTACATGATTCTCATTCGAATTATGTAAAAAAAATAGGTACTTAATTTTTGACAAAATTTCCGTATAAATAAGTAAAGTGTTGACACGTTCCAAGTGTTCAAGTGTGGACGCGTGCGGCGACGTGTTGATACAACACCACGTCACGACATGCGTATGTGTGAGTGTCAGTGTATACCTAATCTGTAGGGTGTTCACACGATGCGTAATTAATTACATAACTTTTGGTTAACTTTACTAAGAAGTTTATTAATATTTATGTTATATTAATTTTTATTTTGTCATATATGATCGTCAAATATCACGTCCTCAAATATCGATAGTAATTCACCAGTCACCCTGTATAATTACTTATTTTATTAACAGATTATGATACTTATAGTCCGTTAGACTTAAGCTGAGCTTTGCATTTGTGTGAGTGAAAGTAAAAGTAGAGTTAGACAAAAAACTTTTAGAATTCAATTCCATTATATTTTAAATAGATATCTATTCTAGATTCTAGATTCTAGCTTGAGCTATTCTAGATTAAAAGTAAAATAAGCAAAAATTGTAAAAGGCCAGATAGAAATATTATGGAAAAAAAAGATTAAGTAATAAACATTTTGAAAAAACAATACAAATTTTTCTTCACTTGACATTGCGTTTTCAACATTTGTCGTTGCTACCAGTGAAGTGGTGAAGTGCTGATGGTGCGGGGCGGAGTAGAAGCAGAAAAAACCGGTTCAAATCGAGAAAAGAACGTGGCATTCAAAAATTTGACATCACACCTACACTATCCGTGTGCATTCACACAAATGCAAAGCTCAGCTTAAATCAAACGCACTATACAGTTGTGTTTACTGTACTATTGTTTCATATGTAAACTTATGATTCAAGTATGTCACTAACCCGTCAATTGCGCGTCTAGTCTATCGATAATGGCATCCAGAAGCGCTATAGCGACCACGTGGTCAGGGTCCCGCGCCAACGCCGCGTGTAGAGTATCTGCGGCCTCGGGCTCCCGGCCTAGGAGCGCGAGACAGAGCCCCTTAGCGGCGAGGCTGGAGGCCCGAGCGGGGCGAAGCGCTAGGGCTCGCTCGTGCCACTGAAGAGCCTCCGACGGATTGCCCAATACGCGGTTCACGTGACCCAGCGCGTCCAGAGTGGTTGCCCAACATGGATTTAACTGAAAAGTTTTGAGAACACGTATATTTTTTGTTGATTATTATATTTTGTTATTACAAATATAATTTTAATTACTTTTGAGTGTGCGGGAAATTTGATTTTCAATATGCATGTTATGAAATAAAAAATAATATAAAGATAAAACACTATATCAGAACTGTTTAAATTTTCATTTTTTCAACTGTTTCTACTTAAATTATGCAGTAGAAGACCTTTAGTATCAATTGTCTTACTTTAAAAATAAACCGTTAAAATAATGTTAAGTGTGTCATTAACATTTATCCTTTATATTTTCCTTTAATTCTTTCCTCTTTCTGTATACATATAATATAAGGGAATAAGTCTTTTTCTATATAATGTGAGTGAATTGCAGATTCCTTACAAGATAGACTGCATATAGTTCTAAATATGTATGTTTAAGCAAATTATTTCACTCAAATTAAAAATTTCAACTGTACAAACACGATAACCAAGTAGATACTTCTAATTAGTGATCAATGAATAAAAATCAAGGAATTTTCCTAATTCACACCAAAATATTCGAAAACATTGCCACATATATACGCCCAAACAAATATACATGTCTCAGAGTATATATATATATACAGGGTGACTGGTGAATTACTATCAATATTTAAGGTGGATACTCGGTACATGATTCTCATTCGAATTATGTAAAAAAAATAGGTACTTAATTTTTGACAAAATTTCCGTATAAATAAATAGTGTTGACACGTTCCAAGTGTTCCAAGTGTGGACGCGTGCGGCGGCGTGCTGATACAACACATCGCTGCCGCACTCGTATGTGTGAGTGTGGGTGTATACCTAATCTGTAGGGTGTTTACACGATGCGTAATTAATTACATAACTTTTGGTTAACTTTACTTAGAAGTTTATTAATATTTATGTTATATTAATTTTTATTTTCTCATATATGATCGTCACAAATCACGTCCTCAAATATCGATAGTAATTCACCAGTCACCCTGTATATACTAGAAGAGCCGGCAAACTTCGTATCGCTCTATAATCAAGAAATATCTGTTATAACGTTTTTTTTTTTTTTATATTTTGGAGTTTACCCATTATAGCCATAAATCTCCGTGTTCTGAAGTGCGACAGAATGACTGACATATTAGTTAGTTGTCAAATCTAATGTCATTAAAAAACGTTTGTATCGACGACTACTAATAAATTAAAAATTAAGTAAAAAAACATTGTCCAGCGGACAAAATTGTGAATCTAAACCATTCCAAGATCCCCTTGAACACACACAAAAAATTTCTTCAAAATCGGTCCGGTCGTTCGAGAGAAGTTCAGTGACATACACACTCACAGAAGAATCTTCTATATATATAAAAATGGATTGCTGTTCCTTAGTCTCGCTAAAACTCGAGAACAGCTAAACGGATTTATATTATCTTAGTCTTGAAATGTTCGTGGAGGTTCAGGGAAGGTATAAAAGCTGAAAAAAATTGATTTATTACTGGGAAAACCATAAAAACAGCCCTTTTCTATTTCCCATACAAACGTTTTTTTTGACATTAGATTTGACAACTAACTAATATGTCAATCATTCTGTTTGATTGAAACAGGAAAAATTTAATAATTACCAATATATGGTTATTTAAGACGGAATAGAATTCGCCCGGTCAGCTATAAATATATTACTAATAACGAAATTAACGCGGACGAAGTCGTGGGAAAAAACTAGTTATATATATAAAGATATATATATGTTGGACCTGGTCGGGAGGCCCGGCGTAGTGCAGGGCCCGTGTGAAGAGCACCCTTGCGTGCTCCGGGTGTCCCGCGGCCAGGGCTGCGGCGGCCGCCTCGTGCGCCACGTGCGGGGACCTCACCACACGACACACTCGCTCCCAGCCGCCACGCTGATCGATGTCCGTCTCTATACACGCGCTGTCCGTCTGAAACACCTTTATATTAATAAATACTCCCTCTTTTTCTTTCTATCACTGTCTCTCTCTCTCATATGGAGAGATTATAAGCAGACGTAGTGTTATTATATGAAATTCATAACTTGTTTGGTTATCATGAGAATACAAGTAGTGCTCTATAAGCCAGCTATTGATAGTTAGAGTAATTTATACAATGAGATTTATATTAATAGTTGAAATTTATTGACTGTTTTTGGACAAAAAAAAGGTAAAATTATATATTGACAAGTGGCTACGTCAGGGCTACAATACTTGCAGTGTAATCAGCCATTATCATAAGAATTTCTAAATTGACCAGACCAAACTTATTTGAAGCTATTTTTCTACACGAGAACATAACATAAAACCAGTGGAAAGTGACCAAAAAAATTCTTTAATAATTGATATTTTTATAATTAAAATATATTACCTCAGCATTACTATGTAATGAGGCAGCCCTCGACATGAATCTTTCGCACATACTGACGTTGTTTAATAACGAACACTCCACACCCACGTAGAGTGACGGCAGGTAACACCCGGGCATTAACTGACTCGCCTGCAAGACATATATAATAAAACACTAAGATTTTAAAGAATTTATATTTAAATAAAACATTTTTTTCAGTATTACTTCGCATATATTATTGTTATGGTAACACACCATAAATATATGTGACTAGCGCCATCTATAGTAACTAATGTGTACTTAACTTTGTTCCTCTTCTCTAATAAATATTGTCTATCGTAGCGTCACTTGTATTATTATCAATAGCGCCATCTATTAGAAAACTAACTAACTAGTTCATGTCCATAATATGTAAGTCTTTAAGGTTTAAAGAAGTTTATTTTCAAAAAAGAACAAAGTTCGCTTACAAAAGAAATTTTAAAATTATAACTACAATTAAGATATTACAAATAATAAACTTAATATTAAACAAGATCGGTGAAATCATCTTATATATGGGTTCTTAATCGTTTTTTAAATATATTTAGAGATTTTGAATTTACAACACTTAGAGGCAAAGAGTTAGCTGTGCTCCTTCAAATGAAATAGTTTTAATGCGTACTTGGTTCGAGTTTTAGTTGTTTCTAGTTTATATCTGTTTAAATAAATGACCTGAAATAAAAGTTATTATAAATACCTTAAAGTAAGCAGCCATGGCTTGGTCATGTTCATTGTCAGCGGCGAAGCTGTGTCCGTATGCGAGCCACACGCAGCCCGCGCCCGCCTCTAGCGAACACGCCTTACTGAGGTAACGACGCGCGAACTCACTCTTACCTACATATAATAATAATATATGTATAACAAGCTCTATACACACACACACACACACACACACACACATATGGAAACATGTGCATAGTAGGTTACTTATATAGAACCTATTTGTGCACACCTTAGAAAATAAATAAATTAAAAGAATTAACTTTATCGACTCTCAATATGTTGCTAGTTGAATTACTGTTTCATATTCATGTGACTCGGAAAAACACATTGATACTTGCCCGGGCCAGGATCGAACCCGCGTCCTCGGCAACTAGAGGCGGGCCCTTTAACCACTAGGCCACCACTTACATGCTCACCTATTAGATAATAGTAGCATCCCACTGCATACCAGGCCGTCCAAGCTTGTGGGTAGGAGTCAACCAGAGCGTGTGCGAACGCGAACAACTCCGAGCTCCTCTTGAGCTCCACGAGGCAGGCTGCGCGGACCTCGGCGCAGCTCCAAGGCCCGGCCTCGTCTAACGCTTTTAGGGCTTCGCCCCAGCGCCCGCCCGCCGCGAGCCTCCGCCCCCGGGATTCCGCCGCCTCCGCGCTGCGAGACCTCGCTAGCTCCACTGCTGTTTTGATTTGCTGGAAATATATTAACATGTGTTATTTAAATTATAATGTTTGTTTGTATGACAGAAATTATATGGAAGACTTAATATATTTGTGATTGAAATTAAACATGTAATACCTAAGTGATGATGTAATTAATGAGATGTAAGGCTTTCGAGAGTATTCATTTAAATGAAATTTATATTAGGGGCCGTTCAAGTATTACGTAAGCAGATTTATTACAATTATTTACCCCCCATCCCCCTTGTCAGCAAAAATAAGCAAAGCTCTTACCACCTCCCTCCATGCTAACGTAAACATTTTCAATCTATACTAATATAACAACATAATAATATTAATCTTTATTCAAATAAACAAATAAATATGTTGTTGGTTAGGAGTACTTCATTGTGATTTAAAAAAAACATAGGTTTTATCCTGAAAATTCTACAGGAAGTCGACCATTCCGAAAACCCCGCAAGAACGGGAACTATGTGGGAAGAACCAAAAATCTGCCGGAAGTCACTACTCCACGCGGACGAAGTCGCGGCAAAAGCTAGTTACTATATAATTTTTTAATATAAGTCCAGAAAAAATTATAATTTAATTTTTTTTATGGATCTACTCGATGTGATAATAAAAAATTAATAACTACCGATGACGTAATCGATGCCTAGACTCCCCTACCCCCATGTCATCCAAAATAAGCAAAGCTAAGACCCCCGCCCCTCCATAGTGCTTACGTAATACTTGAACGGCCCCATATTCGGATTACTACGCGTATATTATTTTAAAGACTACACAACACTGACGTTTCGATTGCTGCAAAGTAAGCAATGCGTCGGGAGTATGATGTTAAAAACAATTATAAACGCGTGGTAAATCCGAAAAATATCAGTTTCCTTTATAAAAAATTAACACTTGATAGGATATTAGTTATTTTATGTGTGTGTGTGTGTATTCAAGTACATCATACATTATTATAAGCGTCAGGCGAGGCCGTCTGTAGCGGTGTGTATCTCAGTAACCTCTCCCTGTAAGCCACTCTAACCAGCGTTGCCTCTGAAGCACTCATCTGATTGTTAACAGGCAGAGACTCTATTAACTCTATCTCTGAAATATAATATATTACATTTTATTATTGTTATAATAGCTTATTAAAATCATAGTATATTAAAAAGAATTATGTAATATAAAGTGAATTATTTCTTATTATTTATATTAAATAAAATGTATAGAATCTCTTAAATAATAATGCTTTTGGAATTCTCTAATAGATCATCCACCTGCCAGTTAAAGTCCCATTAAAATCGGTCCAGCGGTTTCAATGATTAGCTTAAGCAGACAGATATACAGATAGAAATAAAAATATATAGTTTCAGTTTATATACAAGATATATATGTATTTTGGTAACAAAAGATTACACTAAATTACTTCTATATGTATAGATAGATATGAATATGTTACCCTGTCCGGGTGTTAATGCGTGTTGGTCCAGCAGAAGGTCTAGGGCTTCGTAGCAGGCCGCGTCAGCCCTAAGGGCAGCTGTTAGGGCTTCCGCCGCAGCCTCCCGGCGCTCCAACAAACACAGAGCACGAGCCTGCCATACTAGGACACCGGCTAAAGCTCGCTGGGAACATTAGTACATATAAATATTATAATATACTATCATCATCATCAGCCTATCAATGCTGAGCAAAGGCCTCTTCTCACATGGAGAAGGTTTGAGCATTAATGACCACACTTGCTAAAGGCAGATTTACAATCCAAATTTATAATTTAAAATGCTCTATACATATAAAAAGATATAATTCTAATACATAGTGTTGTTGTATGTAGTGTTCATAAAAAATGAATTTTTGTGTTAAGGATAAAAAGATAACATTAAATAAGTCAGTGTTTTTGTAAAACATTTTTATATGTATATATTATTTAATATCTTAAATATTTGAATATTAAACATAAGTTTAACATATCTTTATACAAACAATCTAATTAATAATTATTATTTGTTATTAGTAATGTGTTTGTCTTTCAATCCCAAAAGAGGATTGATGTCAGGCCGGCGGGCAGTCGTAAAAACAATTAGCCAAAGCTATTCACAACATGTAAAAGGCAGACCCTGGCTAAAGATGGGAAATTGCCAGGAAGAAGAAGTCATGTGTTTGTCTTTTAATTTATCATCATCATCATTATGCATAATAGTATATGTACAAAATATCTTTACTTTAGTGTTACAATTCACTAAGTATTTTTTTATAAAATCCCTTTTTTGAATGCAAGTTCTGTTTTAAGTTAGATTTTAAATCTGATATATTTAATTAGTAATAGTTAGACAATAGAAGAATGATTTGAGTATTTATGTGGTTGCTTATTAACAAAATACAGGAGAATTGAGAACCTCTTCATTTTGAAGTTGGTTAGAAAGTTACTATCTGCCATATTAGTTAATAAATAAAAGTTTTGTTTCATACATTATGTGTCTGGTCCATACTCCTCGGTTCTAATAGGTTTGGATCACATTCTTCAAGTATACTGAGAGTTGTTTGTGGTTCCTTAACAGATATGTATGCTCGCATCGCTACACCGAGACAGAGGAGATGTCTCCTGAAATATGGTAATTTAATACATACAATTAAAAATATACATACAAAAATATTATTAATAAAAAGATAATTAATTTAAATTTTATCATATGATAGTACTAGCTTTCCGCCCGCGGTTTTGCCGGCGTTGAGTTTGGGTATATCGCGTTTCCAAGAGAACTTTTCAAATCTGGGATAAAACTATCCTGTTCTTTCTCAAGGTCAACTCCATCTCTGTACCAAATTTCATTAAAATCAGTTCAGTGGTTTAGGTGTGAAGGTGTAACAGACACAGTGTCACATTTATAATATTAAGTAGGGATTTTTCCTCAATATTTTTTTCATCTGGTATATACTTCTTAGCAATTACAGTTATTTCTTGTTCTATTAAATAGTGCTATTACAGTTAAGAATAAAATAATTTGAAACACATGTTTTATACTTTAATAATAATTTAATAATTCAAGCCAATAAGAGCTATATTGGTTAAACTAAACTAATATCCACATGTATTAACAACCATGAACTTACTGTGAAATATATAACTAGAGATATTTGTTCAACAATCTATATACATATATAAAAGAAAGTCGTGTTAGTTATTCCACTTATAACTCAAGAACAGCTGACCCGATTTAGCTGAAAATTGGCAGGGAGGTAGTTTAGAGCCAGGAAAATGCAATAGGATACTTTTTAACCCGTTCGACAGCAGTCCCGTGGGACTTGATATGAAACGTCAGTCACTTTAAAACATGGAATAAAGAAACACAATTGACAGCTATGCAATTGACGTATAATGGCAGATATGTAATTTAGTATTTGCGGGATAAATTTAGAAAATCATTGTTTTTCACATGGGTAGTTATAGTTTGTGCGTTCACAAGTTGGGAAACCATCCGCTTTATTTGTGTAAATGTTAGACCAAAAAACAAAAAATGTGGTTTACAAAGGAGCACTTCAATGAAACGAATAATTTGCGGACACATACAACGCTTCGATTCGGTATCTACTTTGGATTCACTTTAATTTACTTAGAGAAGTTCAACTAGATAACACTTCATTTTTGTAATCGAAATGAATTCATTACTGTTGTGAAATGAAATAAAAATTTTCCTTTTCAAATATAAAACAAAAGAAAAATTTCTTCATCTTTTAATCACCAAACGAAATGTTACATAAAACAAAGCCTTCTGGAGGCGAAACGGAGTTCGCCAGGTTTACTAGTTATAGAATAAAAATTTCCTCTTAATAGGTAATTATTACAACATCTAAAGAGTTTTTACTGTTATTTATATACCTGTGTAAGTTTCTAGAAGTGATTGCATGTGCTGCTCTGTGTAGTTCTCCTCTGGCGAGCATTGCACTGGCTAATAGCCAGACATCGTCACCACTAGCTACGGCAGCCCCACTCGAAGCAGCCGCTGCGTCCGCCCAGAAGAACGCACTCGTCCATTGACCCTTGAAAATTAAATGTAATAATAATTATGACAATATAAGAAGTTATTAAGTCTATTATTAAAGAATTTATTGTCTTATTTGAGAGAATATATATTTATGTATCTCTTAAACTCTTTCGTAAATACGGATCTATACTAGATAATAAAATAAGAGACTAAAAACCATTGATATTGATGTAACCTTTGTACAGGAAATAGCTATTAATACTTGGGTATTGTTTCTTGATTATTGATTGAAATATGTCTGAATGATTGGCAAAAACTATACAGTAATATCATAACAATGTTTACTTACTAATTCGGTGTATTGCTTAACTAAAGATCGCATAAAATCTACGTTAAGGCAATCCAAGTTATTTCTTACAGCCGATTCCGCTTTTGCCATCTTTACCAAATTTTATAAACACTACTTATATTGTTAAATTTTGTTTCATTATATTATATAGTTTAATGTAATTGTTTGTTCACTAAATCTATTCCCATTTAAATATTAAGTCGACCTTAACATTCGGGGCCAGCGGCCGTTTTCTGTTTATTTATTCGAATGTCAATGTGACTTTATAAGAATATGTTCAATAAATTGGTAATTTTTTAATCGTTTTCCATGCGAATTTATAAAAAAATAAGAAAATAAAATTTTTTATACATATTTATTTCCCATTGTTAAATTTTATATTTATGAAAAATTTATTTTTATGTAATATCTTTGCATAATAAAAGAAATAAACTCGGCCTATTTATCAATCCCATGCTGTCACTTGACAGTTTGAATTTTGATGACGGAAAGAAAAAGGTTATACACAGAAAAAGAGGGAATAGGCTGATTATGATTAAATTTTTGTAAATATAAATCGAATATAATTAAGGTGTTCGTAATATAGTAATTCTTAAGAATTAATATAAGAAAAACTTGCACTTTGTGTTTAGTCTGATAGAGAAAAAGCAACGTGTCCTAGGTTAGGCCGTTGGAGAATCATGTTAGTATTGGCGTAACATGACTGAAAGAAAAATGTGCAAGTTCTATAACTTGAATGTGCCTGAACGCCGATCCGGGGAACCTGGTAATCAGAACCATATAAACAATGACGAGGACGATCGGAACCCCGACGACCCTCTGCAACCGTACGTGCCTCCACACGAACACAAGCTGGAATACAGTTATTGGATGTGGTTTTCAAGAAGACCCCCCGCCAGAGAACTCTCCTCGACCACCACTGGCTATGGGCAGGTGGGCTATATTTAAAATTACCCGATTAATTAAAAATATATCCCATAAACATAAACCACTTGTAAACATACTGTCAGTGGTTTGTCACGTATTTTCGTGTAATGTATCGTATTTGACTTTATTACCAATCAGAAACTAATAATATTTTAAAATATTTATATTAATTGCACCATATATCTTATTACAAATGTAATGTTTCAGGCGCTTCGCTTGGTGGGTCGCGTGGCTTCAGTGGAACAGTGGTGGGGCCTCTACACGCACCTAGCGCGTCCGGCGGAGCTCCCCCCACTGTCAGACTTGCATCTATTCAAACTAGGCATTAAGCCCATGTGGGAAGATCCCGCCAATGTTCATGGTGGAAAATGGGTGGGTGAAACTTACTAGACACTAAAATTACATATTACTTAATAAAATGCATATGTTTGTATAAGAATCTTGTTCAGAACTCCTGCATTTTGTCCCGAAATGATAGACATATCTATTACATTACACATTTATTTGTTATATAAATATATAGTTAAGATATTCAGTCAAAATCGGTATTAGGTAATTACTAAATCTACATTACAATGGTTACAATGCAATAAGAGTGCTTACTCTTTGTTTTTTTAAAAATATATTTTATTTTATTATACATAGAAGCTTCAGATTGTTATTAATTAAGTGTTCAATTCAGTTTTATTCACTGGAAGAACACTTATCAGTCTTCCCAGGAGATGTCTGGTTATATTAGAACATTGATTAAAGAATGTATCACGAAACAATTATATACATAGAGATAAACACTAACATATGTTTAAGTGAACTATTGTTCTTGACACTCCTAAATAGTTCCTAAGAAGTATGCATTTTTTAATATAACAAAGCAATAATGTGCTCTAAGACTTGCCAGCATTCATTTAATTGAAACTGTTTCTGTAACGAAATTGAAGTGTGTGCAGTTTGTAGTTCAAGAAATAATATAAAGTTATTGATAAATATTACTTTATAACAAAGCAATGTATATAATTGATATTCTAGGTGGTTCGACTACGCAAAGCCCAAACGGGTCGAGCGTGGGAGGATTTGTGTATGGCCATGCTCGGGGAGCAGTTCATGGTTGGAGCTGAGCTTTGTGGAGTTGTACTGTCGGTTCGCTTTCAGGTATGTTTTGAATCATTGCAAGCATATATTTACTATAGATATTATGATAAATACAATTGCTATCAAAAAATGCTGGTTTTATGTGTAATGTGGAATATGCTTTATACTTATATTATTTGGGGTTTAAGAATTAAAGTATGTTTTTCTAGTATTGCTAGTGACATGATTCCAAATAATCGTAATATTGAAAGTAGAGTAAATGTTGACACATCTTATTTGACATTAAATCCTTGCTGGCATGGTATATAAATAAGTTTCAGATAGATTGTGATCCCACTATTATATATATAGATTAACAAATAGTTTACTGACCTACATACCATGTAGCACTGGTCATGGCTTACAAAACACACACACATATATGTATATATACATGTATAATTTATTCCGTTCCATCATTCCAGGAGGACCACCTAGCCGTGTGGCACCGGACGGCTGCGGACACGGCGGCGGCGGCGCGTGTGCGGGACGCGCTCCGTCGCATCCTCCAGCTACCCGCCTCGGTGCCTATAGAGTACAAGGCGCACGGGGACTGCCTGCGCGCCGCGGGGCCCGCGCCCCCGGCCTCCGCCCCGGCGCCCCCCGACGACCGCTCCTAGCGCCGCGCCAACACCGGACTGTGCTATATTTTTGACGAATTTTCACTTAGTACAAATAGTAAAGCGTCCGACTACGCGAGAGATCCTTTGATCCGCTCTCGCTCGATACAATTCCCCTACATCCGATGCAGATGATCACCTCCTAACGTTTTTATATGTATAACACTGTAGCGTATGGATTTTTTTAATCTGGTGTCCAATAAACACTGTACGGTAACACTCGTCTGTTGTATGTGATTGCGCAATTTAAAAATGATAGCCAATTCTATATACTTTCTATGGAGAGCTAAGTCATTATTTATTTTGTTATAGTATTAAAGACAATAAAGCAATAAAGTACCTTCCATTGATGTACAGCGCATTTTAGATATGATTAATAAAATATGCACAAGTGTTTGTTTGTATGGAATCAGTTTTATTACCGAGCGCGTCCCGGCCTGTGTTCTATGTTACCGGGACACAGTCCGCGACGTCTTGAACAGTGCAAGTAACGTATAACTGAATAAATTATCAGACTTTTCATAATATGATTTTTTTTTTCTTAATCTATACACATATTCTTGCTATAAGATTTGTTTTGAAATGTTAAATAATGTATTGGATAGTAATTACAGTCGTCTAGTAGAAAGTAATCCTTCTTATACCAATTTTCTAAAAGAAATTCGTTCCTGTTTAGTAACATGTGTTTTTAGAATAGATTCTACATTTATCATAATATTGAAAGCTCTCAGGTAGTGTTAAGGAAATGTTCTGTGTCAATATGACACAATATATCAGAAGTAGCTGGGAAAAAACATTTGAAACATAGTGTTAGGTTTTGGGTTACATATGGATATACATACTTGTATTTAACTCAGTCACTACTTACCTATGGCTTGTTTTCAAGACAATATTCATCCTCACAATCCCCTTGGTGTAATAAAACTAAAAACAAATTTAAAATTTCTTAGGTCTGGTCCTGTTTTAAATGTTGGAAAACAATTTTTAAACGTGATATTAAGTAAAATTTACCTCATCTATATTATTATTAATATGGAGATTGAAGTCATTTCCATTTAGTTATTTCTTTTTAAAAATTTAGAATTAGTTTAATATGAGAAATTATCACCCTTCTGAGAGTTACAACATGGAGATCAAAAATTCTTTAGATTCTAGCATTATAAATTAATAAGGCCAGGAAAATCTAGTTATAAACTAAGGATATTGTGCTTATTTTATAAAATAATAATGGAAATATCTCGATATATAAAAATCATCACATTTTTCAATTATTACACAGAATATAAAATAGAGAAAAGGAGTTGAAAAATAAAAAATAATTATTCTAAATATGTCTAGAAAATATATTTTAGTACATCAAGTTCCAACAGACATTTATATTTGTTAATGTATAATAAAAAATAAGAATGACAATCATAGACTACTCCAAGAATCTCGAGACATCTAAAAGATGCTAAGCTAGATCATCTAAATGGCTTGCTACTTCCTCTTAATGTAACTATTATAAAGCTGTGGACACAATGGGCATAATACAATACAAGCTATTTAATTTCAACTAAGACTTTAAGACACTCAAACACCTTTCACTAAAACCTAAGTTATTTGCTGTGTACATACACAAAAAATTTCAACATACAATTTTAACAATAACATCAACAAAATTGACATAATTAGCTTTATTGAATAATATTTAGTAAATATTCTGAAGCTCTCATAATTGCTTTAAGCTAAAACAATAATAATATACATAAATCCTACAAATTCCCTTCAATAAACAGGAAGGACGATGAAAATTAAGTCAAAAAATATTTCATTACGCAATATTACAAAATCAACAATTAGGCCATCCGCGTGTGTCCACAACTTAATGGCAATGTCGGATCCAGCGGCTCATTGCATCTGAAGCTTTTCAATAAAAAAAAAACTTATTTATATGACAAATAATTTTGTTTACATTCTAAATTTAAATCACAAACAATAGACAATCATTGTAACAGTATTTTTTTTATTATAATGACAATCAAATCGGAGGTCGGTCTGACTAGATCGAAACTGTTAAACCTCTTTGGCTTGCAACTGGATCCGCCATTGCCTAGCCCTATCTAACCTATACAAGTACTATCTATAGCTAATCTATTTACATTTGGCAACCCTTAGTCTATGCGTGGTGATATGCTGATTAGGAAAACAAACCGTATTTCCTATTGATATTTTTTTCACAATATGCATATAAAATCACATTTTATGATACTCTATATCAGATATTGATTATTAACCTAAATTTTACTTAAACTGTGACTTGGAGAAGACTTAAAAAAATACATTAAATGTGGACATTTCTTATTATAATCTTTCACACATTATATTTACAGTGGCAACCCTAACTCCGATATTGACACATTCTTTATAACAAACTTAGCCGATACACCAAAAGGCAAGAATTCAACATCAACCAGTCTCAACTAAGGATGGACAAAAATTATAATTTCATTAATTCTAAACTAGAGAAATTTATGAACAAAATTTACATAAAAATTCATATTATATAATATATGATATTAACAGAAGCTTTATACATATAATAATCTAGTAAATTATAATAGATTTTCACTCTTCACTGTTTTAGGAATATATCTATGGAGACAAAACTGTGATACAATTATGTTTTATATTTTTTCTAGCATTATATAAATCCCTTATTCTAATAATATGCTATCAAATCTGTACTTATCGATATTAAAATATTAATTATATATTCGTTTTATATACATATAAATGCAAAATAAAACTTCACAATAAAATAAATATTTCATAATAATAAAAATCATATTAAAATTGGCAATTAATTCATATAGAAACAATACTATTCTTTATTAGCTGTTATAAATCACAATTTAGGCTAATTTTAATTAAACTAAAATAATTATGAAGTTTGAAGGGCACTGTTATACATATTGATATATTTAAAAGTTTTCACACAGACCAATTAGGCCGATATAACTTGAACTCACATAATTTATTTCATGTTCAAAAGTTTTTTCCTCTTCATAGATACTTCAATCGATGATAGTCCAATATAAATTGGCGAGTGGCATACGTGGCCTTCTAGAATGTTCTTCATGTATGTAATAAACCAGTGTAATCTGGTCCCGCTCGTTATCAAAACTGTATGAGCGGCAGGTCTTCGGTGGCTGGTCAGCAGGTCAGTTCGTGTATTAACAGCGGGGTTGTATCTGGTGTTTGGGGAGCTGGTTGCGTTGGTTGCTGGGCGGCAATCCTTTCAAGCACACATGAAGCTGATAAACGAGCTTCAGCATCATGATCCCAGCATTCCTCCATAGTATCACATAGTACTGATAGACCCTGGAATACGTCATCAATTAGTCTTATAGAATCCTCTATTTGCAGTGCCAAACAATATAAACAGGGTGACTGGTGAATTACTATCGATACTTGAGGACGTGATATTTGACGATCATATATGACAAAATAAAAATTAATATAACATAAATATTAATAAACTTCTAAGTTAACCAAAAGTTATTTAATTAATTACGCATCGTGTGAACACCCTACAGATTAGATATACACTGACACTCACACATACGCGTGTCGTGACGTAGTGTTGTATCAGCACGCGTCCACACTTGAACACTTGGAACGTGTCAACACTTTACTTATTCATACGGAAATTTTGTCAAAAATTAAGTGCCTATTTTTTTTACATAATTCGAATGAGAATCATGTACCGAGTATTCTCCTTAAATATTGATAGTAATTCACCAGTCACCCTGTATATATAGCTAGTAATAATGTTTGGTGATATATGTGATTTTTTCGAATGATATGTACTTTCTAAGAATATATAGACATCACTGATTAATGCTGATTCATAAAGAGGGTTGATGTCAGGCAGGCGGCCGGTCGTAAAAAACAATTAGCCAAAACTATTCACAACATGTAAGGCAGACGCTGGCTATAGCCGGGAAATTTCCATGTAGAAGAAGATATAATATGATATTTTATATGATTTTTAACTAAAAATGTAGATATCTATGGCTACATAAATAAGTTTTCTGGTACTTACGGGATGGTCTCGCCACTGTGGTTGAATATGTGGTCGTAGTTTTCGTTGGACAACAGCCTCTTGCATTTCTTCGAGCCCGGGATGCGAACCCACTTCCTCTTCAAGTGGAAGACGATACTGTGCTGTCGGTTCAACGCCACTATCGCTACAACTGTTGACAAAATGACCTTTTTTATTATCCCTACTAATATTGTAAATGCGAAAGTAACTCTGTCTGTAAATCTGTTACGCTTTCACGCCTAAACCACTGAACTGATTTTAGTGAAATTTGGTACAGAGATAGAGTATATGATAGAAAGAACATAGAATAGTTTTTATCCCAGACTTTTGAAAGGTTCTCTTGGAAAAGCGATACAACCGAACTCCACGCGGGTGAAGCTGCGGGCGGAAAGCTAGTATTTATATACATTTATAATACATATTTATATCGTCGGGGATAATGTAATTCCCTGTAACTACCATTGTATAATTCCGCGTATCTCCATTGGAAGCAGATTATCAGAAGAAAGTTTAAGCTGAAATATGTATGTATAAATATAAATTAAACAGTAAATTGCGAAAAAAATACCTTAAAAGTCATCAACTAAGAAAATATTTCAACTCAAGCTTTCTTCTGATATTCGCTTCCAATGTAGATACTTGGAATTATACAATGCTAGTTACGCGGATTTGCACTATCCCCGACTATATGTTAAATTATATTGTTTCCAACTAACCGTGACGCGATCTCCCACAACACGAGCGCACACGCATACATATCTATCCTGAGAAAAGCGTCCTTCGTGAAATTGATCGCCCCATCAAGCACTTCAGGCGCCATATAACGTCTTGTCCCAACTTGGCCGTGAGCATCACCACAACCATGTCCAGCTACAAAGACTAAAGCTAAACCAAAGTCAGCGATGCAAGCGCTTAAATCGTTCTTTAATAGGACATTCTTGGATTTGAAATCACGATGTGCTATAGCTGGTTTTCCTCCTTCTTCCTCGTGTAAGTGAGCCAACCCTCGCGCCACACATGCCGCCACACGCCACGCTTCATTCCATGATAATGTGTGGCTTTTGAGATAGTCGCAAAGAGAACCCTGCCATCAAAAACAAAACATTATTTGCATATTTCAAACTTCTGTTTCGGTTACTTTGATGATGTAAAAAGATTACAATGTCGTTGTTTTAAAGTATCATTCGTTTTATTTACAAAAGTTGTTATACTATTAAGACAATACTATAAAGATTATATAAGGTGTACAAAGGATATGTCTTCCTTAAACCAGTGAACTAATTAATACTAGTTGCTTGAATTATGAGAAATTCTTTAATATTGAAGAGGCTATTCATCGTTTAATAACACACTGAGAAGCAATAGAAAATCAACAAATATAATTGAGATATGAATTATAATTGATTAACGATATCCCTACTAATATTATAAATGCGAAAGTAAATCTGTCTGTTACGCTTTCACGCCTAAACCAATGAACTGATTTTAATGAAATTTGGTACAGAGATAGAGTTGACCTTGAGAAAGAACATAGGATAGTTTTTATCCCAGACTTTTGAAAGGTTCTCTTGGAAACGCGATATAACCGAACTCCACGCGGGCGAAGTTGCGGGCGGAAAGCTAATTAAGAATATATTTGAAATTGATACGTTACGTTATGGGATAAATTATAAAACAAGGTGTCCTGAATCTAACACTACCCACCTTTTCATGATAAGCCGTTATAAGCCAGTATTCAGCTTGCAGATTATCCCCCTTCTTATCTACTCCGATATAATGTAATATATCTTGGTGGTCCATTCGCGGGAGTCTGTATATCTCCTGCTCCGCCAGCCAGGACTGCTTGTCTTGAAGCGGGAATACCTTCACCGCTACATCACGCTGCCCGAGTTTCGCTCTCCACACAGCCCCGAACCTCCCTCTCGCTCGCACCTCACATAACGTTATCTGTCCCAGGAGTATACCCGTCTCGTTCTCCATACCCGCTGATGCTGAGGGCGGTCTTGATAGCGACGCCTCACCATTAGCGAGCTCAGCGAACGAACTGCCTTTACGTTTCCTATACAATAGATAACACGCAACCAGCACAGCGAATAGCAAAAATAACGGCGTTAGGGTATATGCTATTACAGCTCGTGTGTCATCGTCTGCTGTTGGCAACGGAGAAGCTGGAACTCTTTCTGGCGGTAGTTCTGTTTGGGACGTCATTCCAGCTTCTAGTCCCGGGAAGGTTGCGTTTTCGTTGCACATGTCACCCTCGCAACAGCAATGGAGAAGGGGAAGCTTCTGATTGTGGATCCTGCAGCTTGAAGCCCTATCGTTGCACGCCACGGTGTCTAGGAAGCAGCCTTTGACCTTGACCGTGACCGTATTCGTTGTGTTGTCGTAGTACCATAAAACGAAGCAATGGTTGCTTTTATCTGCCTCTATGGGCTGGCATTCCTCTCGTATAACGGGTGCTGGGGGACATGTCTTGTTCTGTGAGCCACAGTTTTGTGGTAGGGAGTTGTTATAGAATTCGCAATACCTCGTTTCAACCCCACCCTCCTTGGGGCGAGGTGGTAGGTTATCATCCGATGGTGGTGCAGCATGGGTCTTCACCGTCGTCCCATGAATACCTGAAAATATGGGTACTTATAATTTTCTTTCCGTATAGTAACTCATAGTTATAAAATAAGAAAAATAATAAAAAAGATATATTTTATTTTAATAAATAACCAGCGTATAAAAATAGAGTTTCAAAATAGACTGCCACATTAACCTTTCAATAGTCCAATATTAAAATAGATATGTTCCACATTTCACAAAATCTTTATTGATTATGACACAAATAGAGAATAGAGACACTGACATAATATTTTAGGTGTGACCTAGGTCCAAATGTAATACATATTTATCGATATTGTGTATTGTGTTTATCGATATATCGTTAATTGATGAATGCACAACACTAATGTTTAATCTCCATTTTCATTTTCGTACAAGCTTGAACAGAACAGAGTTCAGTGATGTAAAATTTTAACTTTACGTAAATATCATCCTACGTACATTTAGTAATATTTTCGAGATTTAATCAAGAGTTTATTTCTAATATATTTTATTTAGTAAAAAATGTAGAACATTCTCGAAAGGCGTAAAAAATAAAATACACAATACAAATAAAGTCGTTTTGCCCAAAACATGATAAAGACAAAATTCAAAATAATATAAAAAGTTGTTTTCTCATATAATATTAAATATAGTGCTGCAGCTACGTAAGATCAAAAACTTGATCTACTGAAGATATATGCTTCTAAATTTGTAACAGCATTTAACGCTTAAATAACGCTCTCATCTTAATATAGAAAATTCTTGGAGTTTAATTCCTACTACGTATTACCTGATTTTACAGAATAAATTAATGCTTAGAAGCGAACTATAGGAAATAATGTGAAGCAACAGGTCTTACTTGTGTAATTAAATACATTTTGTAAAGCAGCTTAGCTTATTGGTGATTATAACTCCAATGACATATTACAAAATCTACAACACTTTATTTATAGAAGAAAAATGTTTTTATGAAATGGGATCCGGGATTTTTGCGAGTCATTTAAATGAAACTAATATTTTTCGGATATACTACGCGACTTTATTTTAAGTTAAAACTACGTTGGTAATACTACAAAACTAGTTTGATTTTTGAAACTTTTAAATAACCAAAAAAAAAATAATATTTCTTCGAGACATTCGAAATCTATAAAATGTTTTAAATAAAAAATTATATTATAAGTCTTTGAAACGTAATTTATGTTTATAAATGGCTTATTGAAAAGGTGTTAAATGTATAAGTAATAGGTGGTCTTACAGTCTTGTGTCTTTTATCATATGAAAGTATATGAAGCGCTTTGAAAATTTAAAATACGTCTCTAACGACAAAAATATATGTATATTCAGATATTGCAAGGGCCATTGAAGCTGAAGTTAATTGTGGCGAAAAATACATCGAAGCGTGGCTTTATTTGATAGTATCCTATTTATTTTAAAAATTATTTGGCCTTTCGAAATTTCTTTTGCCTTCAAAACTGTATACATATTCGTCTTGCAACTACCCTGCATTCCTTTGTACACAATAGTTCAGATGGTACTGACACTGAATGTTATAAATAAGGTCAAAGGTTCGATTTAATTACATTAATAAATGTTGGTATTTTCTTTTAGTCACATTTTAAAGTATAGTGATAGTTGTATAAGTAAGATTTCACAATTCAGATTTGCTTTCATATGATTATTTACGAGTAAAAAAATTTGGACGAATTGAGACCCTCCTCTTTTTAAGTCAGTTAAAAAGGTACTCTGTTAAAAAACATCACGATTTTGTTAAAAGGATCAAAATACAAATCGATTTCAAGGATTTGTATAGAAATGTTGGTATTGACTTAATCCCGCAACTATTCCACGGATTATAGTGTTTTACGATTTCAGAGTCGAGTTTTCCAATCTGAATAAAATACTGGGATTTCGAATAATTTGAATAAATATTTTGATAATTCTTTGGTTAGAATATTTAGTTTAAAAATATATATTATGTACCTTCAATTCGTTATCGTGAATGTTTTAGAGGTAAGTCACCCATTTTATGAAACAAAATAATAATAATTTTAAAAAAGGCTGTTTTGCCTTAAAAAATGCAAAATAATATTTAAGATAACTTTATTTCTGTTTTAGATAGATTTACACAATCGCGTGGAGTAGTTACTAAATCCTCTTTAAATGGAAATTACTCCGCTTTTAAATGATTATTTTTTGTATTTAACGGCAAGAGTTTTTCTTTAAATAAAAACATTTTAAGACAGCAATATCACTTTCTTTAACAGAATAATGAAGTTTACGAAATTTTCAGCATATTTAACAGATATGTTTGCGGTCGGAGATAGTATGAGAAAAATATATCTTAGAATATTATCATACATAATAAAAGGTGACCAATATTTTCAAAAACCGTTAGTTAGCACAAAAGTATGCTTAAAAATTAACTGTTGTTTAAATAACATATAACTGTCAGCCTACAAGCCATTTCTAAAATTAAGATACCGAGCTCTCAAGAATAAAAGAGTTTACCGACATACATATAACATTTGCCTTAGTAATACATGGGAAAGTAGAAGTGTGCTATCATAAAGATTATTAGAGTACCCATAAAACTAGACGAAAATGAAAACCGAGCAATAATTTGACCATATCATGATGATACATTAAAATTATTTTCACTATCAACAGTAGGATAGGCAAAACTTTAATGTGTTTGAAGATTTCGGTATGGACACTTGGTGTGTACTATAACCATTTACAGGTCTACAATGTTGGAGCAAACATCTTCATGTTATATGTGTACATACACCTAGATTTTCCCGATACCAATGAATACTGTTTTAATTCTCTTGATATTAGATTATGCAAATTTTGTTTATATTTTAGTAAAAATCCTTACTAAGTACATTATAAAATAAATTATCATTTTATTTTAATGAAAGTTTGTTGGTTGTTAATTTAAAAATATGCAATTAATGTTTACGAATAATACTGTTTTAACTCAAGCGTGACTCAGAATTTTTTGATTTTTGAGAAATTATTAATATTATATAAATTTTCATACTTTTGTACTGTTTATTAAATTCAGCATATTAATAGTATTAAATAATTTATATTATATTTTTATATTAATATATTTTTTTTTATTTTAACCGATTAATAATTGTTGTTTTGCAATTGTTGTTAACAACTACAAATATCTTTTCTATATTTTTTATTCTTTCATAAAAACTTTAAAGGATCTAAATCAATTTCGAAATCTGTTAATAAAGACTTTTATCAAGTTTATTAATATTTAAAATTATTATTATAACAAGCAAACTATATGTTTGTTGATAATAATATTTAATTAATAATATATATGCCTACTTAATATTCTTTATATTACAATAACAATAACATACCTATTTAAAAAGCAAACAAAAAAATTATATATAAAATATAGACCACATTTATTAAGCATTTAAAAAAACACAGTGAGCAGTGTTACAAAAGACATCTATATATATAAACAAAAACATATACATACACACAGAGACAATAAATCTGTTTGTCACAAAGTAAATGGAATGTCATCAAAATTGCATGCAATATAAGCTGATTTAGATGTAAATTGAATAAACGGTTCTCAAGTCGTGATAGTGATGCATTGCTTACCAAGTAGCACTAGAGATATATACAATATAATCTTCCGAGCCATTGCTAGAAGGAAGCTGGTCGGTTTAGACTCAACCACCCGTCTGCTTGCGACAATCCAATGTTATTTTTACACTCGGCCCCGACATCAAAGGTCTATTTAGGAATCTTCCAACATAAGTACATGTCAAATTTCATACAAACATCACACATTCCAACATTTTTCACAGCACTAACACTTAGTCAAGAGTTAATGCCAAACAACAAATGCCGCTTAATCGAAGCAATTATGTCAATTACTACGATTTGATTAGAATTTTATTCAAAATAATAGAACAAACGCTATCAAGCCACAAGCTTAGATATTTTTCTGACATTTATCAAGGTATGGGCTGCCATTGTGAAAATATTTTCACCAGTGTTGCTATTCAAAAATTTTGTTATTTGCTTGAAATAAAGTGCTATCAGAAAAGAGGTTGAGCAATAAGTATATTATTTATTTATAAATTGTATCCGACAGATAAGATTAAAATGTTAACAATAATAGTTAACATAGTATTGAAAATACAAATATATTTCTTTCTATTAAGAACATAATACAAAGATTGATATTGTGAGGTGCAGATCATATTTATGATACAATAAACATATCAAAAATTATATAATTAAAATACAAATCCTCAAGGACACAGAGACTAAAAAGTCGATAAAGGCGTCTGAGATCTTCGCCTGTTTCTAAGGACAGTAAAAAAAGGAATCGAACTCAATGACCAACTTATACACAGCACCAGCAAAGATTGGCGCGAAAAATTTAAAATTATTTTTACCTTAACAATACTATGACATAATTAAAGTTACTATAAAAAGTATAAAATCAAACCCAGTTATAAATTAAAAGATAATAATTTCAAGGCATTTATAAAGTATTAAGATGTTTCAATAACTCTTACATATAAAATTGTTATAGGTGTATATATACATAAATATAGTTTACTATTAAGACTGATAATAATCCTACACTATTTTGGCTTAAAAGAAAATGTTTTTCCTACATAAAGTTTCAATAAGTTTTAAAAAAAAAAACATGTCTTAAAGATATAAAACTTTTGTCACTATATGTAAATAACTGCTCTTTTATATAACAAACTCAGATATAATTTAATTTAGTTAAGTGTATTGTTTAAGGATAATTTTTGAGATGTTAAAATTATGGATATTCAGGCATGATAAAAATTATTGTGACAGGTAAAGCTTCCAGTAAGCATAGAAATTTGTCGTTTTGTCATTATTTAGATTTACATATTGTTTAAAGAAAAGTTTGAGACAAAGTATGAAATTTATGTCAATTATGAAGCACTTGCACAAGAAAGGGTCATGGGTTGACTGAATTTTTTATATATAAAAATTGCAAATGTCCTTAAAGATTCAAGAAAAGAAGTATAATACTGGATTTTTCTTATCCTTTTCAATAGGTGTTTTGGGAAATGTTGTACTGGATAATCTGATAATCATTTCAGTCTTCATCTGAAGGATTTTTTTATCTTTCCCGTAGAAGCAGTTTATTCTAAGCTGACATCTAGTTTCAAAATTGTATGTCATGTGAAATATTACATTACATTGGAAACACTACATTCTGTTACACTTTCATT